TGTACAGATTCCTCAGGAGAGAGACAAGGTGGCTTGGGATGCCCATCCCACTAAGAACTTGCCACAATTTATTATGATCCACACAGTCAAAGGCTTTAGAATAGTCAATAGTCAGACCAAGCGTGATCCCTGGGGAAGGCAATGGCAAACCACTCCAGTATCCTTGCCAAGAAAACTAAATGGACCAGTACAACCAGAGATATGTCGGTATGCCATTGGAAGATGTGATTCCCAGGTCAGAAGATGGTCAGAATGCTACTGGGGAGGAGCATAGGATAAACCCCAGATGTGATGACGCAGCTAGCTCAAAGCTGAAAGGAAGGCTAGCGGCCGACGGTACTGGAGGTGAACGACGAATCCGATGCTCTAAAGATCAACACACCATAGGAACCTGGAATGTAAGATCTATGAGCCAGGGCAAATTGGATGTTGTTATTGGTGAGATGTCAAGACTAAAGATAGACATTCTGGGGGTCAGCGAACTGAAATGGACTGGAATGGCCACTTCACATCAGATGACCACCAGATCTACTACTGCGGACAAGAGGAACATCGAAGAAATGGAGTAGCCTTCATAATTAATAAGAAATTCGCTAAAGCGGTGCTTGGATACAACCCAAAAAATGACAGAATGATCTCAATTCAAGTGCAAGGAAAGCCTTTCAACATTACAGTGATCCAAATATACGCCCCAACCACAGCTGCTGAAGAAACAGAAGTAGATCAGTTCTCTGAGGATCTGCAGGACCTACTGGATAATACACCAAAAAGAGACATTATTTTCATTACAGGAGACTGGAATGCCAAGGTGGGAAGTCAAATGACAACTGGGATCACAGGCAAGCATGGTCTGGGAGAACAAAATGAAGCGGGACGCAGGCTGATAGAATTTTTCCAGGAAAACTCGCTGTGTATAACGAATACTCTCTTCCAACAACCTAAAAGACGGCTTTACACATGGACCTCACCAGACGGTCAACACCGAAATCAGATTGACTACATCCTTTGCAGCCAAAGGTGGCGGACATCCATCCAGTCGGTGAAAACAAGACCTGGGGCTGACTGTAGCTCAGATCACGAACTTCTTATTGCCCAATTTACAATAAAACTAAAGAGATCAGGGAAAATACACAGACCAGTTAGATATGATCTCACTAACATTCCTAGCGAATATACAGTGGAAGTGAAGAACAGATTTGAAGGACTAGATTTAGTAAACGGAGTCCCAGAAGAACTATGGACAGAAGTCCGAGACATTGTTCAGGAGGCGGCAACAAAGTACGTCCAAAGAAAAAGAAAACCAAGAAGGCAAAATGGTTGTCTTCTGAGACACTGAAAGTAGTCCAAGAAAGGAGGAAAGCAAAAGGAAACAGTGATAAGGGGAGATATGCCCAATTAAATGCACATTTCCAGAGGTTAGCCAGAAGAGATAAGGAACTATTTTTAAATGAGCAATGCATGGAAGTGGAAGAAGACAACAGAATAGGAAGGACAAGAGACCTCTTCCAGAAAATTAGAAACATTGAGATAGAAACGTCAAAAAAACCAAGATTATGGCAACAAGATGGCAGGGACCTAATAGAAGCTGAAGAGATCAAGAGAAGGTGGCGAGACTATACAGAAGATCTGTATAGGAAGGATAATAATATTGAGGATAGTTTTGACGGTGTGGTGAATGAATTAGAACCAGACATCCTGAGGAGTGAGGTTGAATGGGCCTTGAGAAGCATTGCTAACAACAAGGCAGCAGGAGATGACGGGATCCCAGCTGAACTGTTTAAAATCTTAAAAGATGATGCTGTCAAGGCGATGCATGCCATATGCCAGCAAATATGGAAAACACAAGAATGGCCATCAGACTGGAAAAAATCAACTTATATCCCCATACCAAAAAAGGGAAATGCGAAAGACTGCTCAAACTTCCGTACAGTGGCCCTTATCGTGCCAGTAAGGTAATGCTCAAGATCCTGCAAGGAAGACTCCAGCAATACATGGAGCGAGAGTTGCCAGATGTTCAAGCTGGGTTTAGAAAAGGCAGAGGAACGAGAGACCAAATTGCCACTATCCGCTGGATAATGGAGAAAGGCAGGGAGTTTCAGAAAAACATCTACTTCTGCTTCATTGACTATTCTAAAGTGATGCAGAATCACAGCTATTTCAAAATCACTCCATTAGTTGCCATTTAATTTCCAGGAAAAGTATGAAGTGTTGGTTTTGACCTTAAAAGCCCTATATGGTTTGATCCAGGTTACCTACAGGATCACCTTCTCCCATACAATCCACCCCTTTGGACACTGAGGTCCTAAGGGAGCAGCTGCTCCATCCAGCCAGAACCCCACTGGCAACGGTCACCTTTTCATCGGCCACTCTGAGAAGACTGTGGAATAACCTACTAAAAGAAGTTACTCTTTTTACATTGCAACAAGTAGCAACAAGAGATTTCTTTACAGTGCCAAAATGAGTAATGAGAACAACCTTATAAAGGTAACTTTCTAAACAGTAGTCATTGTTTTATACTGCTATGCCCTTTTCAGAGTAGAGGGTTCCTCCTAAGTTCTGAGGTAGGTGAGGATAGGCAATCACAGAAGTCAATGCTGTACTTACAGAGCACGTATGGGCAAACCTAGGGCCAGATGCTGACCCTTGGGCTCTTTTCCCACCATCCTATGTTTTCTTCCTTCTCTCTTTCCTTCCTCTTCCCTCCCTTCCTCCCTTCCATCCTTTCATCTTGTCTTCCTTCCCTCTTTCCTCCCTCCCTCCTTCCCTCTCTTCCTTCCTTCCTTCCTTCCTTCCTTCCTTCCTTCCTTCCTTCCTTCCTTCCTTCCTTCTTTCCTTCCCTTTTGTCTTTCCTTCCTTCTCCTTCCCTCCTTCCTCCTTTTCCTTCTTTCTTCCTTCCTCTTCCCCTCCTTCCTTCCTCTCTTTCTCCTTCCTTCCTTCCTTCTTCCTTCCTTCCTTTCCTTCCTTCCTTCCTTCTTTCCTTCCTTTTCTTTCTCCTTCTCCCTTCCCTCTTCCCTTCCATCCCTTTCATTCTTCTTTCCTTCCCTCTTTCATCCCTCCTTCCTTTCTCTCTTTCTCCTTCCTTCTTCTTTTTTCTTTCCTTTTCTTCTCTCTTCCCTTCCTCCCTTCCATCCTTCCTTCCTCCTTTTTCTTCCTCTTTCTCCCTCCTTCTCTCTCTTTTTCTCCTTCCTTCCCTTTTTTTTCTTCTTCTCTTTCTTCCTCTCTTCCTCTCTTCTCCTTTCTCTTCCTTTCTTTCTTCCTTCCCTCTTTCCTCCTTCCCCTCTCTCTTTCTCCTTCCTTCCTTCATTCCCTTTCTTCTTTCTTCCTTCTCCCTTTCCTTCCTCCTTTCCTCCTTTCTTCCTTCCTCTTTCTCCTTCCCATTCTCTCTCTTTTCTCCTTCCTTCCTTCCTTCCTTCCTTCCTTCCTTCCTTCCTTCCCTTCTTTCCTTCCTTCCCCTCCCTCCCTCCCCTTCCTTCCTTCTTTCTCCTTTCTTCCTTCTCCTTTCCTCTCCTTCCCTCTCTCTCTCTCTCCTTCCTCTCTTTTCCATTCCTTCCCTTTTGTCTTTCCTTCCTTCTCTTTCCTTCCTCTCCCTCCCTCCCTCCATTCCCTTCCACCCTTCCTTCCATCCATCCTTCTCTTCCTCCCTTCTCCTCCTTCCTTCCTCCTCTTTTTCCTTCCTCCTTTCCTCCTGGGATGTTTAGCTGGGAGAAGAGAAGGTAGAGAGGGAACATGAGAACCATGTTTCAAGATTTAAAAGGGTGTCCCATTGAGGAAGAGAAGGAGGAGGAAAACTGACTTTCTGCTGCTCTAGAGACCAGGGCACAAGGGAGCAATTGTTTCAAATAGCAGGGAAAGAGAGGAAGATTAGGAAAAACTTCCTGAGAGGAAGAGCTGTTGGAGAATGGCTGCCTCAGAGTGTGGTGGAGTCAGAGGCGGCCCTAGGTAATTTTCAATGGTAAGCAAACAGTATTTTGGCCCCCCCCCCAACCAATCACTGATATATTTTTTCTGTTCGTCGTGGGAGTTCTGTGTGCCATATTTGGTTCAATTCCATCATTGGTGGAGTTCAGAATGCTCTTTGATTGTAGGTGAACTATACATCCCAGTAACTACAACTCGCATATGTCAAGGTCTATTTTCCCTCAAGAGCGCCCCTGGGCAAAATCAACTATACTGCAAATGCTTACTTTGCGTAATGGATTGAGCCGCCCCTGGGTGTAGTCCCCTTTTCTGTAGGCTTTCCCATAGAGGCTATCTATTGGGAGTGCTTTGATTGTGCCTTCTTGCGTAGCAGGGGTTTGGACTGGGTGGCCCTTGGGGGCTCTTCCAATTCTAGGATTCTAGGATTCTAGATAAGGAGTAGTCAATACGAGGTCTCATGGATACACTTTTTCTCTCCCATCCACCATCTCATCCTGACCAAGGCCAGCCTTTTTGGTATCCAAATGTTTCCCATCTTTCCTTCACTTTCTGCCTCTGAAAGTGAAAAGGAAGGGGAGGAAAGAGCAGGGGGGGCGCTTAGGGAGAAACCCCTTTCTCCCAGCCCGCCCACCCCTCTCTGGCCCACCATGCAGCCCCTAAGTTAGAAAGTTTGCCCATGACTGTTACAGAGCAATGAATTCATTTTTGACTTTAGTCTGAACTTTTAAGAAGGTGCTGAACCTATTGTGGGGACAGCACTTTTCAAAGGTGGACAACACCTGGAGCAGATCTTCTGCCCCACAGACATGGAAGCCTCTCTCTACCACTGATTCTAGGATTACGAGAATGGTGTTTTGGCAAAGGGGTGGCATATCTTCCTTCTCTCCCGTATACAGTGTTGTTTGTGGGTTTGCTTGATGAAGTTGTGTTTCCATCGGCTCTTTACTTTAACCCTATCAGAAATAACCATCTAAGAACTGGTGCTAATTTTCCTGTGCAAGTTGGGACAAGTTCCTCGCTGACTGAATAATACGGTGAAAGAAATCGTACAGCTTTGCATCTTAATTTGCAATGGAGGAAAGGCATTTCAGTGGGAAAGCATCCAACAAGTAGTAACCTCCCCGCAGGAGACACAGCAAAAGAGAGCGAGGAAACTATTGGGAAATGGTATTCCACATGCCCAGATGAACTTGACAGGTGCAAAGAGAGAAGGAGAAGAAGAGGAGCACAGAAGAATGGCAGGTCTCTGGGGAGTTTTGCTTATTCTGCTGATGGTTTTTCTGATTCTGCACTACCTGAAACAGCTCCGTTTACACAGAAGCTACCCTCCAGGACCCTTCCCACTTCCGATCATTGGAGGACTGTGGCAGACAGGCATCAGGCTTTCTCCAGACCTTCTCATCAAGGTACCTTCCCACCGTCCCATAATGAAGTACCTAGCTTTGAGGGGGGAACTATGAACCTTATTATTTCTGTGGTCAGTTTGGATAAATGTTTCAATATAATGGGGAAAATATTATTATTTACAGTATTTATATACCGCCTTTCTCACCCCTGGGGGGGACTCAAAGCAGTTTACACATAAATAATGGCAAAATTCAATGCCTTACATTGAACACCGATAGGATGCCAATGCAAACAATAACAATAGTAAAACCAATAGTAAAAAAAAAATAGGTGAAACAGTTTAAGAAATTGCTTAGTAGATATGTTCTGTCACATGTTTGATCATTCATTGGGGAAAATGCCTGCTGAGTCCACAGATATTGGCAACAAGAATGAATGAATCCATTGTGAGTCAACCAGAGGTAAATCCCATTGACTCAAAAGGACTATTCTATTTGGAATTGCAATATGTAAACAATCTTGTACAATGTATTGTCGATGGCTTTCATGGCCAGAATCACTGGGTCGTTGTGAGTTGATGAATATATTCCAGAAGCATTCTCTCCTGATGTTTCGCCTGCATCTATGGCAGGAATCTTCAGAGGTTGTGAGGTCTGTTGGAAATTAGGAAAATGGGGTTTATGTATCTGTTGAATGCCCAGGGTGGGAGAAAGAACTCTTGTCTGTTGGAGGTAGGTGTGACTGTTGCAATTGGCCTCCATGATTGGCATTGAATAGTCTTGCAGCTTCAAAGCCTGGCTGATTCCTGCCTGGGGAAATTCTTTGTTGGGAGGTGTTAACTGGCCCTGATTGTCTCCTGTCTGGAATTCCCCAGTGTTTTGAGTGGAGCCAGATTTTGTTCGTTTTCATGGTTTCCCCTTCTGTTGAAATTGTGGATTTCAATGCTTGTGGATTTCAATAGCTTCTCTGTACAGTCTGACATGGTAGTTGTTAGAGTAGTCCAGCATTTCTGTGATCTCAGATATTATGCTGAGTCCATAGAAATCCACAAGCATGTGGGCAATTTCAACAGAAGAAAGAAAGCATTCAAAATGTGATGTGAGTTTTTTGGGCTGTATGGCCATGTTCCAGAAGCATTTTCTCCTGACATTTCACCTGCATCTATGGCAGGCATCCTCAGAGGTTGTGAGGTCAAGACCTCACAACCTCTGAGGATGCCTGTCATAGATGCAGGCGAAACGTCAGGAGAGAATGCTTCTGGAACAAGGCCATACAGCCCAAAAAACTTACAACAACCCAGTGATTATGGCCACGAAAGCTTTCGACAATACACTCGAAATGTGCTTTAATGGTTGGGATTCTAAACACTTTAAAACATAAACAAAGGATTTCACAGGGAAATATCAGAAATCAAATGGGCCACTAGCTTTCCGCTCAGCTGCTTTCATTTTCCCAGATTTGATTTGTGATATAGAGAAGGCCATACAAATATATGAACACCACTTGCTAGACAAAAAGAAAACAGGTTGAATATCCATTATAAGACTGTTTAAGATTTCAGATATTCTTTTACATTATTGATTTTAGAATACCTGTATTTATAGATATATGTGCACAGTAGGATATAAATACATGTATTTATTTATTATTTATTTATTTACCACATTTGTTTATTTACCTTCTCATTCAGGGCAGGCTTACAACAGGCAGCAATTTGATGCCATATACATATATGTCCATAAAATAAAAAATACAATTAAAATCTAAGCAGTTTTTTTAATCATATCAGAAGCAAACCAAGGGTACAGCTGTAATGTATTTAAGAAACACAAAGTTTAAAAAACTTGGCATTCTACTAAACGTCCTTTGATCAGAAGCTGGCCACTTGGAGTGCCTCTGGTGTTGCTCCAAGAAGGTCCTCCATTGTACATGTGGCAGGGCTCAGGTTGCATTGCAGCAGGTGGTCAGTGGTTTGCTCTTCTCCGCACTCGCATGTTGTGGATTCCACTTTGTGGCCCCATTTCTGAAGGTTGGCTCTGCATCTCGTGGTGCCAGAGCGCAGTCTGTTCAGCACCTTCCATGTCGCCCAGTCTTCTGTGTGCCCAGGGGGGAGTCTCTCATTTGGTATGAGCCAAAGTGCTAGGTTTTAGACTGCCACTTTTGGACTCTTGCTTGCTGAGGTGTTTTGCAAATCTTAGAAAACTATTTCTTGATTTAAGGCATTGGTGTGCTGGCTGACATCCAAACAGGGGATTGGCTGGAGATGTCACTGCCTTGCTCCTTTTGTTATTGGCTGCTACTTCCCGGAGGATGTCAGGTGGTGCAATACCAGCTAAACAGTATAATTTCTCCAGTGGTGTGGAGCACAGACATCCTGTGATGATGTGGCATGTCTCATTAAGAGCCACATCCACTGTTTTAGTATGGCGAGATGTGTTCTACACTGGGCATGCGTACTCAACAGCAGAGTAGAAAAGCACAAGGCAGATGTTCTCACTATAGCTTGTTGTGATTCCCAGGTTGTACCAGTCAGTTTTCCTATGATATTATTTCTAGCATTCATGTTATGCTTGATATTCAAGCAGTGCTTATTGTGGATCAGAGCATGGACCAGGGTGTCTCCTAGGTATTTGGGTGTGCTGCAATGCTCCAGTGGGATCCCTTCCTAGGTAATCCTCAGAGCTCAAGATGCTTGTCTGTTCTTAAGATGAAAAGCACACATCTGCGTTTTAGATGGATTAGAAATCAGATGGCTTTCCCTGTAATAAGCAGTTAAAACATCAATTGAAATCACGCAATCAAAATCATAATCCAAGGTCGTTCCATTTGTTACTCACAGTAGTTCGTTGTCACTTATTGCACTGCTCCAATTACTGGTCAAAGCTTGGTTCCAAAACCACATCTTAAGTTTTTTTTCCCCTGAAGTTCAGGAGAGGGGGGGGCTGATCTAATTTTGCTGGGAAGGGGGTTTTGTAGACTAGGAGCCACCACTGAGAAGGCCCTGTCCCTCGACCCCACCAGTTGAGCCTGCAAAGGAGGTGAGACCAAGAGCAGGGCCTCCCCGGCAGATCTTAGCATTCTAGCTGGCTCATAAAGGCAGATACGTTCAGACAGGTAAGTTTGGCCAGAATCGTTTACAACTTTATAGGCTAAAGCCAGCACTTTGAATTGTGCTCAAAAGCAGACTAGCAACCAGTTGAGCTGGCATAACGGGAGTTGTGTGATCCCTGTACGCCGCTCCAGTAAGCAGTCTGGCTGCCACCCGTTGGACCACTTGAAGCTTCCAAACAGTCTTCAAAGGCAACCTCACGTAGAGCACGTTGCAGTTGTCTATTTGGGATGTAACCAGAGCATGGACCACTGTGGCCAAGTCTGACTTCCCAAGGTATAGTATCAACTGGTGCACAAGTTTTAATTGTGCAAAAGCCCCCCTCCCCCCCAGCCACCACCAATACCTGGGCTTCCATGCACATTGATGATTCCAGGAGATCTCCCAAGCTGTGAACCTGACTCTTCAGAGGGAGTGAAACTCCATCCAACACAGGCTGTTGTTGCATTCCAGAACAGATACGATACCTTCTGACTTTAAAACACACCACACGTTGAGTGAACACCCAATCCTTTTATTGAAGCTGAGTAAAATAGTCAGTAGAAAGAAATGCTTGTAAAAATATGAAAATTTCAAAATGTAAAAGATCAGTAAAATGCAGTAATTTAAAGCAATGTCCACAAAAGATATGAAAACATTCCAAGGCAGTATTTATCTGGACAGGAATCAACAGGTTGCAAAGATAATCCAGAAGGTGCTAGACCACAGCAAAATGCTAAAAAAATCTCTATAAGAACAAGATCCCTTGAACAGGATTTCCAAGGCACATGAACATGATTTCCAAATGATGCCTGATCTAACAGGCTTTTCCTTGAAGCAAACTTATATCCCAAAGCCCAAAAATTGGTTACGTTTTCCCCCACTCTTGCCTCTTTTTCTGATGAAGCCTTTCAGAGCAACATAAACATTGAGTTTGTTATCGATCCTGGCTGAACTCTAGCCGCTTATTTTTCAACTCCTTTTCTGGCTGCTCATTAAAATTTCCAGGTGTCAGATTGTTTTCCAAACTCAAATCTTGAGAGCTCACCGAAAGAGGGAATAAACCATCATCCTTAAGTCCAGCAGGAATATTCTCATGAGAAACTGCCCTTTGCACTGGGGCCTCCCTGTCATTGTCTGCATGAAAATCATTGACCAAACCATCTCCATCTTGCACCTCAGCCTCAGCACCATCATTCCCCTCGTCATGTCCCACATCAAGAACATAATGATCCTGAGCATCATGAAACACAAACACAGGCAGATTCCCAACAGCTGTAACCCTATACCCTGTTTGACCTTTCAACTGCCTTGTCTAGATTCATTTTCAGTTTCTTCACCCTCATCCAAACTGTCACAGCTGCCAAGTGCCAGTTCAGGACCTGAACAGCCTCCTTAGCAGCAGGTGGAAAGAAATGATAGAGTTGGACGTCATCTGCATACAGGTGGCATCAAACTCCAAAACTCCAGATGGTCTCTTCCAGCAGCTTCAAGTAGATGTTAAACAACATTGGGGGACAGTACTGAGCCCTGCAGAACCCCACAAGACAATGGTTGTGGGGCCGAGCAGGTGTTCCCCATCCATCACCATATCCATCTTATACACATAACTCAAATGTAGTTTTATTCGATATTTAATGCATGATGCAAAGCTTGTGTTCACTGAACCATTACAAAGCAAAAGTGTCACAATCTCAGCCATCCATGTAGAAAATTTTGAAGCCTTTCCTATTTCCTAAACAGCTCTGGCCCACTTTACCTGTCTGAATATCTCTCTCCCTATGAACCATCAAGGACTTTAAGATCATCTGGGGAGGCCCTGCTCTCGGTCCCGCCACCACCACAGTTGCGTTTGGTGGGGACGAAAGACAGGGCCTTCTCTGTGTTGGCCCCTTGGCTGTGGAACTCCCTCCCTAAAGAGATTAGATCTGGCCCCTCCCTCCTGACCATTCACAAGACACTTAAGACTTGGCTGTGGGAGCAAGCGTTTGCAGAATAGACAGTTTTTATTGGTTTAGATGAGATTGTATGGACCGCAATTTTTGGACTGATTTGGAGCAAGATTTAAACTTGGCAAACTTTTTAAATGTATATTTATTACCATTTTATGTAATTGTGTATTTTATTGGTGTTTTTATATTGTTGGAAGCTGCCCTGAGTCCCTCTTCGGAGATCGAGAATAGGGCGGGATACAAATGTTCTAAATAAATAAATTTCCGGGTAAGGGATGCCCAACCCCTCTAGAGTATTCCACCATTACAGAAAATGCAGATTCTCAGCTAGTATCAAATATTTATTTTCTAAAATGAGTGGATACATATCATATTGACAAATTAAACTGGGATTTCAGTTCATAAGGAATAGCGCAGCAGTACATTATGTCACAGGGGGTAAGGCAAATCTGTAGCATGATACACACAGCATTGTGTGATAGACTACTAAAAGTGATGGTTGCATTTGTGACATTGGTTTGTGTACAGTGTGTAATACCATCCTATGTAGGTTGACAACTTCTTGAATGGATGGATGGTTGGATAACTGGAACCTAATTTGGAAAGGGTGGTAGTGGGCTCACAAATCATAAATCTGAGGAATTAGAAAAACTATTGAATATGAATATGATCCACCTTCCCCTCTGTTTTGTTCCATGTGGCAGCTGGCTAAGCAATATGGAAATATTTACACCATATGGGTGGGCACTTCTCCTGTGGTGGTCTTGTCTGGATTCCAAACAGTGAAGGAAGGGCTGGTCACGCATTCGGATGGTTTTTCTGGGCGGCCGGTGACCCCTCTACTCAAAGAAACGTTTAAAGCAAAGGGTAAGTGATTGTAAAGAATGGGGTGTTTTAGTGCCCTTTCTCCAGTGAAACAATGGGCAACTTGAAACAAAAACAAAAAGTTGGAGATTCTGGAACGTCTTTGGTATTTTTTTGCCACTTAATTGCAATTGCTAACTATGGTGAAGTTTCTATATTGGGGCTGCATAGCATAAATGTCTACATGTATTAATGTGACCCTTGAGTTGAATGGTGATGTAACTGAAGCAAGACACCAACATGAAAACAAATGCATAACAACAACAACAACAACACTTTGTTTATATTCCACCCTTCTCACCCCGAAGGGGACTCAGGGCAGATCACAGTACACATACATGGCAAACATTCAATGCCGCTGTGTATAGACAATACACAAACAGACAGAATAGAAGGAGGTGTGTTGTTTGACTCAGTGTCCAGCTGTTTTGGTGCCATAGACAGTTGGGCACAAGTCCAGCCACATGGGGTGCTGTTGCTCCAACCTCTATGACGAAGAGTCGTCAGGACTTCCTCCTTCCCTTTGGTCGCCCAGCATTTTCTGATCTTCTTTCTTTATGGCATTGTAAAACACCTCCCCTGCTTTTAGCGGTACCTAATTTCTCTAATTGCAACGAAAGCTGTTTTTGATTAGGTAAACAGTGAGCAGGACTGACAGTCAGGTGCTCATGCCGATCGGGGGCTTCAAACTTGCAACCTTTTAGTTGATAGATCCTATAGTTGCTGGTGATTTACCAGCTGTGTTAAACCTCTGGCCCCAATAATCCAATGAGTATGTGCATATATGCCTGCGCTGTATACCTCACTACCCAATGTCCACCAGCAATCTACATTTGCATGTAATAAAGGCACAGCATGAGCAAGTCCCTTTCTACTTCCCATAGTATTAATGCACTGTGAAACACTTTTTTCCGGAAGTAGTCACAACATGTAGCTCTTCCCAGATATGGTACTTATGTCAGGAATTTCTGAAACCACTTCAAACATGTCTTCTGTTGGCACACCAATGGAGATGTATTAAATGAATGCTTCTGTGCTAAAAGGCTGGAGAAAATTATGGATTCTTAAGCAATTTCAAAAACGGCCCAATATCAAAAATCCAACATAGTTGTAAAACAAGCATGAACTGCACTATGTCCGCATGTACTCATTTCCCATGGCTTCTTGATGCCCTCAGGTATTGTACTTTCCAACGGACACACCTGGAAGCAGCAGAGGCGGTTTGGTGCTGTTACTATGAGGAATCTGGGACTAGGGAAGAAAGGCATGGAGCATCAAATAGAAGAGGAAGCCCAGCAGCTGGTGGAGATTTTTGCACGTGCAAAGGGTTTGTGATATTTAATAATGATATCTGGTGTTTGTCACACTAGTCCAGGCATGGGCAAACATCGGCCCTCCAGGTGTTTCGGACTTCAACTCCCACAATTCCTAACAGCCTATTAGCTCTTGGAAATTGTGGGAGTTGAAGTCCAAACACCTGGAGGACTGATGTTTGGCCATGCCTGGTCTAGCTGGTTGTTTCAGGTCGTTCCTCTTGAAAATTGCTTCACCTGTACGTGGAAAGGTAGTGGAAGAGTAATGCACTCTTTTAACACTACCATCACTGCATTTGCACTTCAATGAGGTTACTCCCATGTTTGCTTTGTTGGAGAAATTGGAGAAAAGGAGACATTTTTAGTGTTATGCCCATGCAAAATATGGATCCTAGGATTGCCTTAAGATGTAAATCTTGGCAGAATGTAGGGTGGACTGAAGAATCAGACAAAGGCAAAGCTTTTTTTTTTTTTTTAGATACAATGGTCCCCCCTCCTGCACAGATTGAAATCTATGCTAGGAGAAGGCAAATTAATATTGAAATCCATAAATAGCTTCTATGTGTCTGTCTATATATGTTGTGTGTCTATGGCATTGAATGTTTGCCATGTATATGTGCATTGTGATCCGCCCTGAGTCCCCTGCGGGGTGAGAAGGATGGAATATAACTACTGTAAACAAACAAATAAATAAATAACAGTTGTATACCTTCCTTTCCTCTAAACCAGTGTTTCCCAACCTTTTTTTGACCACGGACCACTTTGACCAAGGACTACTCTCCAACATTAGTATCAAAAGGGTTATGAATCAGTTTTTGGACATCTCTAGATTCGGTTTGGTTATTAGGGGTGCTGATTCAGAAAATTGCATTGGACAGACCACATCAGCTCTAGTTTCTGATACAGAACATATGCCATGCAGTAACTGCTGACTGCTTACCCACATATTTAATCATCTAGAGCTGATGTGGTAGTAGTAATCTTTTGTGGGTAGTGAGCCTCTCCCTTGCCGACATCCCGTTGCCTCGGCACTATAAGAGGGTTTTGCGAGACCACTCTTGTTGCTGAAAGGTTTTGAGGCAATGGTGTAGGAATGGTGAGGACATGGACCATATTTTTGTTCTTGCAGACCACAGATGGGAAACCACTGCTCTAAACCACCCCAAGGAGATATCAGCAATTTTCAAAATACTGTGTTTAGAATAAGTTTAACCATTTGGACAAACATATGCAATACTTATTTGTCCAAAAATCATATAATAATTATCTAAGCCAGTGATTTCCAAACTTTTTTACTATGGAACCCTAACTCTGTCCCTGATTTTTTAAACTATGGCCCCTTTTACACTGCCATATACTCTAGATTATCCAGAGCCCCCAGTGGTGCAATGGGTTAAACCCCTGTACCGGCAGGACTGATGATTGACAGGTTTGAATATGGGAGAGCACGGATGAGCTCCCTCTATCAGCTCCAGCTTTCCATGCAGAGACATGAGAGAAGCCTCCCACAAGGATGGTAAAAACATCAAAAACATCTGGGTGTCCCCTGGGCATCGTCCTTGCAGACAGCCAATTCTCTCACACCAGAAGCAACTTGCAGTTCACTCCTGACAAGGCAAAACAAATCTAGATTATCAAAGCAGATGATCTGTATCTGTTTTAAACTAGATTATATTAGTCTACACTGCTATATAACCCAGTTCAAAGCAGATAATCTGGATTTCATATGGCAGTATAGAAGGAGCCTAAGTGTTGTGAACCCACAAAGTTCTTCCATCTGCTGCAGTACTTCCATGCCCCAAAATTGTATGTACAATCTCTGTATGTTTTGGAATACAGTACTATAATTATCAAAGGCTTTCCTGGCCAGAATCACTGGGTTGTTGTGAGTTTTCTGGGCTGTGTGGCCATGTTCCAGAGGTCTGACCCCACAATCTCTGAGGATGCCTGTCATAGATACAGTTGAAACATCAGGTGAGAATGCTTTTGGAACATGGTCATACAGCCCAGAAAACTCACAACAACCCAGTAAAAAACCTAAATTGCAACAAGAGCTCCACCATGAAATCTAACTCTCTGTATTATAATAGATAGAACATTATTAATATGTAAATCTTACCTTACTTCACTTACAGGGCAGCCGCTTGATCCTTTACTTCCCGTCACTAATGCTGTCTCCAGTTTGATATGCGTTTTATCTTTTGGATATCGATTTTCACTTGAAGATGAAGAGTTTCAGGAAATGATGGAAGCCGCTGATTTCCTCTTAAAATTTGGAGGAAGCTTTTTTCATGGTGTGAGTTTATTTATTTATTCATTTACAGTATTTATATTCTGTCCTTCTCACCCCAAAGGAGACTCAGAGCAGATCACAGAACACATATGTGGCAAACATTCAAGACAGACAACTGTACATAGATACAGGTGTGTTGTGTGTGTGTGTGTGTGTATGTGTGTGTGTGTGTGTGTATGGGGGATGCCTGGCTCGAGAGTAGTACGTGTGAAAAAGATCTTGGAGTCCTCGTGGACAACAAGTTAAACATGAGCCAACAATGTGATGTGGCGGCAAAAAAAGCCAATGGGATTTTGGCCTGCATCAATAGGAGCATAGTGTCTAGATCTAGGGAAGTAATGCTACCCCTCTATTCTTCTTTGGTTAGACCACACCTGGAATATTGTGTCCAATTCTGGGCACCACAATTCAAGAGAGATATTGACAAGTTGGAATGTGTCCAGAGGAGGGCGACTCAAATGATCAAGGGTCTGGAGAACAAGCCCTATGAGGAGCGGCTTAAGGAGCTGGGCATGTTTAGCCTGAAGAAGAGAAGGCTGAGAGGAGATATGATAGCCATGTATAAATATGTGAGAGGAAGCCACAGGGAGGAGGGAGCAAGCTTCCTTTCTGCTTCCCTGGAGACTAGGACGTGGAACAATGGCTTCAAACTACAAGAGAGGAGATTCCATCTGAACATGAGGAAGAACTTCCTGACTGTGAGAGCCGTTCAGCAGTGGAACTCTCTGCCCCAGAGTGTGGTGGAGACTCCTTCTTTGGAAGCTTTTAAACAGAGGCTGGATGGCTATCTGTCAGGGGTGATTTGAATGCAATATTCCTGCTTCTTGGCAGAATGGGGTTGGACTGGATGGCCCATGAGGTCTCTTCCAACTCTTTGATTCTATGATTCTATGATTCTTATATATATATATATATATATATATATATATATATATATATATAATTATAGAATCAAAGAGTTGTAAGAGACCTTATGGGCCTTTACCATTTTCAGTATCTTGGAGACTGTGCTCGGTTCCAGCTATGGTGGGGTAGGTATGCTGTCGTTCCATCTTCCCTGCCGAAGAGCTTTGTTCGTAAACTTCCTCCTTGAACAAATTGCCGGCATTTTTCTGGCATTTCCTTATGGGTGCCTTAAATACCTCCCCACTTTAAAAAGGTACCTATTTATCTACCCATATGTGTTTTTGAGCTGCTAGGTAGGCAGAAGCAGGGCTAAAGGCCAGGAGCTCACCCTGACTCGGGCTTCAAACTGTCAACATTTCGATTAGCAAGATTTATTGCAGCTGGCAGTTAACCTGGTGTGCTAAAGCCCGGCCCCAGCCCTTTTCTTCCTTCCTGCTGGCTCAGGCCTAGACTCTGTTGCACTCCAGGACAGGAAAAGCCCTCTGACTTTAAACACCACACCACTGAATGGGAAACAATCCTTTTATTGAAGATAATTAAAAAGCAGTAAAGTAAAAAAAACACTTTAAAGAAATAGGTAAATCCAAATAGATGGGAAGATAAGCAGGAGCAAAGTAGTCCAGGGTAATAGTCCAGCAAAGTCCATAAAAACAAAGTCAAAACTTTCCAAATAAAATGTAAGAAATTAGGAAACATGAATCCAAGGCATGAATATAAAAACACAGAATCCAAGAATCAAAACCATGAAACAAAGGCACTTAAAACATGAATTTTCCAAGTAAAGCTTCCATGAAACAAGGACGAGATCTTGACGTGATTCCAAACGATGCTTCATTTGACTACATATCTCGTACTTGGGACTTTTATCTCCTCATTAGCCATGTCTCTAGTACTCAGAAATTGGTTGCGCTTTAACTGAGAATTTCTTATCTTTTTTCTCTCTGAGCCTGACAGAACGCCGAAGCCACTGTTTGACTCTCCTGTTTTGACTGATCTCTCGTCTATCTATTTGCTCATTATCTATTTGCTCATTAATTTCTGCAGCTGGGCCAGTTGCCAAGCTGCTTTCTCTATCATGGGAACTCTCTGGTAACAATTCAGAAAGCACACCATCATCCCCACACCCCCCAGGGACATTCTCATGGGAAACTACACTTTGAACAAGGATCTCCTGGTCATTCTCTGCATCAATATCACTCACCAAACCATTGCCATCTTGAAACTCATCTCGAAACTCATTGACATCACTCCCCACACCCAAAGCACCCTGATCCTGAAACACAATCACAGGCTGAGCTCCAAAATTTATTATTATTTATTTCATTCACTTATACCCCGCCCTTCTCACCCCGGGGGGGACTCAGGGCGGCTTACATAAAGGGCACAATTAGATGCCCAAAACACACAACAAGTAATCCAAAAAGTACAAAATTCAACAATAAGTTAAACAACAATACATAATAAAAGCATAAATCCTAAAACAATCTCATGTCAGGGTCCATATATCAGAGTCCATACATCCGTTCTATTCCATTTGTCATTGTCTGTCGCCGGTCCTTGGTTTAATTATCAGAATGACCAAAAGCTTGGTCCCACATCCAGGTCTTTAGTTTTTTCCTAAATGCTAGGAGGGAGGTTGCCGATCTAATCTCCCCGGGGAGTGCGTTCCACAGGTGGGGGGCCGCCACTGAGAAGGCCCTGCTCCTCGTCCCCGCCAGCCTCACTTGTGATACTGGCGGGGTCGAGAGCAGGGCCTCCCCAGAAGATCTTAAACTTCGAGGTGGGACGTAAAGGGAGATCCGTTCGGACAAATACACTGGGCCGGAACCGTAAAGGGTTTTATAGGTCAAAACCAGCACTTTAAATTGTGCTCGGAATTGGATCGGCAGCCAGTGGAGCTGACGCAACAGGGGGGTGGTATGCTCCCTGTACGCCGCCCCGGTAAGCAATCTGGCTGCTTCTCGCTGAACTAGTTGAAGTTTCCGAGCAGTCTTTAAAGGCAACCCCACGTAGAGTGCGTTGCAGTAATCCAACCGGGATGTGACAAGAGCGTGGACCACCGTGGCCAGATCCGACTTCCCAATTTCTAACTGCACAAAAGCTCTCCCGGCCACCGCTGAGACCTGGGTTCCAGGCTCAGCGATGAGTCCAGGATCACTCCCAAGCTGCGAACCTGCGTCTTCAGGGGGAGTGTAACCCCGTCTAACACAGGCTGTAACCCTATACCCTGTTCGGCCTTCCGACTGACCAGTAGGACCTCTGTCTTGTCTGGATTTAGTTTCAATTTGTTAGCTCTCATCCAGTCCGACACAGCAGCTAAACACCGGTTCAAGGTCTGGACAGCCTCCTTAGTGACAGGTGAGAAGGAGTGACAGATTTGGACGTCATCTGCATAGAGATAGCATCTTAGTCCGAACCTCCGAATGATCTCTCCCAACGGCTTCATGTAGATGTTAAATAACATCGGGGACAAGATTGAACCCTGTGGGACTCCACACAACAACGGTTGTGGGGCCGAACAGGTGTCACCCAATAACACCTTCTGGGTCCGTCCCTCTAGGAAGGATCGGAGCCACCGCAAGGCAGTGCCACCGAGCTCCATATCCATGAGGCGACCCAGAAGGATACCGTGATCGACGGTATCGAAGGCCGCTGAGAGGTCCAGCAGAACCAACAGGGACACACTCCCCCTGTCTAGTTCCCTGCGCAGATCATCTACCAAGGCGACCAAGGCTGTCTCAGTTCCATGTCCCGGCCTAAAGCCAGACTGTGCTGGATCAAGATAATCAGTGTCTACCAGAAACCCCTGGAGTTGTGTTGCCACCACACGTTCCATGACTTTGCCCAAATAGGGGAGATTGGAAACTGGCCGATAGTTGTCAAATTGAGTGGGATCCAGTGATGGTTTCTTCAACAGCGGTTTTATAATAGCTTGTTTTAAGCTCGCTGGAAATTTTCCTTCCTGTAAGGAGGCATTAACCATCACCTTCACCCACTCTGCCAAACCCCCTCTGGCTTCCTTGACCAGCCAGGATGGGCAGGGGTCTAGGATGCATGTAGTGGGTCGCACCTCTCCAAGGATCCTGTCCACATCCTCAAGCTGAACCAATTGAAACGAATCCAACAAACCTGGACAAGCAGATGCTCTCGTTACATCCCCAGAGACTGCCGTTAACATGACGTCGAATCCAGACCGAATCCGCTCAATTTTATCCGCGAAGGATCGAGCAAATGCTTCACAGCGAGCCACCGAGTTATCCGAGGCCTCGCTTTTTGGCGGATTTAACAGGCCCCTGACAACTCGAAAAAGCTCAGCTCTAACTTTAATAGGACTCTAACTTTAAAAGACTCTAACTTTAATAGGAGAGCGTTAATCACTTATGCCAAATTTAATTGGACTATTTATTAATAAGAGAATTCTAAAATTTGCAGCTTTCTTCATAAATTTACCAGAAAGAACATGAAGTCACATGCATTGAGATGTAAAAGAAAAGGAAACCAACTGATTAACTTCATGCAGGCAGAATTGTATGTACAGTAGAGTCTCGCTCATCCAACCTTCACTCATCCAATGTTCTCTATTATCCAATGCAGTCTGCTTCCCATCCGGATCCACAGCTGTTTCAATACATTGTGATGTTTTGGTGCTAAAGTAGTAAATACAGTAATTACTACATAACGTTACCGTGTATTGAACTGCTTTTTCTGCCAAATTGTTGTAAAGCATGATGTTTTGGTGCTTAATTTGTAAAATCATAACGTAATTTGATATTTAATAGGGTTTTCCTTACTCCCTCAGTATTATCCAACATTTTCGCTTATCCAACGTTCTGCTGGCCCGTTTATGTTGGATAAGTGAGACTGTGCTGTACCTAGAAAGTTTGAATTTGAATCCCTATGCATCCAAACACATTTCTGATGTTGAACTTGCATTTCTGTCCAGTCTGCTCACTGTAACAGATATATAGCAGGCTGAGAGAACAAGGGCTCTTCCAGATTGGTCTAAAGAGTGGTTTCTTACAAAATTACTCCATGGGTTTTGGTGGTTATTCCATTGGTTCAAGAGAGAGTTTAAGGACCAAAAGATACTTTTTTGTTACACGTTTCAGCATTGAAAAGAAACTCAGTTAAAGATGGTAATAAACTATTGTAGCAATTGTGGGATGACAGAAAAGTTGTTTGGATGTTTTAAAAAACCCAACAACTTACAACAACAAATATTACGACCTCCTGATGCATCATCATCGTAAACCTAGGAATAAGAATTTCTAATTGGATATCCACACTGAAAGGATATAGCAATACGAACACAATTTAACTGCCGTGTTGCCACAGTACAGATTCTAAGTTTCATGCTGTATCTAGAACTCTTGGTCTGCAGTTCCACAGAATTCTAACTTTGTCACTAAACTACAAATCCCAAGATTCCATATGATGGGACCCATGAAAGCTGGAATGGAATTGTAGTGGTATAACTGCGCAGTGTGGATCCATTCCTAGCTTGGCATGGAAGGTTGAGAATTTTGTTCAGTCTACTTCTTACAAGGACTACCGACAATTGTCCATCTATATAAATAAAAATGTAATGTTCGTTTGTGGGATTAACAGAACTGAAAAACCAGTGGGCAAATTGACACCAAATTTGAACAACATACACCTAACAACCCAATGTATGTCTTTCACTAAAAAAAATTGATTATGTAATTTGGGAGTTCTGGTTGCTGGGATTTATAGTTCACCTACAATCAAAGAGCATTCTGAACTCCACTAGTTATGGCACTGAACCAAACGTGGCATACAGGACTCCCATGGCCAACAGAAAACACTAGAAGGGTCTAGTGGGCATTGACCTTGAGTTTGGGAGTTGTAGTTCACCTACATCCAGAGAGCACTGTGGACTCAAACAATGACGGATCTGGACCAAACTTGGCACAAATATTCCATATGCCCAAATATGAACACAGAAGGGGTTTGGAGGAAATAGACCTTGGCATTTGGGATTTGTAGTTACTGGGATTTATAATTCACCTACCATCAAAGAGCATTCTGAATCCCACAAATGACAGAAATGGGGCCAGGGACGGCTCAAGCCATTACGCGAAGTAAGTATTTGCAGTATAGTTGATTTTGCCCAGGGGCGCTCTTGAGGCTCTCTTGGGGGAAAATAGACCTTGACATATGCGAGTTGTAGTTACTGAGATGTATAGTTCACCTAAAATCAAAGAGCATTCTGAACTCCACCAATGATGGAATTGAACCAAATATGGCACACACAATTCCCATGACGAACAGAAAATATATATCAGTTGGTTTTTTTTTTTTTTGGGGGGGGGGGGGCAAAATACTGTTTGCTTACCGTTGAAAATTAACTAGGGCCGCCTCTGATTTGGGGCAAATTTCCCACACAGAACCCCCATGACCAACAGAAAATATTTACAGCCATCCAGTCCAACTCTCTTCACCAGGGCAAGAAAATGTAATCAGAGCCCTCCTGACAAAGAGCTATCCAGCCATAAATATAGATAGATATAGATAGATAGATAGATAGATAGATAGATAGATAGATAGATAGATAGATAGATAGATAGATAGATAGATGATAGATAGATATGATTCACACACACAGAGAGATATAGTATAATAGATTTGAAAGGGACCCCTCAAGAAGGACTATGATATGTTGCATGTTCCAGGGTGGGCAAACCAGACACTCTCCACATCAACACTGACAAAGAAACAACAAGAAAGACTTTTAACCCACAAGCATAAAGAAATTACATATATTAGAAACCAACACGTTCTCATTACTTTATTTTCCAGATCACTAGACTGGGCCACAGCAACGCGTGGCAGGGGATAGCTAGTTCCTTTATATAGAGAATGAGGATATTTCTTAATGTTTCAGGTGTGATTGAATGCAGAATTTATAAACATCCATCTCTAAAGTTTATCTGATAGAGCCTGTGCCTAATTAACTATAGTGCCAAGCCGATGGACATTATTTGAGAGAAAAATGAATATAAATCAAATAAAGAAGTAGAGTTTTTTTCCCCCTCTTTTCTACTCCCTGTAGCTTGCTGAAATGTTTCCATGGTTGATGAAAAAGCTCCCGGGGCCTCACCATAAGGCACAGAACTCTGCAAAGCTGGTGCTTTCGTTTACAAAGAAAGAGCTCAAGAAGCATAAGGAGCAACAGTCCCTCCATGAGCCGCGGGATTTCATTGATTTCTATCTACTCCAAATAGAAAAGGTGAGTCTCCAGCATCATCTCAAGATACTTTCCTATCTTGTGCCCAAATAGCATGCAACCCACACTGAAGTCAGCATCATAAACAGTCTTAATTCAGATCGTAAAGGTAAAGGTAAAGGTTTACCTTAACATTAAGTCCAGTCATGTCCGACTGTGTGGGGTGGTGCTCATCTCCATTTCTAAGCCAAAGAGCCGGCGTTCAGTTAGGAGCAGACCGGGTAGAGGCCTCCTAGGTCCTGTGGCCAGCATGACTGCATGGAGCGCCATTACCTTCCCGCCGAAGCAGTCCCTATTGATCTACTCACATTTGCATGTTTTCGAGTTGCTAGATTGGCAGAAGCTGGAACTAACAGTGGGAGCTCACCCCACTCCCTTGGTATGAACTGCCAACCTTTCTGTCAGGAAGTTCAACAGCTCAGTGGTTTAACCCGCTGCATCACCAAGGGGGCCTGATGAATAGGTTTGCACTATCTAAGAATAAACAGCTACTTGTTTAATACGCAGACTTATAAAATTCTACTTACACAACTGTGGACTGAATACAGATGTTACACAAAGGTCTACACTGTATTCAGATCATAGAAATGGAAGAGACCCAAGGGCTATCCAGTCCAAACCCCTGTTGTGATCCCTTTCCCATGAAGTGTTGTCAGGCCAGGTGTCACCCATCCTAGATCTGTGCATTTCATTTATTTCCAAAGTATAGTACCATATACTTCTCTCTGTTGAAATTCATTTTGTTAGGTTTGGCCCAGTTCTCTAATCTCTAAAGGTCATTTTGGATTCTGATGCTGTCCTCTGGGGTATTAGCAGACAAAATCAACTGCATTGTTGCAGGCTTTCATGGCCGGAATCACTGGGTTGTTGTAGGGTTTTTTTGGGCTACATGGCCATGTTCTAGAGGCGTTCTCTCCTGACGTTTCACCTGCATCTATGGCACTACCTCTGAGGATGCTTGCCATAGATGCAGGCAAAACGTCAGGAGAGAATGCCTCTAGAACATGGCCATATAACCCCCCCCCCAAAAAAACTATAACAACCCAAAATCAACTGCCTTTAGGGTATTTAGGCACTTGATGTGATAGACCCATTGAGTCAAAAGGGGCCTCTTGAGCCAGTCTAGCCTGCTTTTGAGGGCATCCAGAGGGCAATTTGTTCTATTGCCAACCCACTTTTGCCATCAAGACGTTCTAATGTTCAGTCAAAACCTTTAAGGTAAAGGTTGTCCCCTGACATTAAGTCCAGTCATGTCTGACTCTGGGGTGTGATGCTCATGTCCATTTCTAAGCTGAAGAGCCGGTGTTGTCCGTAGACACCTCCAAGGTCATGTGGCTGGCATGACTGCATGGAACGCTGTTACCTTCCCACCGGAGCGGTACCTATTGATCTACTTACATTTGCATGTTTTCGAACTGCCAGGTTGGCAGAAGCTAGGGCTGGCAAAGGAAGCTCACACCGCTCCCCGGAATCGAACCTGCAACCTTTCGGTCAACAAGCTCAGCAGTTTAACGCTTTAATCCACTGTGCCACCGGGGGTTCCCAAAAACCTTATCTCCTGTTAATTTCAAGCCATTAGATCAGGTAGTGGAAGCAATGCTTTTGGATTTGGAAAGATTAGCCATTTATGAGAAACAAGAAATGTTGCCCAAGAGACACCCAATTATATTTACTCAGTCTTCAAGGAGGCTCTTTCCATGTCCCCCAGGTGACTAATTTTGAAAGAAATAAAGTTGAACACTGTGAAAACCACCCAATGCATGGCTATCAGCCTCCTCCAAGTAGACTCAAATCAAGGAAAAGTTTCATGAGAACCACCACTCCACTAAATGTTCCTCCAGCAACAGCAAGAATATCCCTGTAGGCAGCAAAACCAGGCAATTTCAACTGGATGGCCCCCACGATGATTTGCCTCCAAGGGCAAACCAAGTATGGGCAGCTTGGAAGTCCCTGAACAGACTCAGAAGCAAAGTGGACAGATCAAAAGACAACCTGTCAAAATGGCACTACCTAAAAGAATCCCACACCTTGTGTGACTGTGGAGCAGAACAGACAACTCCGCATCTGTATACTTGTCCACTATGCCCTGCCTCGTGTACAGAGGAAGAATTGTTGGAGGCTACAGACAATGCGGTTGCTGTTGCCCATTTTTGGTCAAAATATATTTAGCCACTTGTGCTCCTTCTATTTTTTATCAGTTTTATACTTATTTATAGAAGCCCCCGGTGGCGCAGTGGGTTAAAGCACCGAGCTGCTGAGCTTCTTGACCGAAAGGTCGCAGGTTTGATTCCGGGGAGCGGCATGAGTTTCCGCTGTCAGCCCTAGCTTCTGCCAACCTAGCAGTTTGAAAACATGCAAATGTGAGTAGATCAATAGGTACCGCTCCGGCGGGAAGGTAACATGCAGTCATGCCGGTCACATGACCTTGGAGGTATATATGGACTACGCCGGCTCTTCAGCTTGGAAATGGAGATGAGCACCACACCCCAGAGTCAGACATGACTGGACTTAATGTCAGGGGACAACCTTTACCCTTACCTATACTTATTTATGCAATGGTTTGACACAAAATGTGAGCCAGCTGCACCCGTACCTTGGGAAGTCTGACTTGGCCATGGTGGTACACGCTCTGGTTACATCCCGTATAGACTACTGCAACGCTCTCTACGTGGGGTTGCCTCTGAAAACTGCCCGGAAGCTACAACTAGTCCAACGAGCGGCAGGCAGACTACTAACAGGAGCGGGGTACAGGGAGCATACGGCTCCTCTGTTGCATCAGCTCCACTGGCTGCCAATCAACTTCCGAGCACAATTCAAAGTGCTGGTGTTGACCTATAAATCCCTAAACGGTTCTGGCCCAATTTACCTGTCCGAACGGATTCTCCCCTATGAACCATCAAGGTTTTTAAGAGGGGCCCTGCTCTCGGTCCCACCTATTTCGCAATCGCGCTTGGTGGGAACGAGAGACAGGGCCTTCTCGGTGGTGGCCCCTCGGCTCAGGAACTCCCTCCCGATGGAGATTAGATCTGCCTCTTCCCTCCTAACTTTTAGGAAGCTGGTAAAATCATGGCTTTGGGACACTACATTTGCAGATTGATGACTGAGTCAATAACTGTTGACCTACTGGCGGATGGCGATGAATTTGAATTTGTGATTTCACTCTGACGAACTGACTTTTTTCGTAAATGGTATGAATTGTATTTTAATGTATTGATGATGTATATTTGCTTTATCTTATTGTACTGAATTTTCTGTTGTTAGCCGGCCTGAGTCCCTCTCCGGAGGTTGAGAAGGCCGGGTTATAAAAACTCTAAATAAATAATAAATAAATAAAATAAAAATAAGCTTTGAAGTACAGTGTGTGATTGATTTTACACAACATTCCCTGCTTTATTTTTAACAGAGCAAGGATGACCCCAACTCCACCTATAACGATGAGAACCTAGCACAGTGTATTCTTGACCTCTTCATAGCAGGCACTGAGACAACTGCCACTGCTTTGCAATGGGCTCTGCTCCTCATGGTGGTTTATCCAGACATTCAAGGTAAGGACTTCAATGTAGGGTAAGTGTGCAGTTTAAATAAGACTCTACAATTCAAGAAGAAGAAAAAACACCCTTTCTCCTGTTTTCCCCAGAAAAGGTATACAAGGAGATGGTCAGTGTTTTTGGTTCTTCCCACTCAATCTGCTATCAAGATCGGCACAAACTGCCCTTTACCAACGCTGTGATTCATGAGGTGCTGCGTGCCAAATTTATGCTACCGGTTGGGATCCCCAGACGAAGTGCGTCAGATGTGACCATGCAAGGTTTCACTATTCCCAAGGTACAGAAGAGTGGATATGGCTTTGTTTGTGTATTTCCTAAGAGTTTCACTATAACAACTAAGAGACTGGCTATTTCGGATTGATTCAAGAAGGACTCCGCAATCAACCAGGAAAAATTTCAAAAATTTCCTCATGGTTCCCCTTTTTGAAAACTGAACTTTTCAGAGCCAGATATCTGATTTATTTATTTATTTTGTCGTGTCAGGGCAACCAGTCAATTGTATTACATTTTTAACAGAACAAAACATACAAACAGACAGACAAAACATGAAATTTGCAAGTTTGGTAGTTGATTAAATGTCCTTTGACCAGTATTTGGCCACTTGGAGCGCTTCTGGGGTTGCTGCAAGAAGGTCCTCCATTGTGCATGTGGCCGGGCTCAGGGTGCATTGCAGCAGGTGGTCAGTGGTTTGCTCTTCTCCACACTCGCATGTCGTGGATTCCACTTTGTAGCCCCATTTCTTGAGGTTGGCTCTGCATCTCGTGGTGCCAGAGCGCAGTCTGTTCAGTGCCTTCCAAGTCACCCAGTTTTCTGTGTGCCCAGGGGGGAGTCTCTCATTTGGTATCAGCCATTGGTTGAGGTTCTGGGTTTGAGCCTGCCACTTTTGGATTCTCACTTGCTGAGGTGTTCCAGCGAGTGTCTGTAGATCTTAGAAAACTGTTTCTAGATTTAACTATTTCTAGATATCTGATTAAGCTTAAGCCACCTTTCTTAAGAATTGCCTTCACTGAGCCACAATTCCAAGCAGTGCCAACCCCAGTGTTAGATGGTCGCTACTATTATGTGCCATGGGAAAACAGACCATGTATCTGTAGTCAATGTCAGGTAGAGGACATTGTGCATTATTTGTTAATCTGCCCTTTGTATAGTGATCCAAGAGAAAGACACCTGAAACCCTTGCTGACACAAGGTAAAGGGAACTCGGTGCAGTTTTTGCTGAGCAACACATATGACTACGTAACTTACAAAGTAGCCCCTTTTGCTCTTTCTGCAAAAAAGATCAGAAATATAGAGTTAGATAAAATTGCCATCAACTGCCAAGGAGACTCTAAACTGGACCCTCTTCCAAAATGTATCATTATTGTTAACTTGCATTGTTTATGTTCTTTGTGGGAGCAAGATTAAGGTTTCTGTTTGGTATCTTTGGTGCCTTTTGCTCCGAGGGTGCTATTGTGCACATGTGGTGCTTTTTTGTCATGGCCTTGGGCCAGTACAAGAAACTATTTTGAGGATGATGAACAGCTATATCTATACAGAAACTTTCTGTGCATTGCAAGTTTTGATAATCAAGAAGCTCATTCTTCCCCTCAAAAAACTGAAATTGAAAAAAAAAAGTAGTCTAGCAATAGGCACAGCTTCCCAACTGCCTTGTGGCATGGGACGAAAGTTCAAGAGCCAAACACAAATTAAAATATATTTGTGCAGATGAGTTCCTTTCAGTACATGATTTCAGAATTGTATCTCTTCTCGTAAAATAATATGCTTATGTTACCAGTTCAACACACTACCGTTATATAACCTCACTGCCACTGGAATAGTCTCAAAATAATGTTCTTTCCTTCTGCATAGTTCAACTCCATTGTTCCTGCAGATCTAACTCTAATTAACCCCAAAACTGGTGTTTCCAGGTTCTGTGCTGGTACTTTGTTGTCTGTTACATGATTTACAACGCCTGGAGGCACCTAAAGCTGGCATATATATATAGAGAGAGAGAGAGAGAGAGAGAGAGAGGACCACCCCCCACCCCCATGGCCTAGTGGGTTAAAGTGCTGAGCTGCTGAGCTTGTTGACTGAAATGTCACAGGTTCAATTACGGGGAGCGGCGTGAGCTTCCGCTGTCAGCCCCAACTTCTGCCAACCTAGCAGTTTGAAAACATGCAAATGTGAATAGATCAATAGGTACCGCTCCAGTGTGAAGGTAATGGCGTTCCATGCAGTCATGCCTGCCACATGACCTTGGAAATGTCTACGGACAATGCCGGCTCTTCGGCTTAGAAATAGAGATGAGCACCACATTGCAGAGTTGGACACTACTAGACTTAATGTCAGGGGAAAACCTTTACCTTTACACACACTCTCTCTCTCTCTCTCTCTCTCTCTCTGTGTGTGTGTGTGTGTGTGTGTGTGTGTGTGTGTGTGTATATATATATATATATATATATATATATATATATATATATAATTTTGTTGTTGTGTGTTTTCAAGTTGGGTCCAACCTATCACAGCCCTAAGGGTTTTTCCTGACAAGGTTTATTCAGAGGAAATTTGTCATTGCCTTAATAGGCCAATATTTTCTTCCGTTCTAGGAGACTCTATTCTATAGTAGAGTCAAGGAAAAGTATTGCAAGTAAAGTATGTTTTATAATAAGTTTGTGAAGTTTTTATTGGCTCATGGAGGAGTTGTTATCCCTGCAATGTTATAGGAATGCAAGGATCATTCTTGCCCCAGCCTGTTTAATGTCTCTCTCCTCCCATTACATAAATCTGCCTCTGATAACTATTTGATGTCTCTCTCCCCCATTGCATAAACCTTCCTCTGATAACAACACAAGTCGAAAGGACAGTTTGTTGTTATTATTATTTCCAACCTAACACATGTTTATGAGAATATGTTTTGCTTGGGAGAGTCCAGAGACTTTGGCATGCAAAACTGAGTGGAAAAACAGTAATATTCTGGAAGTATCCTACTGAATCAACTTTTTTGGTTTGCTTTTAGAAAACTATGGTCATTACAGATTTGCGCTCAGTTCTCCTGGATCCCAAGCACTGGGAAGCCCCTGAAGAGTTCAACCCAAGCAATTTTTTGGACAAGGATGGGAATTTTGTAGCCAGAGAAGAATTTTTGCCATTTGGCGCAGGTAAGAACCTCAACCCCTTTGAATGTGGAGATAGATCTTCAGATGCCATGGACTGCTAGAAAGATAAATACTATATATTCCGGCGTACTAGACTACTTTTTTAGCCTGGAAAATCCTTGCTGAACTTGGGGGTCGTCTAGTACGCTGGGTATAAAAATTCGCTTCCTGTTTTGTGGCCAGGCGAGGGAGGCGGGCAACTGCCTAGCTGTTGCACTCCTCCAGCACCGCTTTTCTCCCACTGCTGGGCTTCAGCCTCACCGAGGGGCTCCTCCACTCCATGCCCGCCTTGGTTATCAGGGTAGCGGTGGCGGCAGAAGAGGCGATATACATCACCTCTTCCTCCACCGCCACACTGACAGCCGAGGCAAGCATGGAGTGGAAGAGCCCCTTTGCGAAACTGAAGCTCAGCACCGGAGGCAACCAGTGCTGGAGGGCGAGCCCATTCCGAGGAATGGAGGAGCCTCGGTGAAGCTGAAGCCCGGCGGCGGGTAACAAGCAGAACCGAGGGGTCCCTTTCAAATCTATGATACTATATCTCTCTGTGTGTGAATCATATCTATCTATCTATCTATCTATCTATCTATCTATCTATCCATCCATCTATCTATATCTATGGCTGGATAGCTCTTTCTCACCCCCGAGGGGGGACTCAGGGTGGCTAACACAGGCAACAATTCAATGCCAACAGTATCAAAACAATAATATAAAACAGCAATATAAAATCCATTACATAACAATTAAACAGTGATATTAATTAAAATTACATAATCACATAGAACAAATCACATAATCACAGGTCATAAAGCCATTTCCAATTTTCAAACAATCCTATTGTCCGGGTTCAGTGCCTAAAGTGCTGCTGTGCCCACTAGCCAAAGGCCTGGCTCCAAAACCACGTCTTTAGTTTTTTTCCTAAAAGTAAGGAGGGAGGACGCCGATCTAATCTCGCTGGGGAGCGAATTCTATAAGCGGGGGGTCACCACCAAGAAGGCCCTGTCCCTCGTCCCCACCAGATGCGTTTGGGACACTGGTGGGACCGAGAGCAGGACCTCCCCAGTAGATCTTAAATTACAAGGTGTAACGTAGAGAGAGATACGTTCGGATAAGTAAGTTACAATAAAGCAAGATAAAATACTTATAGAGCAGGCAACAACATCAAATAAAAACGCTTAACAGTAACATACTGTAGTAATGGGATAAAATAATAACAATAACATAATAAAACAAAGAATAAAATGCTAAAAGAAATTTAACAAGGGCGAGCTGGGGCAAATGTAAAGGAAAAAAATTGTAAAACTCTTGGGTGAGATAGATAGATAGATAGATAGATAGATAGATAGATAGATAGGGTGCTGTGTCTGGTGGGAGGTTTGGGTGAGACAAACAATAAGGCAGTATCCACTATGGGATGAGATGAAGTGCATCAGAAAGACAAATTGGTACTGGGATGGGACATGGCATGGGAATTTGTTGTTCATTCCTCAAATGCACACCAGAAAAGCCAAATCTCTAAGCTTTTCCTAAAGGCTGCCAGTGTGGGTGCTTGCCTAATCACTCTGGGAAGCAAATTCCAGAGCCGAGGGGCCACCACGGATAAGGCCCTCTCCCTTGTCTCCACAAGCTACGCTTGCAACAAAGGCAGGAGTGAAAGGAGGGCCTCCCCCCGAAAATGAAAGGGATTGCACATAGGAGGAAATGGGATCAAGGAGGTAGGTGGGTCCCAAACCATTCAAGGCTTTGTAGGTGATAACCTGCGCCTTTTGGGGCCCAGAAAATGAATGGCAGCTAATGGAGCTCCTTAAACAGGGTAGTAGACCACTCCTTGTAATTAGCTCCAGTTAGCAGCCTGGCTGCCAATTGCTGGACCAATTGAAGTTTCCGGGCCATCTTCAAGGGCAGCCCCACATAGAGTGCATTGCAATAGTCCAATTTAGAGGTAACTAAGAAAATTAAAGGCACTTGTGGAAGAACCGATGAGCATAACAAAAGGATCGCATTAGAAGTGGGGACACTGTCTAACTATACAACTCCACAAGGGTGTAGTTATGAAGACAAGGTCTTCACAAATAAGAATTCTATCCCTCTAGAGCAGTGGTTCTCAACCTTCTTAATGCAACGACCCCTTAATACACTTCCTCATGTTGTGGTGACCCCACAACCTTAAAATTATTTTCATTGCTACTTCACAACTGTAATTTTGCTACTGAATAGTAATGTAAATATCTGAAATGCAGGATGTATTTTCATTCACTGGACCACATTTGGCACAAATACCCAATACGCCCAAATTTGAATACTGGTGGGGTTTGGGGGGGGGGGTTGATTTTGTCATTTGGGAGTTGTAGTTGCTGGGATTTATAGTTCACCTACAATTAAAAGGCATTCTGAACTCCACCAACAATGAAATTGAACCAATCCTGGCACACAGAACTCCAATAGCCAAGAGAAAATATTGGAAGGGTTTGGTGGGCATTGACCTTGAGTTTTGGAGTTGTAGTTCACCTACATCCAGAGAGCACTGTGGACTCAAACAACGATGGATCTGGACCAAATTTAGCACAAATACTCAATATACACAAATGTGAACACTGGTGGAGTTTGGGGGAAAATAGCCCTTGACATTTTGGAATTGTAGTTGCTGAGATTTATAGTTCACCTACAATCAAAGAGCATTCTGAACAACACCAACGATAGAATTGGGCCAAATTTCCCACATAGAACCCCTATGACCAACAGAAAATACTGTGTTTTCTGATGGTTTTTGGCGACCCCTCTGACATCCCCCTCATGACCCCTCCAGGGCTCCCGACCCCCAGGTTGAGAAAGGCTGCTGTAGGGAAATTGTTCTTTAAACTACAGAAAATGAGAGTCTGCCTAATCATCAGAAAAAACCTCCTGATGGTAAAGAGTTGTTCAACCATGGCATACACTTCCTCAGAGTGTGGTGGAGTCTCCTTCTCTGGAGGTTTTTAAACAGAAACTGGATGGCCATCTGCCAGGAGTGCTTTGACTGAGTATTTTTCCTTGGCAGAAGGTTGGACTGGATGGTCCTTGTGGTCTATTCCAATACTATGATTCCATGAATTGATTGCTGGAGAATAGGAAGGACAGGTTCTTGCTGACTTGCTGTTTCTCCACTTTTTCGTCTCTTTTAGGGGCTCGGGCTTGTTTGGGGGAGCAGATGGCGAAGATGGAGCTTTTCCTTTTCTTCACCAACCTGATCAAGGTCTTCAGGCTCCAGCTGCCAGAGGGAGTAAAAGAACTGAGTAAAGAGCCACTCATGGGCTTGACATTTCATCCTCATCCCTATAAACTCTGTGCTATTCCTCGCTCCAGTCTATCATAGAAGCTATGAATATTTATATTTTCAACATGACCTGCTGTGGTTTTTTTGCTACTACAAATCTGTCATATCTTTTCTGTTTAACTGAAGGAAGTCTCCAGGCTTCCAGAAATTTAGAGAGTTCCGCCATGATGGTTAAGAGAGCCAATGTGATGTAGAGGTTGAAGCATTGGATGATGACTCTGGAGGCCACGGAAATCCAATGGGTGACCTTGGACAAATCACATACTATTCCACCTTCTGAAGAAGGTAGTAACAACCCTCCTCTGAACAAATGTTCTCAAGGACACTTGATAACAGGGATTTCTCTGCAGCAGTGCTTGTGGTACTCATATCCAAGGGAGTTAGGCTGGTCTCCTCTCTTTTAAGCTTCATTGGACAGGCATGACATTCAGTGTTTTAAAAGTGCAGTTTTAACTGTTTCAAAACTGGGTTCTAGGACTATTTATAATGTATTTTTAAAATGTTATCTCTCTGTTGTTTTTGTTCGTCCATTGCCTTGTGTGACTTTGTGGGATGGGGCGTGAATCAGAAACATGTTAAATAAATAAAATAATAAGGTCAGCCAATGCTCTCTCTTGCATGTATCATTGCCTTCTGAAACATGGGTGGTGGGAATGTTTTTGGTGCTGGCCCCTAACTTTTTCCCATATATGAAACTAGCTTTCTGTTTCATAAGTGTTCCATCTTCTAGGAGCATAGTTTGCATTACCTTTTAGTTGCATGGGATAGTGTTCCTTTGCATTTCCCCAGGGTTGCTACAATCTCAGCTGCTCTCTGAAAGTTAACAGCATTAGAGGCTAGAAAGCCAGCCTGCAGGCCCCTTTTGTAACTATTGGTTCAGAAAGTATCTCTTTGGGTTTAGAGACCACCCTTTTTCCTGGGTTGAGATCTTCATTTTGGAATCTCCCCTGCCTCCTTCAGTAGAGAAAGGAAGCTTCAGATGTTCAGGCAGGTAACTCTGAAAAAACCATTGTAAGAAAAATTGAGATACTATAGATAGTGACTGAGAACTAGGTAGAAAGATTGAGATTGAGATACTATAGATTGAGACAAAGATACTGATTGAGAACTAGGTAGGAAGATTGAGATTGAGATACTATCGATAAAGAAGCTAATTGAGACAGATAGATAGAATAGCAATTGACCAATTGAGTTATGGATAGATATTGAGTTATTGAGAAATAGTTATTGAGCACTATTTGCTTCATCTCCAAAACTAACCTTGGGCTGGAATAGGGAAGGACTACGCTTTCTAAAAGATAGTGGCTCAGAGTTGGGGTAAAAAGATCTCAGGATTTTTTTCTACCATTTGGATGAAGGCAGCTCAGTGACTAGAGGAAAAAGAAAAGAAAGAACATCTCTGTGGTTCCACCAATTGACTGTTTTGTTTATAACCTTAACAAGCTGTGCCAAGTCTGCAAGGACTTTGAGAAATAAATATTCTGTTTTGATGTTCAAAGCCTGTAGTAGCCTCAGTTGCTGGGAATCTCAAGCTTCTAAAGAAAGACCCCCGCGGTCCACCCACACAAAGAGAGAAGCACATCTTAGTTTTATTTTTATAGGGTCTGGGTATGACGGCACAATAAGATTAGATCATCTCTCCCTTTATATGTATTATGCTGATAAATTTCTTTTTATTCAAGCGTTTGATTATAATATAATACATTATATATACATATAATATTATAATGTAATACAATATAATACTACTAATAATAATACAATATTATAATTATATACTTTATATTATATGCAATAGTGCTAATAATATTACAATATAATGGTCCAAATGCATCTCCCCTTATGAACCATCGAGGACTTTAAGATCATCTGGGGAGGCTCTGCTTTCGGTCCCGCCTTTGTCACAAGTATGTCTGGTGGGAACGAGAGACGGGGCCTTCTCAGCGGTGGCCCCTCGGCTATGGAACACCCTCCCTAGGGATATCAGATCACCTTCTTCCCTTCTAACATTTTGAAAAAAAACCTCAAGACATGGCTTTTCAAGCAAGCGTTTGCAAATACAGAGTACCTGACACAGGAAAATGGAACAAGTATACGATGGGACCGGACAATGTTTTTAATAAGGATTCATTAATGACTTACGTTTATTGCTGTTGCTATGATTTTATTTATGTCAGTGTTTTAAAATTGTATTCATACTTTTGTGGCATTGAATTTTGCTTTGTAAACTCCCTCGAGTTGCCTGAGGCTCAGAGGCAGTAAATAAATAAATAAATATAGTACATTATAGTAATATATAATACTGATATTGCACTATGCTAATAATATAATATATTGTAGGTATATATATCTTGTAAGCCGCTCTGAGTCCCCTTCGGGGTGAGAAGGGTGGCATATAAATGTCGCAAATAAATAAATAAATAAATAAATAAATAAAATTGACTCTGCTGTTCAACAACAACAACAGCACAACGGTCCATGACCAACACAAAGTGGGACACAAATGCCCCGGGAAAGGAGAAACGTAGTGCCCTAGTGAAGCAGTTATTTTAAAAAAAGATTAGAAAACAGTTTGAAATCACAGTTCAAAGACACAGGTTAATGTAGCAGGTATAGAACTAAGGGGGAAAGACTGATAGGAGGGGTCAAAGCACTGGGAGGGCACTAAAGGGGACAGGAGGGGCACATTACAAGTCTAGTAGCATTTCAGCTGTAACAGGTTGCTCTATCTCAGATACAGGCAAACTTCGGCCCTCCGGGTGTTTTGGACTCCAACTCCCACCATTCCTAACAGTTAATAGGCTGTTAGGAACTGTGGAAGTTGAAGTCCAAAACACGTGAAGGGCCGAAGTTTGTCCATGCCTGCTCCAGCTGCATTCCCGACAGTGTTGCCTTGCAGAGTTGATCATCATCTGTTTAATTTTAAGCGCTGCAGCACAAAACTTAGCAACACTGTAAGGTATTGTAGTCTTAGAGTCCGAAAGCAGCAGTGTAATGTTTTTGGTGTGCCCTGCATATTTTAGAAGCCATGGTGTAATGAGATTAGTTCTAATGTCTCTTAGAACATGTGTTGAAGGAGCATTGAAGGTACCTCCCCTCCAATATCACCAAAGGAAGGGGATGGCATCTTGCCAGGGGAAAAAGTCCCTTCAGTGTTTAGGCACCTCCAGGTGTGTTAGATCAGCCGTGGAGGTGGTCAGGTATCTATTAGCTTCACTAACAATAAAGGCAGGGGAGCAGGCTAAGTCAGATTAGCCCTCTATGACCAGGATCCAACTTGGTCCAGCATGCTTAGTAGCTGTCCTTGAGAGAAACCGAATGTTATGATCTTTACTGCCACTGTTGTAGTCCATGTGGACTGGAAGTTGTCCCTCATAGTTAGGGAGGCAAGTCCACCTTGTCAGAAGGACAGATATAGCCAGTAGTTGACTCTCTGCCATTGCTTAATATTATTTACGTTCCCGTACAGTGGAGGCTGGTAGTTTCCATGTCAATGAAGTATCAACGTTTTAGTATCAACGTTATGAGAACTCTCCAAGTTGGTGAAGCCTGACACTGGAGTTGCCAGTGAACACTTGCCTGATGTGTGTTTGGTCTACTTTCAGGTTCTTTCTTTTATTGCCATCTTGCATGAAACACCAGAATGTGATTCTTATGGTATTATAGACAACTTCTGATGTTTCAGGAGATTGATAGGAGCTTTTTTAAAAGAAAGTCCAAGATATTTTGATGCTAGAGGAGCAACAACAAATGGGAAGTTCTGGTCAGTAAGGAAAACTCACCTATATTGTGCTTCAGTAGTTATATTTATATTTTTAATGTACCAAACATATCAAGTTTGTATGAAAACGTGATTCTATTTTCTGTGCTGGTCAATGACCGAAATAACTGATTTGATTGATTGATTGATTGATGGTCAGTAAGGAAGCTAATGCCAAAGTCAATTTAATACCCAAGATAGAAAATTTCACAAACAATGTTCTCTATTCATTTGGAGCCATGGAGAAGAAGAAGTAAACAGGTTCATGGGATCACCTGAACAACATCCACCCAAACATCCAATTCATGATGGAAAAAGAAAATGAAGGAAAACTGCCTTTTCTAGATGTCCTAGTCATCCACAAACCAGATCAACAATTGGGCCACACAGTTTACAGAAAACCTACACGCACAGATAGATACCGGCATAAAAACTCCAACCATCACCCAAGTCAAAAAAGAAGCACCACTAAAATGTTCTCTATTATTAGCTCTAAAATTATAGCAAATTGAATCTGGATACTGCCCTACTTGAATTGGACCCCATTGGGGTCCAATTTGCCTATCCCCTGAATTTTGTGGTGATAGACATTATTTCTCCTAAGTTTATTTAGACTTCTCAGAAGAGGAGGCGAATCAGCATTGTACTCTTCATGAGAACAGCAAACAAGTTGAAGGTGGTTTAATGATGCTACTAAGGAATATAAAGGACAATCCTTTAAAATCTGTGGTTTCATAATTAAAAGGAAGAAGCATGCTTCATACCCTTGAAAATCATTCGGGAGACTGCTTTTAGATCAACTACAGGGACTGTGCATTAGAAGGTTTTACCTTCCAAAGCAAATCTGTGTGTGCAAGCACCAGAGAAGCCAACCAGGAAATTTTATGCTATTGGTATTTAAATTTGATTAAACTCAAAGGTATTTATTTGTCGTGTCAGAGCAACCAGTCCATTATATTACATTTCTAACAGAACAAAGCAAACAAACAGACAAAATACAAAATTTGTGAGTTTGGTAGTTGATTAAATGTCCTTTGACCAGTATCTGGCCACTTGGCCAGATACTTGGAAGGCACCGAACAGACTGCGCTCTGGCACCACGAGATGCAGAGCCAACCTTCAGAAATGGGGCTACAAAGTGGAATCCTCGACATGCGAGTGTAGAGAAGAGCAAACCACTGACCACCTGCTGCAATGCAACCTGAGCCCTGCCACATGCACAAGGGAGGACCTTCTTGCAGCAACACCAGAGGCACTCCAAGTGGCCAGATACTGGGCAAAGGACATTTAATCAACTACCAAACTCACAAATTTTGTATTTTGTCTGTTTGTTTGTTTGCTTTGTTCTGTTAGAAATGTAATATAATCTGACTGGTTGTCCTGACATAGCAAATAAATAACAAATAAATAACTTCCTGTATGATTTTAACAGCTTTTGCCTGATGAAGCAGCCAGTGGAGCTTTGAAAACTTAAATGATGTATTTTGTGTGTTTCGGTTTGCCATTAAGATATCACTCCTTTCTGGATTTTATTGTATTTCATTTGCCTGACCAACATCACTGCTCCTAGGTGAAATTCTGACATTTGAAAAGTGTCTAAAGGAAATGTTGGGAAATGCCTGTCCTATACAGTCCAATACTCCCATCTAGTGGTTGAAATGAACAATGCAAAAGATACATGATTATTACCATTAATGATGATGATGGAGGTGATAAAAATATTTATATTGTGTCAGAAGAGACTTGAGAAACTGCAAGTTGCTTCTGATGTGAGAGAATTGGCCGTCTGCAAGGACATTGCCCAGGAGGTGCCCACAGTGTTACCATCCTGTGGGAGCATTCTCTCATGTCCCCACATGGGAAGCTGGAACTGACAGACAGGAGCTCATCCCATCTCGCAGATTCGAACCATCGATCTTCCATTCTTCAGGTCAGCATTTCCACCGGCACAATGGTTTAACCCACTGCACCACCGCAGCTCTGTAATAATAAAGAATAAGAATAATAACAAAACAAATAGTAAATAAACAAAGTATGGATTATCGATGTTGCAATTTATTATTTATTTATTTCGCACATTTCTACCCCGCCCTTCTCGACCCCCGAGGGGGGACTCAGGGCGGCTTACAAAAGGCACAATTCGATGCCAACAACAAATATAAGATAAAACATGCATAAACAGCAATTATAAACAATTAAAACAATCAAGTTATACATCACAATCAATAAAAACTAATCTCATGTTCAACGTTCGCCAGCTCAGAATCTGTAAATTCATTCCACATTGTCAAATCCTATCAATTCTAGTCATCATTTTCCTTTGTCTATCTGCCAGATTACCCAAAGGCCTGGTCCCATATCCATATTTTTAGTTTCCTTCTAAAAGAGAGGAGGGATGTCAATGACCTAATTTCCCTGGGAAGTGAATTCCACAGGCGGGGGGCCACCACCGAGAAGGCCCTGCTCCTCGTCCCCACCAATCTCACTTGTGATAGAGGTGGGGCCAAGAGCAAAGCCTCCCCAGAAGATCTTAAACTCCGAGGCGGGACATAGAAGGAGATGCGTTCGGACAGGTACGCTGGGCCAGATCCGTATAGGGTGATAGCAGGATTGAAGAGAAACAACTGGAAAAGATGACTCGATACGAGGATTTAAAGATTGAACTGCAAAAACTCTGGCACAAGCCAGTAAAGGTGGTCCCAGTGGTGATTGGCACACTGGGTGCAGTGCCTAAAGACCTTGGCCTGCACTTAAACACAATTGGTGCTGACAAAATTACCATCTGCCAGCTGCGAAAGGCCACCTTACTGGGATCTGCACGCATTATTCGCCGATACATCACACAGTCCTAGACACTTGGGAAGGGTCCGACGTGTGATCCAATACAACAGCCAGCAGAGTGATCTTGTCTGCTGTGGACTCATCTTGTTGTGTTTCAAATAACAACAACGGCAACAACAACAATAATGTATTGCCTGCCTCTCCCTGTGGCTTGAGACAGGATACAACATCATTTAAACAAGCGGTGAACTATAGGTGAACTATAAATCCCAGTAAATACAATTCCCAAATGCTGAGGCCTATTTTTCCCAAACTCCACCAGTGTTCACATTTGGGCATATTGAGTATCCGTGCCAAGTTTGGTCCAGATCCATCATTGTTTGAGTCCATGGTAGTCTCTGGATGTAGGTGAACTACAACTCCCAAACTCAAGGTCAATGCCCACCAAACCCTTCCAGTATTTTCTGTTGATCATAGGAGTTCTGTGTGCCAAGTTTGGTTCAATTCCATCGTTGGTGGAGTTCAGAATGCTCTTTGATTGTAGGTGAACTATAAATCCCAGCAACTACAACTCCCAAATTGCAAGTCTATCCACATTCGGGCATATTGAGTATTTGTGCCAAGTTTGGTCCAGATCCATCATTGTTTGAGTCCACAGTACTCTCTTGAAGTACGTGAACTACAACTCCAAAACTCAAGGTCGATGCCCACCAGAACCTTCCAGTATTTTTTGTTTGTTGTGGGAGTTCTGTGTGCCAAGTTTGGTTCAATTCCATTGTTGGTGGAGTTCAGAATGCTTTTGATTGCAGGTGAACTACAAATCCCAGCAAATACAACTACCAAATGTCAATTTTCTCCAAACTCCACCAGTGTTCACATTTGGGCATATTGAATATTCGTGCCAAGTTTGGTCCAGATCCATCATTGTTTGAGTCCACAGTGCTCTCTGGATGTAGAACTACAACTCACAAACTCAAGGTCAATGCCCACCAAACCCTTCCAGTATTTTCTGTTGGTCATGGGAGTTCTGTGTGCCAAGTTTGGTTCAATTCCATCGTTGGTGGAGTTCAGAATGCTCTTTGATTGTAGGTGAACTATAAATCCCAGCAAATACAACTCCCAAATGCCAAGGCCTATTTTCCCCAAACTCACATTCGGGCATATTGAGTATTTTCTGTTGGTCATGAGAGTTCTGTGTACCAAGTTTGGTTCTATTCCATTGTTGGTGGAGTTCAGAATACTCTTTGATTGTAGGTGAACTATGTTGTTGTTGTTCATTCGTTCAGTCATCTCCGACTCTTCGTGACCTCATGGACCAGCCCACGCCAGAGCTCCCTGTCGGCCGTCACCACCCCCAGCTCCTTCAAGGTCAGTCCAGTCACTTCAAGGATGCCATCCATCCATCTTGCCCTTGGTCGGCCCCTCTTCCTTTTGCCTTCCACTTTCCCCAGCATAATTGTCTTCTCTAGGCTTTGCTGTCTCCTCATGATGTGGCCAAAGGACTTCAACTTTGTCTCTAGTATCCTTCCTTCCAGTGAGCAGCCGGGCTTTATTTCCTGGAGGATGGACTGGTTGGATCTTCTCGCAGTCCAAGGCACTCTCAGAACTTTCCTCCAACACCACAGCTCAGAAGCATAGATCTTCCTTCGCTCAGCCTTCCCTAAGGTCCAGCTCTCACATCCGTAGGTGACTACAGGGAATACCATGGCTTTGACTAGGCAATGGATCTTTGTTGCCAGTCTGATGTCTCTACTCTTTACTATTTTATCGAGACTGGACATTGCTCTCCTCCCAAGAAGGAAGCGTCTTCTGATTTCCTGGCCACAGTCTGCATCTGCACTCATCTTTGTGCTTAGAAATACAAAGTCTGTCACGGCCTCCACATTTTCTCCCTCTAATTTCCAGTTGTCAATCAATCTTGTTGCCGTAATCTTGGTTTTTTGATGTTTAGCTGCAACCCGGCTTTTGCGCTTTCTTCTTTCACCTTGATTAGAAGGCTCCTCAGCTCCTCCTCGCTTTTGGCCATCAAAGTGGTGTCATCTGCATATCTGAGGTTGTTAATGTTTCTTCCAGCAATTTTCACCCCAACTTTGCATTCATCAAGCCCCTCAAATCCTCGCATGATGTGTTCTGCATACAAGTTAAAAAGGTTGGGTGAGAGGATGCAGCCTTGCCGTACGCCTTTCCCAATCTTGAACCAGTTTGTTGTTCCGTGGTCAGTTCTGACTGTTGCTACTTGGTCCTTGTACAGATTCCTCAGGAGAGAGACAAGGTGGCTTGGGATGCCCATCCCTCCAAGAACTTGGTGAACTATAAATCCCAGCAAATACAACTGCTTTCCCCCTTTCAGTGCTTTCTGACATCAGCCTCCTTGCGCCTCCTATTGGGGAATGAAAGGAAGGCGTGGAATCAGCTTTGGACTTCAACTCCCAGAAATCCTAATCATTAGTCAAAGTAGCTGAGGCTTCTGGGAGTTGAAGTCCTCAAAAAGCTAGCGTTCGGGAATGGTTGGTGTTTGTGAGGTATACCAATAGCAACCCGCCTCCTATTGGGGAATGAAAGGAAGGTGTGAAATCAGCTTTGGACTTCAACACCCAGAAATCCTAATCATTAGTCAAAGCAGCTGAGGCTTCTGGGAGTTGAAGTCCTCACAAGCTAGCGTTAAGGAATGAGTGGCGCCCCTTCCCGGCGGCCCTTGCGGCCGGCCAAAGACATGGTGGCTCGGGCGGCGCGCGCCTCCCCGCTCCTCTCATTCTGATTGGACACAGGCTCCGTTTCCCGGCGGCCTCCGCGGCGGACGTCGACGTCACGGTCCCGAGCGGCGTCTGAGGGGAGCCCGGCAATGGCGGCCTCCTGCGCGGACATCTTGCGGAGGGAGTTCCCAGAACTCGACGGGGAGATGTTCGACTACGTGACCGGTGAGAGGAAGGCGGGTGGTTTGGGTTCCAGCCAAGGAATGCCAGGAAGGGGCGGTGGGATTGACCCCAGACTGCATTCATTCTACAATGGAGATCAGGCATGGGCAAACTTGGGCCCTCCAGGCCTTTTGGACTCCAACTCCCACAATTCCTAACAGCCTACGGCTGTTAGGAATTGTGGGAGTTGGAATCCAAAAGGCCTGGAGGGCCCAAGTTTGCCCATGCCTGCACTATAGAGCTCATAGAATAATAGAGTTAGAAGAGACCCCATGGGCCATCTAGTCCAGCCCCAAGCCATGCAAGAAAAACACAATCAAAACAACCCTGTCAGATGGCCATCCAGGTCGTGTCAGAGCAACCACTCCATTATATTACATTTCTAACAAAACAAAGCAAACAAACAGAAAAATACACAACTTGTGAGTTTGGTAGCTGGTTAAATGTCCTTTGACCAGTATCTGGCCACTTGGAGTGCCTCTGGTGTTGCTGCAAGAAGGTCCTCCATTGTGCATGTGGCAGGGCTCAGGTGGCATTGCAGCAGGTGGTCAGTGGTTTGCTCTTCTCTGCACTCGCATGTCGAGGATTCCACTTTGTAGCCCCATTTCTGAAGGTTGGCTCTGCATCTCGTGGTGCCAGAGCGCAGTCTGTTCAATGCCTTCCAAGTCGCCCAGTCTTCTGTGTGCCCAGGGGGGAGTCTCTCATTGGTATCACCAATGGATTGAGGTGCTGGGTTTGAGCCTGCCACTTTTGGACTCTCGCTTGCTGAGGTGTTCCAGCGAGTGTCTCTGTAGATCTTATTTATTTATTTATTTATTTACTGCACTTGTAGACCGCCGTTCTCAGCCCTAGGGCGACTCACAGCGGTGTACAACATATAAAATCAATTTACAACATAAGCAATATCACAAACAACAATAAACAACATCACTATCAATAATACAATTACACTAAATCATTCGCGAGTCTCATCGTTTGAATCACAATCCAATCTCGTTATCCATGTTCCGTTCCAATCATCATTGCCAATTGTTGCAGCACTTACTCAAACGCCTTCTCAAACAACGTCTTTAGTCTCTTGCGGAATGTCATAAGGGAGGGCGCCTGTCTGATGTCTACAGGGAGGGTGTACCACAGCCGGGGGGCCACCACCGAGAAGGCCCTGTCCCTCGTCCCCGCCAGGCGTGCCTGTGAGGCAGGCGGGATCGAGAGAAGGGCCTCCCCAGACGATCTCAAAGTCCTCGTGGGCTCGTAGGCCGAGATGCGGTCAGACAGGTATTTTGGGCCGGAACCGTTTAGGGCTTTGTAGGCCAACACCAGCATTTTGAATTGAATTGAGGTGTTCCAGCAAGTGTCTCTGTAGATCTTAGAAAACTATGTCTAGATTTAAGTCGTTGGCGTGCTGGCTGATGCCCAAACGGGATGAGCTGGAGATGTCTCTGCCTTGGTCCTTTCACTATTGACTGCTACTTCCCTCCATGGACCCTTTACATCTATTGAATTGGACATGGCTCTCAATAAATGTAAAAATGGCAAAGCAGCTGGCCTGGATGATCTACGGATGGAACAAATCAAGAACTTTGGTCCCAAAGCAAGGCGCTAGCTGCTGGAGCTGATGAACAACTGCACGGCATCCTGTCAGATCCCCAAAATCTGGAGGAAAGCAAGAGTCATTGCCATCTTGAAGCCAGGCAAAGACCGTAATGACCCAAAAAGCTACAGACCAATCTCCCTGCTGTGCCACCTCTACAAAGTTCTAGAGAGACTTATTTTGCATAGAATTATGGAAAAAATAGACCCATGTCTGATTCCACAGCAAGCTGGCTTCAGGAAAGGCAAAAGCCATCCAGGTAATAGTATGATTATTTATTATTATTTATAACATTTTTACCCCCGCTCTTCTCAACTCAAGTGCTGGTTTTAACCTATAAAGTCCTAAACGACTCCGGCCCTGTTTACCTCTCCGAACGTATTCTCCCCTATGAAACATCAAGATTTTTAAGATCGTCTGGAGAGGCCCTGCTCTCGGTTCCACCGGCCTCGCAAGCGCGTCTGGTGGGGACGAGGGACAGGGCCTTCTCGGTGGTGGCCCCTCGGCTCTGGAACTCTCTCCCACTGGAGATCAGAACTGCCCCTTCCATCTTGACGTTCAGAAAACAGGTGAAAACCTGGCTATGGAGACAGGCATTCGACGAGTGAGCCAGCACCCTGAGATATGGATGGAGGATGATGAACAACGATTTTAGTGTGACGACTGACTATTATAGTTACTGAATGTAATTGCTGTTTTGAGGTTTTATTGTAATATGAATTATTATGTTTTATCGACTGTATGTGATATTATGGTTGGAAACCGGTTTGAGTCCCTCAAGAGAGGTGAGAAAGTGCTGCTTTATGTTTATTGTCCAAAAGCCTGGTCCCAAAACCAAGATTTTAATTTCTTCCTGAACGCCAGGAGGGATGGGGTCAATCGTATTTCATTTGGAAGCGAATTCCACAGGTGGGGGGCTACAGCCGAGAAGGCCAGCCGCGTTTGCGATGTTGGTGGGAGCGAGAGCAGGGCCTCCCCAGATGATCTTAAGTTACGAGGTGGGACGTAGAGGCAGATGCGCTCGGACAAGTGAACTGGGCCAGAACTGTATAGAGCTTTATAGGTCAAAACCTGGGTTCGGAAGTTACGAGCGTTGCAGGGTTTCCGCTTCGTTCCTTCGGGAGCGCTGTTTGTGCAATGGAACACAAATATAATATTAGGAACTAGCCGTCCCCTGCCACGCGTTGCTGTGACCCACATGAGGGTTCTGTGTAGGAGGTTTGGCCCGATTCTATCATTGGTGGGGTTCAAAATGCTCAGTGTTTGTAGGTGAACTATAAATCCCAGCAACGACAACTCCCAAATGTCAAGGTCTATTTTCCCCAAACTCCACCAGGGTTCACATTTGGGCATATTGAGTATCCGTGCCAAGTTTGGTCCAGATTCATCATTGTTTGAGTCCACAGTGCTCGCTGGATGTATGTGCTGTCGCGCGCTAGGCCTGTGCATATGACCGTAGACAGGACATAAATTCTGTCGGGACGCCGGGGCTGCCTCAGATTAAAGGCCCTTGGACCTCCCCAAAACAAAGTTCTGTAGAGGCTTAAAGTAAGTCCAACAAAGTTCTTTATTGATGAAAACAAACAGGTACTTTAAAGCTTTCTTAACAGTCTATTGGCTCTTGCAATCTTGTTCACTGGGAACAGGCACTATCTTCTTAACTGTATACTAACTAATGGGGAAATCCTTAACTTCTAATCAGGGCAGTCTGTCTTTGCCTCTGTTGGCGTGGAGCCCCTGCACCCAGAACCAACTGCGTCTGGCTTCTGTGAGTGACCCTTACCAAGCAGAGCTTTGTAGATTTCCAGGGAAAAAGGAGTTCAGGTTTTGGTGATGTCTGGCTGAAGTCCCTCAGCAAAGGAGCTGTAAGGCTGTATGAACCTCGGCCAAGCTGTAGAAGATGAAGCTTTCTACAGGAGTTCTTGGAGTTATGTCCTGCATGGAAAGCTGCTCTGTGTGGACTGAACCCAAAAAGGCTCCTTTTCCTTCCAAAACCCCCAAAAGGGGACGGGACCAGGAAACCTAACTATAATTGACAGGTGGCTTGCCCTATGATTGCAGCCAAAAGAAGCCACCTATCTGCAGAGTCCCAGAAACTTAGGACTATAACAAACATTCAATGCAAAGCAAACAAAATTGGAGCTCCTGGTACAGCTGTACCTGCACAATCTAGGTGAACTACAACTCCAACACTCAAGGTCAATGCCCACCAAACTCTTCCATTATTTTCTGTTGATCATGGGAGAAGTGTGCCAAGTTTGGTTCAATTCAATCGCTGGTAGGGTTCAGAATGCTCTTTGATTGTAGGTAAACTATAAATCCCAGAAACTACAACTCCCAAATGACAAAATCATTTTTTTAGTGAAGGACATACATTGAGTTGTTAGGTGTCTTGTGGTGTCAATTCATCCAGTGGTTTTTGAGTTCTGTTAATCCCGCAAACAATGTGCATTTAATTTTAACTTAAGTGTATTCTATTTTTGTTGTCCCAAATGCATTGAATAGTTGCCATATGTAAAGCCATCTTGAGTCCCCTTTGGGGTAGAGAAAGGCAGGATACAAATAGAATAAATAAATATCGCAGGTAGTCCTGAATCATTGCTCCCTCTTTAAGCCAATTCTTGTCGGGCACAAAGGACAACAGTTTCCACTATTGGCAAAAGTTTATTTCTGTTTTCTTCTGCTGACTTCTTATTTCCTTTATACATGTTTAAAAGCAATGCTTTTGGAAAGATTAGCCGTTTACGAGAAACGTTGCCCGGGGGATGCCCAACTGTATTTACTTAGTCTTCGAGGAGGCTCTTTCTGTGTCCCCCAGAAATAAGGTTGAACACTGTGAAAGCCATCCACTACATGGCTACCAGCCTCCTCCCAGCAGACTCAAATCAAGGAAAAGCTTTATGAGAACTACCACTCCTCTTGACGTCCCCCCAGCAACAGCAAGGGTATCCCTCTGGGCAGCTAAACCAGGACCATAGGCTTTGCCTGCCGACTACCACACTTCAAAAGAGATATTGACAAGCTTCCACTATGTCAGCTATTGCTGCTATTGCAATGTAAATTGGTAGAAAGGTAGGTAATAGTAGTATGAATAATCAAAATTTGGTTGAGAATGTGCTTGTAGTTCTGGAGGGACTCTAAATTTTGCTTCTCATATATTTGGCATGATGATTTGGTTAACTAGTTAAAATTCAGTAATACAACTGGTTGCTTTTCTTTTACCTAAAAATTTTGGAGGGTGGTTTGAACCCCTAAACCTCCCCCTTGGCTACAGACTTGGCTCTCAGTCCTAGTTTCCAGGGCAGCAGAAAACAAGCCTACTCCCTCTTCCTTATGACACCCTTCCACATATTTATACATGGCTCTCATGTCTCCTCTCAACCTTCTCTTCTGCAGGCTAAACATACCCAGTTTCTTTAAGATGAACTTCATAGCACATTGGTTTCTGGCCCCTTGATTATTTTAGTTGGTCACCTCTGGACTCCTTCCAGCTTGTCATTATCTCTTTTCAAGTGTGGTACCCAGAATTAAGCACAGTATTCCAGGTAAAGCAGAATACAAAGGCACCATGATTCCCCTCGATCTAGACACTACACTCCTTTGGATGCAGCCCAAAATCCCATTGGCTATTTTAGCTGCTGCATCACACTCTTGGCTCACATTCAGATTGTTGTCTGCGAAGACTCCAAGATCTTTCTCATATGGACTGTTGTCGAGCCAGGCAGGTGTCACCCCTTCTGTATTTTTGCACTTCATTTTTCTTTCCTAATACAGATGGATCCAATTTCCATCTGTCTTAAAACAGACATAAAATGGAACATAGCCATACAGCCCAAAAAAACTCACAGCAACCCAGTGATTCCAGCCATGAAAGCCTTTGACAACGCTTTGGACATAAAATGCTTTCTGTGCTCAAATGCTGGCTAATGGAAATGCCGTTCTTCTGACATATCTAATTTGTATCATGTGATCCTAAATATGTTGGCATGCCCTCATTTTCTATTGGAGATATTTTCGGATAAGCATGCAGCTTTAACCAGCTGGCTATTCTCTGAAGGACTGGAACCTCCTTCAGATAGAACTTGTAGTTCCAGGCTGATAAAATATTGTGTGTGTTCACTGACCCACTTCTCTTTTACAAATTCTCCCAAGGACTTTCTTTGATACTAGGAAACATTTGTAGAGTTCAGACTAGCCAGGACCAGCAGAGGGAAAGGACAGATCTGTAAACAGGTTTAGCTTGTGCACACAATATTGCTAATCTAAGGAAAAGTGAAGCATAGATATCTGAACCACTTTATAAGTTAGATATGCACAATTATACTAGCTCTACTCTGAGTTGAATAACTATTCCTTACTTCTGCTTTCACAATTGTGCTTGTAGTTTCGATGTTCACTCTTAAGTGGGCAAGAAGGGAGAGAACTCTCCCCCATTTCTTTAACTCTCTGGGATATAAATAAAAATGGCCAGGTAATCATCTTCTCTAATAGGTAATAATTTCCTTCTTGGTTCCAAAAATATGTAATAGTTCTGCTTTAGCCTTTCATCTGAAGAAGCAAGATTTTGATTCTTCTCCTACCTTAGTGAGTTTCTTTCACCCATTAGCTGCATGTGGTTAATTTTTTGTGTGATGGGAGGGAAAGGTTGAAGACTTAACTACAATTGAAGTGGACAGAACTCCATTTATGGTTTGAAAAACAGATAATTTTCAGTCTTAAACTATGAGCAGATCCTAAAACTTTTGAAAGGGAAAAATGGCCTCTCCTGGAACCTTACCAAGGAATTAGGTCATCTTTTTTAGGGCAGTAAAGGGCAGTTAGTGGACTCTGGAACATCCTCAGGAATCATAGGCAGACTCAGTAGGCAGGATTACTGCAGAACTCAACTATTTGCCCCAGAAAGAGGCAATGAGAATAACCATCCAACTGTAGCTGAGGTTATAGTGTGCCAGGTTGGAGATCAGTAAATGGAACTTGGAGCGGTTGGTAAACAATAATGTAGTCAGTTCTTGTGGGGTTTTTTTTGGGCTATATGGCCATGTTCTAGAGGCATTTCTCCTGACGTTTCGCCTGCATCTATGGCAAGCATCCTCAGAGGTGAGATGCTTGCCATAGATGCAGGCGAAACGTCAGGAGAAATTCCTCTAGAACATGGCCATATAGCCCGAAAAAACCCACAAGAACTGAGTGATTCCAGCCATGAAAGCCTTCGACAATAATGTAGTCCATGAAGAAAATGAAAAAAACATGTTACCATGAGTCCCAATTCTGGAGAAAGGCAGAATGGTTTGGGGGGGGGGGGTATCCAGTCCCCCAAAGATACATTGGTCAATATTAGAGAAATGATTATAAGATTACTAAAATACTTTAGGTAACAGCTAAAGTAAGGATGGGAATTGTGTGACCCCCTTGGGGGGGCATCCCATTCAACTGGGTCCTTGGTGATGTCCCAAACACCAACTCCCTTCCACTTTTAGAAGATGAAAGGAGCAATGTTGCTCCCTCTCCCAATCCAGTTTTGAACTTGCAGGTTTTGTAGCCCCATCTGAAAATAAGTTTCAAAACAGTGGCTTTTTGTTCCCGGAATATCACTTTCAAGTCTGTGAAAATGGTAGTAGTGTGGCCTGCTAAGGATCAGGAGGTCCCATAATGGCCCTCTGACCCTTGGAACACCCAAAATCCTGGAGATCATCAGGTGAAAGCAGTGGGCACATCCCTTTTTCAATTCCTCTATCCCCCTTTTGCTTCTGAGGTGAAACAAAATGAGCATGTAGCTGAACAGTTTGGATAGCAGTGATTTGGGTAACAGGTGCGGATGGACGTGTTGGTTGCTGACTAAGCCCCAAAATGTGACCCGCAGCTGAGCCACGCCTTAGTAATCTCTTGCATTCCCTTGGCAGGGGTTCTACATAGTGGCAGTGCAGACTTTGAGTCAGTGGACGATCTGTTTGAAGCGGTTGGAGAGCTTTTGCAGGACATCTCCAGAGATTCCAAAGATGATGAGGACATCCGTGCTATCTGCCAGCGAATGTATAATACTCTACACCTGTAAGTTCTCTTCAGTGGGCATTGGGTGGGCGGAAAGAATAAGGTACTCTTTGTAAGCATCTATAAACAGGCACAAGGGATAGAACTGATGCTGAGAGTTTACCATTTGTAAATGCATTTTGCCAAGATCTTTACATTGGTGGAATTGCAGAATGCTGACTGCCCTAGTACAGAGCCAGCATGGCATAGAAGGACCCTTAGAAACTGCAGTTCAAATCCCTGCTCAGCCAGTGAACCACATTGGATAACTTTGGACAAGTTGCAGACATTCTCCACCTAAAAGGAAACCAAAAGAATCTCCTCTGAATCAATCTTGCCAAGAAAACCTGTGATAGAGTCATTATAAGGCAGAGTTAACTTGAAGGTATTCTCGTGTATGTTTCCTCTGTGGCCTGTCAGCTTTGGAGAGCAAGATAGAATGACCAAAGGGTGGAACATATGGGACTTCTTAATTGATTCTGGTATGTCTGGCAGGGACAGTGAAAACTCTGGAAGAGACACACAGGTGCTCCTGGATGCCCCAATTCAGATTTCTAAGATGGCAGACAATTATGGTGAGTAGTACTAGCAAGGAAGAACCTGCTTCTATATGCTCTAGTCTAGAACATAAGAACAAAATTTGTAAAAATTGTTTTGGTGGGACTGGAATCTCCTAGCCAACATAGCCAGTGACCATGCAGTCTGTGCATTTTGACAGCTATAGTCCCCCAAAAAACATTACCAAAATTTGGCTCAGTTTCTTTATTTCTGTTCACTTCTCTCCCTTTTTGTGGGAATGAGAGACCTTTCTTTTTGCCCTGATGCTGGGATCAGTTCATGCTGGGAAGCTGTAGCTGCCAAAAAAGCCAAAGTGCTGCCTTGCAGCCTGTAAAACTGTATTTTGTTTTCTTCTTGTTTATACTGGAGTCCTTTTGTACTACGCAATAGTAGCAATATGATTCCACTTCAACTACTATGATAGCATCCTGGGGTTTGTAGTTTGTTGAGACACTCCCCATACTGTAAATCCCAGGATTACATAGGATGCTGCCATGACAGTTCCAGTGGAATAATACTATGATTGTGTACTATGAATGCGCCCAAGAAATGGAGCACTCTGGCCACAAGATACTGAGCAGGATCAGGGTTGCTTGAGAAGGCATTCTGTAGGCATAATGTCATCCCCATCTCCTCTTTGATTTGTCGTGCACCAGCGTAACAGTTCAGAGATTTATGAGCACCATGAAAGAGTGTGTTTGTGCATAGGTTTTATTAATAATATTATTTAATTCATTTTAACCCCTGTTAAATAAGATTCTAGTTTAATCTTGTCTTATTCTTTTAAGACACCTTGGACCCCATCTTTGGAAAAAGGTGGAGTATAAATTCAATAATAAATCATACGTGAATGCATCAGTAAATCAAGACTTCATATTTCTTGTATACGGGATGTGGTGTTTCCCTAAGAGGAAGTTACTCTCTGTTTTGTAGATTCCGGCTTGGACGCGCTGCCAGGGATGCTGCTGAAGAGGAACCAGAACTCGGTAAGGGGATGCAATAGCAGGGAGGCCCTGTTGCTGTTGATGCCAAGTCAGCTTGGGCTGTATGACAAGGGCCTTCCTACTCTTTGAGGCAGGGTTGGTAAAATGCAGCTCTACAACTCCTAACATTCTTCACCATTGACTCTGGCGGCCAGTGCTGCTGAGAGCTGGAGTTTGCCCATCCTCTCCTTTGAAGCTCCTTGTATCCCATCATCTTCTTTTCTAGGAGAGATCGTGTTATGGCATATCTTTTTACTTTTGATAGAAAGAGTAGGGTACATCTGCATTATACATTATTTGCAGTTTGATGTCCTTATAACCATCAGTGTTCTATCTTGGGGAATCTTAATATCTGCAGTTTGGCTATGAGACTTCTCTGTTGGAAGGAACTAGGAGTCTTCAGCAGATAATTCTGGGTCTCACATCAAACTTCAAATTGTGGTGTAATGTGGCTACTTATCCTTGTATTGTGCCTCTTTACTCAAGACAAAGGGATCAGTTGTGTTAATATTATTACTTTTGTAATTGTCATGTAGAGAAGCACCAAAAAGCCTTCTCATGCAAACCCTTGTTGCAAGAGAAGGTGATTGACACACCTGCATTTCCTCTTCTAACAATTCAGTTCCCTTTGGTGTTTTGCTATTAAATAGAGAGTAAGATGCTGAGGGTAGCATAACTGTATTGATGAAACAAGCAGATCCAGATGACTCAAGCAAGTGGTGTGTTCTTTGGGAGATGGTGACCACTTCTAATGTCTGCTCTTGCTCCATCTCTAGATGGTGAACTCCAAGAAGCTGGAGAAAGCAGAGGCTCGCCTCAAGGCAAAGCAGAATAAGAAGCAGGAGCGAGATTCTTCTAAATCTGGGAACTCACTGTGAGTAAAGGAACTTTCACATTTGAGCAGGGAAGGCTTGTTTGCCCCTTTTCAGGAGTCTGTGGTGACCCTGAAATAAGCAAAGGCAAAGCCTGTGAACTGAATCTTTTTGCCACATATAGATACTTTGCTGCTGGAAATAGGTCATTTTTCTATTGATGTTGAAAGAGAGGGGTGAGGCATCATATTATACTTTGATGAAAGAGAAGACAGCTCAGCCCACAGCTGGCTTTAAGGCAGAAAGTAGAGCATTGACCAAATTTTCTGTGCTGCAGGGCAGGTGATTTACTTGTTGCCCTTTTCTCGCATCTTCCTGAGATTTAAAAGCATCTCAGAAGGAAGTGTTTGAATGCATCAGAACTGACTGTTGGAAGTAGTCATTTTCTCCTTTGGGGAATGGCTTGGAGCAGAAGAGGCAACAATGGTAACGCTATTTATTTATTGTTTCAAAAGTGAATTGAGGGTACAGTTGTAATGTATTTAAAAACACAAACAAAGTTAAACACTTGGCATTATACTAAATGGCCATTGACCAGTAGCTGGCCACTTGTAGTGCCTCTGGTGTTTTTGTAAGAAGGTCCTCCATTGTTCATGTGGCAGGGCTCAGACGGCATTGTAATACATGGTCTGTGGCTTGCTCTTCTCCACACTTGCATATCGTGGACTCCACTTTGTAGCCCCATTTCTTAAGGTTGGCCCTGCATCTCGTGGTGCCAGAGCGCAGTCTGTTCAATGCCTTCCAAGTCACCCAGTCTTCTGTGTGCCCAGTGGGGAGTTTCTCATCCGGTCTCAGCAATATATTGACGGTTTTAGCCTGCCACTTTTGGATTCTCACTTGCTGAGGTGTTCCTGCAAGTATCTCTGTAGATCTTAGAAAGCTATTTCTTGATTTAAGACGTTGGCATGCGGGCTGATATCCAAATGGGATGGGCCGGAGATGTCACCGCCTTGGTCCTTTCATTACAGGCTGCTGCTTCCCAGCAGATGTCAGCTGGTGCAGTACCGGCTAAACAATATAATTTTTCCAGTTGCATGGGACATACAAGACATCCTGTGATAATGCGGCATGTCTCATTAAGAGCCACACCCACTGTTTTAATGTGGTGAGATGCATTCCATACTGAGCATGTGTATTCAGCAACAGAGTAGCAAACTTCAAGGGCACATATCTTCACTGTGTCTGGTTGTGATCCCCAGGTTATGCCAGTCAGCTTTCATACGATATTATTTCTAGTACCCACTTTTCGCTTGATATTCAATCAGTGCTTCTTGTAAGTCAGAGCACGGTCCAGAGTGACTCTCAGGTATTTGAGTGTGCTGCAATGCTCCAGTGGGATTCCTTCCCAGGTAATCCTCAGAGCTCAAGATACTTGTCTGCTCTTAAGGTAAAAAGCACACATCTGTTAGATGGATTAGGAATCAGCTGGTTTCCCCTGTAATAGGCAGGACAGCTTCTGTTCAACCATGTCAAAGCTCCTTGCTTGGGTGGTGGTGGCACAATTATCAGCATGGATGAAACTCTGTCCCTTCTGGCCATAAGGGTTACAGATTGACTGTGGGGAAAATAGCAGTAACAGCAGGTTGGCAGCCATCTGTAGAAGCAGTACTCTTACATCCATTTACTCAAAAACCTCTCCCCTCCCCACTATTGTTTGCTGTCAGATTTCAAAAATGGAGGAGAAGGGGAAAAAATAAATTTTGGGCCACTTGCAGCCTGTGATTGCACTTTGCTCATACCTCTTGTAGAAAGCATTGTTTGCCAAGAAACATTCTGTCCTGCAAGCCCAATATGAAATGCAACAGCCCAGATACAAGAACTGGTGTTGTTCTTGGGAAGGCCAATGCATTCCATGTAGTAGAAAGTTATTTTTGTGTTCCCCTGAATAAATGGTCTCTTTTGTTTTGTGTCTGGCAACAGAGTGCTTGAAGAGGCGTCTGCCAGTCAAGCTGCCAGCAAGAAAGAGACACGCCTGGAGACGTCAGGCAAGAACAAGTCCTATGATGTGCGGATTGAAAACTTCGATGTGTCCTTCGGTGAGCGGTGAGTCCTAGTGAGGAGCCAAAGGTGGGATGTAACCCACCTGTCTGAAAACAAGTTGATTTCACCCATATGCTTATGTTTTAAAGTAGTCTGGAAAATTTTGTGACTTAGACTGGGCACTGAAAATATGTCTCACTCCAGCTGGAATGGCTATTTTCCATAGTGTGACTGACTCTGTTTCAAAGTGCTAGTGCTTTCCCTTTACAGTCTATAAGATTTGGGATTTGGGTTCCTATCAGCATCAACTACTGTGGTCGTTAGTCAGAAAGGACGTCAGTTTCAGTCTGAAGCATCTGGAGTTGTCTTTTCAGCCCTGGACTGGTCAGATGTAAGCTTTTCTACACTGGCATGCTTTTGAGAGGCTGTCTAGAGCACTGCTTCTGAAACTGTGGGTTTTCCCAAATGGGGAAAATTTGGCAACTCACTTATACAAATCTGTTAGCAATGGCTTGTGGTGCTTATAGTGGACAGCAGTTAACGGTTTTTGAACATCACCCAGTGGCCGTTTTAGAATTTACATGAATCTGTTGTGTAGTGTTTACAGTGAACTCTGCAGAAAATTCTTCAGCTGTGCTCCATGTAAAGTTGAAATTGTCCTATTTAGCAAGCCTGACAAATGTTTATTTATTGAATGTTGAATAAATGGCCGGTTTATTTTCCTATTTTATATATACCTGGGGTCAAGTAAAAACGTCTCAAGTGGGAAGGGTAGTGAGTGGAAAAGCTTTAAAAGCCCTGCTCTAGAGAGCAGGAGCATTAGAGAAATGGCATACAGCTGATGGAGATTTGGTTGTGACACCCCAATTATGGAATATCTTTAGGGTGGCAGTTACTGTAGGAATCACTGCATTAGAGAAATGGCATAAAACTGATTGAGGAGAGGGGCTCTTTGGTTGTGACACCCCAATTATGGAATATATTTAGAGTGGCAGATAGGAATCATTGCATCTTGTAGGATTTTATTAGAAATAATTTTGCTTCTTCTTTTTATGCTGTTAACTGCTTGTTGCTTTCTTAATGTGTATTATATCTTCAACTATTCTGTTAGCTGACGTAGGGAAGTTTCTTGCCAAAGAGTGAATGTAAACATTAATAAAAGGAACCAAAGTCATAGAGTAAAATGTCAAGAGTGGCTTGCATTCAGAGGTTAAACATCTTGCTGTTTGAAGGTTCTTGTAAGCCGCTCCGAGCCCTAGGGGAGTGGCGGCATATAAGTTTGAATAATAAATAAATAAAAATACTGAAGGTGATGTAGTTGATACCATGCAAATGTAATTGTGTCTCCTCTCACAAGGTGTGGTTATGTCATTGTACCATATGACATTGGTTGGAGTTTAAGTTTGCTTCAAAGGTTTTGTGTTGTTTTATGAGAGACCCTACTCTGGGCCAATAACTCAAACCCAGACTACCCTAAGGCCTGTACATTCCCTTGTTTCAGTGTCCTCCTCACAGGTGCAGACTTGAACCTGGCCTATGGACGGCGGTATGGCCTGGTGGGCCGGAACGGGCTGGGAAAGACCACCTTGTTGAAGATGATTGCCAGCCGCAGCTTGCGCATCCCCTCCCACATCAGCATCCTCCACGTTGAGCAGGAAGTGGCAGGGGATGATACGCCAGCCCTGCAAAGCGTGTTAGAGTGCGACACTACCCGCGAGAGCCTACTGAAGGAGGAAAAGGAGCTGACAGCCCGAGTCAATTCTGGAAGGTAACTCTTTTGTCATGATACAGTCTACCTGGGCCACTTAAGGCATCTTTTGTGCAGATATGAACTTAATTTGCCATACACAACCTGCTGCACCACATCCTTTCCTATTTCAGAGGAGAAGGTACCGAAGGCACCAGATTGTCTGAAATCTATGCTGCGTTAGAAGAGATTGAGGCAGACAAGGCCCCAGCAAGGTAAGGTAATATTTCGTTTAGTAGGGGATGGTACATCCATCTTCACCGTGTGTGGAGATGTCTATGGAAGTGAATGATCACTGATAAAAATGAGGGTCTGGGTTCAGAAAACATAAACTTCTGAAATGCATAATGTGCTCTCTATCAGATTTAAAACAAAAAAGGTTAACAGGAAGCAATGTTTCCCAGCAGAAGTTTATGGCATTACAGCAGTGGTTCCCAACATTTGAACCTCCAGGTATTTTGGACTTCAACTCCCAGAAATTCCTGCCAGCTTACCAGCTGTTAGGAACTGTGGGAGCTGAGGTCCAGATATTTTAGACGTCAGTTCTCACAATTCCTAACCACTGGTAAACTGGCTGGGATTTCAGGGAGCTGAGGTCCAAAACACCTGGAGAAGTGGAGTTTGAGAAATATTACTGTAGACAAAAACTGTTGCTGGTTGTATGTCCCATCTATCAAGTACACCATACAGAAGATATTTTCTGCTTTTGGTTTTGTTTATATCACTGTCTCATCTGGTTGTAAAGTATTCAAATGTTGTTCATGCAATGCTATATTGACTACATCAGTGATAACTGGAAGAATTTGTTTGCTTATTTTTTTTCTGTATTCAGAGCATCGGTTATTCTGGCTGGACTGGGATTCAGTGCAAAGATGCAGCAACAGACAACCAAGTAAGTGATCTCTCCTGTAGGCATCTGTGACTTTAACTGTTGTGAGTCTTGCCTTTCAAAAGGAAAGGACCTTGACTGGGACTGGGTGGGACTGAAGAACACATTGCCAATACACTTCCAAGTATGGTACTTGTGTTAACATTTAATGCCCTTGAGACTTTAGTGAAGGAGTGCTCATATTTGACGCTTGGAGCCTTCTCAAGGGGTGTTTCTCTACATCACTGGTTCTCAACCTGTTGGTCCCCAGGTGTTTTGGCCTTCAACTCCCAGAAATCCTAACAGCTGGTAAACTGGCTGGGATTTCTGGGAGGTGTAGGCCAAAACATCTGGGGACCCACAAGTTGAGAACCACTGCACTACATCTTACCAGTGAGGTTTAGAGGGTCAGTAGTCTATTAGGACATGGGAGACTGCCCTCTCTACTCTGTCATCCAGGTTGTTGAACAACTTTTCCTTGGAGGTTCAGTTGGTATCAACTGAACCTCCATGGCTGTGAGACTTTGTTTATTAAATATTTTGTCATAACTTCTTTCAAGATGTCAGGTATATGGTTTGAAATTGTTGCTATCTTTTAAATCATGATGTAATTGTTTTGGTTTTTTTTTTATTTTGTGTCAAAAGCATTGCATAAATAGATAAATTTAAAACTGATAAAATAAAGAAATCACGAGCTGCTAAATAGATCTGGACCAAAAACGGGCAACAGCAACTGCACTGTATGTAGCTTCAAACAATTCTTCCTCTGTACATGAGGTAGGACATTGCAAACAAGCATATGGATGCGGAGTTGTCTGTTCTGCTCCACATTCACACAAGGTGGAGGATTCTTGTAGGTACTGCCATTTTGCCAGGCTGTCTTTTGATCTGCCCATTCCACTTCTGAGTCTGTTCAGGGACTTCCAAGTTGCCCATTCTTGCTTTATCCCTGGAGGCAGACCCTCGTGGGGGTGGGGCATCCAATTGAAATTGCCTAGTTTTGCTGCCCACAGGGATAGTCTTGCTGTTGCTGGAGGAATATTTAGAGGATTGGTGGTTCTCACGAAACTTTTCCTTGATTTAAGTCTTATTTAATAAGTCTCTAATTTGTTTAAATATTGTGTGTTGCTTTAAAATGTTGTAAACACCTTAAATCATTTTTTTGTGTACTACCTTAAGATCTTATGATTTTAGTACAAGATTAATATTTTAATGAACAACAATAACAAGTAAAATGAATCAAGGCAACCCAAAAGTTTGCTCTGGTATCCTTTCAGATGCGCCTGTGTCTTAACTTTTAGCTTAACTGTCACTTACTTGGCACAAGGAATCTGATGCCCCCTTTTGTTTTTTCCCTCTCCCCAGAGAGTTCTCAGGAGGCTGGAGAATGAGGCTGGCTTTAGCTCGTGCCCTTTTTGCTAGGTATGTTACATTGATTTTGTTGAATTTAGGTTCATGTTTTGAAACCGCATTAATGATTTGAGCAGGTTTGAATCCTTAATTTGAAAAGTTGTGGCAGTAGTGAGAAGCCTCTTGGTGCGCACACAGTTATGCCACTATGTATGAAAGCTTGGAATTTGTAATTACAGCATTGAAGAAATAGTGCTAATGGCTTGAATAGTTGTGGCCAAATCATTTTTTCTCTCACCCTGACATGGAAGAGCCACCTTTCTACATATGCATTGGGCAGTAGCATTGAAATTGATGTTTGAATCCTTGTGCAGCTATTTATGCTATCCCGAGACCTTGGGATATATACAGAGTGGGCCAAAAATCACAAAGGGCTTTCAATATTTAATAACTTCTTTAACTGGTTTTTGCCTCTGATCTCCCTTCCTTTGAAATGCCAGTCTCATCTTTCCAGTCTTCAACTTCAGTTTTTCAAAAACCCAAATCATGTTGGCATAATTTAAAACCTGTTCAATTTTGAGAGCGTGACTTTCAGTCTGTCAGTTATAAATGTGGAAATAGTTGAACAGTGAGTCATAGACCCCCTGGGTATATGATGCAAAGCTCTAGAAAAGCCCTGGCAGGAGTTGCTAGCATAAGCATTTCTAGGATTTACAAGCCAACCGAGAGGACCTTCTCGGTGGTGGCTCCCTGACTCTGGAATTCACTTCCCAGGGACATCAGACATGCCCCAACGCTGGTAGTCTTTAGGAGGAGCCTGAAAACATGGTTGTTCCAGTGTGTCTTCCCAGAATAAGGAAAACTCTCAGCAATATGCCCTCAAAATGCACTTTACCACTGATTTAGGATTGACTGCATTCCCTCATTTCTATCTGAAAATCCTATCCTAGTTATATCTTACCTTGTTCACATCAGCATTATTTTTAATTTTAACCTATTACATTTGGCCCAATAAAAATAAAATTAAAATTATTTTTAATTTTAACCTATTACATTTGATTGTTTATTGCTTATTTTTTGTTTATGTGATTTATATGATTTTTATTTTATTGATGTATTCTGGGCTTGGCCTCATGTAAGCCAAACCAAGTCCCTTGGGGAGATGGTAGTGGGGTACAAATAAAGATTATTATTATTATTATTATTATTATTATTATTATTATTAAAGACACAATTTCCCACAGAATGATGTTTTTTTGAAACAACGTCAGCCTGAGCATTGGTATTGATATTCATTTATTTCTTTGTTTCCCACTCACTTCCGCATCCTGCCGGTCCCGATTCCCTCAGGCCTGACCTCCTCCTGCTTGATGGTAAGTCTCTTCTGGAAATGGGAGGAAGAAAGAGGGACCATGTATAAGGTACATTGGCATGCTAAGTGTTCATAGTATAGAATAACTTTATTGTCGTTGTATGCTCTACAACGGAATTAAATGCTTTCTCCAACACACATCACAAAAACAACACACCCATCCCTCCACACTCCAACCACCACTGCACAGCCCCCAATGCCACATCAATGCAAAACTATGGAGTTCAGTAGTTACAGCTCTAGGATAAAAGCAATATCTCAGTGTCTTTGTCCTTGTTTTTGTCACCCCATACCATCTGGCAGATGGTAATAATTGAAAAAAAATATGCTGGGTGAGGTGAATCCTTAAGAATGCTTTGAGCTTTTTTTAAGGCTGCAAGGCTTATAAAGTTCTCCCAAAGAGGGGAGAGGGCAACCAATGATTCTCTATATCAGGCATGGGCAAGCTTTCTAACTTGGGATCTGCATGTCGGACCGGAGTAGGGTGGAAGGAAGGGGGTTCTCCTCAAGCCCCCTCCCTGCCCTTTCCTCCCCTTCCTCTTCTCTTTTGGAGGTGGAAAGTGAAGGAAAGTCAGGAAACATATGGATCTCAAAAGGTTTAGCCTTGGTCATGGTGGATGGTGGATGGGAGAGAAAAAGTGTATCCATAAGACCCCATATTGCCTACTTCTGATATATAATCCTCCAATCCTAGAGCTGGGAGACCCCCAAGGGCCATCCAATCCAACCCCCTGCCATGCAAGAAGGCACAATCAAAGCACTCCCAGTAGACATCCTCTGCAGCAAAGCTTCCAGGGAAGGAGACATCCTCCTCTTGTGTGGCTTCCCTTGGTCATTTCCACAGAACTCTCAGAAGTTTATAGTGTGATGTTTGATTCAGGCAAGCTTTGATTAGGGACAACCTCAAAACCGGAGCCCTACATTGAAGGTTGTATATCACTTCGATAACCAGAGATAAGCATGAGCTCCAGCCTCATTGCTTCTTAGTACAGCTGATCCTGCCTTCCTTTATGTCCATAGATGGAACTTTAGTTATTGGCTTCTAAAGGAGGTAGAATGTGAGGCTATGATTTAAAGTTGGCACCCAGACCATGCCTTGTTTGAAAGCTACTAACTTTAATGTGATGGAAAGTGAGCAGTTAAGTGCAACTGCCTTTCCAAACCAGAATGAAAGGAAGAGCACACTGACTGCTTTCATTGGAGGGCTGTACTCAGGACATATGTGTTATAGTCCCAGTTTGCTAGACATCAGCCTCCTGTTTGAAGTTTTATTCCTTTTCCATGTGTTGAATTCTCTTCATTTCTTACTGTGCTTCTTCTGAAATAACCTTTTGTTCATTTTCAGAGCCAACCAACATGCTGGACGTGAAGGCGATCATCTGGCTGGAGAACTATCTGCAGGTCTGTAAAGCAATTGAATGCACAAGATGTAGTGTAGCCTTTCCAAACAACTCCAAGGATGGCCCATAATTGATACTATGGGAAGCCTGGTTCTGAGCTTGTGGAATTCATGTAGAGCTGACACAGGTTTTTTTGTGGTTTTAGATGAGCATTGTTGTAGTCCAGCCTTTGATTGTGCCTGCATCTGATTTATCTGGGAATTCCTGGCCTGTTAGTCAGGCTGATGACACTAGGGATTCTGCGGCTGCAAGTCATCAGGAGAGTCAGCAAGAGATTTTAAGCCTTGAAAATGAGCAATCTCTGTCTGAAGGCCACATTCCAGAAAGACAGTTCACTAGGGAAGTAATGTCAGAAACAGAACCGAGCTCGGAGGATGAAAATGAAAGTCCAGGTGGACAGACTAATGAGCAGTCAGATAGGAGATTTACCTTCCATTAAAACAGAGTTTCTCAGGAGGGTTTATGAAGGTCAAGATGCCTATTAGCCAAGAAGTCCTTATCAGTTCCCAAGAGGAGAAGGCATGATTTTCTGTCTATATTAGCAAGACCAGCAGACTATTTCACCAGTCGAGACCACGTTGGTGATTGAGTATAGAACTTCTGTCACGTTAAGGGATTTCTTGTTCCATTTTTCCCTGAATCTCATGTTTTGGAGTATTCTGCTTTTATATTCCAGGTTTTTGATGCTACTCGTGTACTTTGAATTCTGTGGATTAGTCCTGATATTTGAACTTTGGTTTTTTATACTATAGCAAGCAATAAACTGCTTGCTATTTTACCTTGGACTGGAGTGTGTGTTAAGTACAGAGGTGTACAACAAGCATATTAAGTTGTGGCTATTGTGTAGTTGTCTTTGGAAACTAATTTTAGTCCTTAATCCTCACTATAATTTCCACATTGGCAGGCTAAGTTTCCCTTTTCTTCTAGACTTGGCAATCAACAATCCTGGTGGTATCCCACGATCGGAATTTCCTGAACGCTGTGGCCACTGATATTATCCACTTGCACTCGCAACGGCTTGACAGCTACCGTGGTGATTTTGAGAACTTCGTTAAGATCAAAGAAGAGCGACTGAAGAACCAACAGCGTGAATATGAGGCCCAGCAACAGTATCGGGAGCACATCCAGGTCCGTCTTTACAGTGGAGCAGAGTGTGATTAGAATAGGGACAGATACCTATCTGTGTTGTTGGAATAACTGCAGATAACAAGATTTTTTATTTATTTTATTTATCGTGTCAGGCAACCGAACAGTTGCATTACATTTTTGACTGAACAAACAATCAAACATACAAAAGACACAGAGTTTGCAAGCTTGGTAGTTGATTAAACGTACTTTGACCAGTATCTGGCCACTTGGAGTGCCTCTGGTGTTGCCGCAAGAAGGTCCTCCAATGTGCATGTAGAAGGGCTCAGGTTGCATTGCAGCAGGTGGTCTGTAGTTTGCTCTTCTCCACACTCGTATGTTGTGGATTCCACTTTGTAGCCCCATTTCTGAAGGTTGGTTCTGCATCTCGTGGTGCCAGAGCACAGTCTGTTCAGCGCCTTCCAAGTCGCCCAGTCTTCTGTGTGCCCAGGGGGGAGTCTCTCATTGGGTATCAGCCATTGATTGAGGCTCTGGGTTTGAGCCTGCCACTTTTGGACTCTCGCTTGCTGAGGTGTTCCAGAAGCAACCAGAAGATAACAAGATGACAGAAGTCAGATTGGGGTCCTTGCCTACCCCCAAATTTGTTTACAAAACACCCATTAGTACAATTTGGGGAGCATTTTTTTACCCCTAAGCCATTTCAGTGTGCCCCAAGCTGGACACAAGTGTAGTAATTTGTCCTCTCATTCTTCCCCAATAACTTAAAGTCTTTTTTAATTCAGTTAGTTATAGTTCCAAGTGGCAACTGGAAATTTTCTATTTGTTGTTATACACCACTGCTATGGTTGTTGCCTTGCTCTTTGGGCCTATATATTGTTTTGAGAGCCAGAGAAATGTGATCTGCTTTGGGGTTGCATTTCATACCTTAAATGTGAATTCCAGTGCTTTTTTAAAAAAAAAATCAACCCATACAAAATTACAAGGATATTCTTGTACTACCAGGAATTGAGTGTGGCCATGTGCTTGTGCTTGCAGCTCTTGCCTGAGAGAACATTATTTTCTCTTTCCTGTAGGTCTTTATTGATCGATTTCGCTATAATGCAAACCGAGCATCTCAAGTACAGAGCAAGCTTAAACTGCTGGAGAAGCTGTGAGTATTTCTGCCCATTGGGCTGGGTATTGTGCATGGCATGGAAAGGGAAGATAGGAGAACTCTGACGCACATTTGTATTTGCATGGTTCTGTTTGAAACCCACTGGATTTGCAGATTGAAGGGACATCCGTAAACAGCGACCAAAGTAGTTGCATGGACAACATTCCATATTATAGAATACATTTGAAACTTTGCAGAAAACAAATAACTCCCTGTGTTATCGAAGGCTTTCATGGCTGGAATCACTGGGTTGCTCTGAGTTTTCTGGGCTGCCTAGCCATGTTCCAGAAGCATTCCAGAAACAGAGTTGGGGGGGGGGGGGGCAGAAGACAGTTCCACCTTGTCTCCTGTGCTATTCTTATAATAGAATAGAATATATTGTATATACATAAAATAATATAATGTAATGCAATATAATACTAATAATGATATATTATAATTATATATTTATATTACAGGTAATATTACTAATAGTATTACAATATAATGGTATAGTACAGTATAGTAATATTTAATACTTATATTGTATTATGCTAATAATATAATATATTATATGTATATATATCTTGTAAGCCGCTCTGAGTCCCTTTCGGGGTGAGAAGAGCGGCATATAAATGTTGTAGATAAATAAACACATTTTCTTCTGATGTTTCACCCAGATCTAGCAGGCATCCTCAAAAGGTTGAGGGGTTTGTTGGGAAAAGGGCAAATGGGTGAAACGTCAGAAGAGAATGCTTTTGGAACATAGACAGCCTGGAAAACTCTCAGCAACCCAGGCACAATTCACATCCCTGTATGGCATAGGTCTAGATGACTCAAAATACCACAGCTTTCCACATGAGCTGCCTGGGTTTTATGATCCTTCAGGGAAGTCTTTCTCTTATTTCCATCACCTTCACATGTATATTTGGTGAGGATGCAAGAGAGCACCTTCTCAGTATTTGCTCCCAAGTTGTGGCACTCTCCAGTACAAGAAGCTAGACTGTACCACTCCTCGATCTCCTTCCACCATCAGTAAAGGCCAGAAAAGAAAGCCACAAAGTATTACTGTTTCTATATGGCAGCTTATTTACTTTATTCCAAAACGTAATAGTACATTTAATTCATGTACTCTCTTTGAAATAATGGGTGAGCTATTTTGTGTCCTTTTTAAAGAAAGATGGGATAAAAATTGAATAAATATTAAGATCTTCCCTATCTCTACCTCCATTTTACTTGGTTGACATTTATGAAGCCAATCCAGGAATCACAAAGTCATCCTCTGCCATATGCAACAAAAGCATTTCCAAATGACAACTATCCAGCCACTATTTTAAGGCCTTAAAAGAATGGGAGTCCACTGCCTTGCAAGACATTTCATTCCATTGTCAGACAGTTCTTACAGTAAAGATGTACTTCCTAATGTTTGGGTGGCCTCTTGCCTTACCCCAAAACATGAGAATATGATGTGGTTTCCATACCAAATCAAGTAAGACTTTGACTTGGGGAAGGGAGGCATTCAAAAGAGTTTGAATAAAAGGATGGAACTTCCCATATGTGGACACTCTGGGAAGAGATTGTCCATGCATTTAGATCCGTGCAGGTGAGATCTATTGTTGCATATCTCATCCCTCTTGATTGTAATGCACTTGCCTTTCTTTTCTCTCTTAGGCCAAAACTGAAGCCTGTAGACAAAGAATCTGAGGTGACAATAAAGTAAGTGGCACTTAACAGAAAAGGGGTGGGAGGAGAAGCTCACCATCCCATAAGCAGGAAGCCCTCTCCTAGCTGCTTTTTCTAAGGGCTACACAGGTTTCTGGGTCCATGGAGCTGATGTTTGTCAGAGTTGGTCTCCTACCACTACTTTCTTCTGGCTTCTGACACAAAATCACTAAGTAGCCTTAGACGAGGTGCTCCTTCTCAGCTTCAGTCTTCTATAGTACAGCCTCCCCATTGCAATAATTGGAAGAAGATAATCTGTGATTACCTTATATTACTTCTTTCATGAAAATCAAGCATGGGACTCCCAGATGTCTCCCATCCAAGAACCAGACTACTTTAACCACAGCTGGGTGCCTGGAACACATGGCTTACTCTAGTTTCTCCAAGCTAATATCCTCTAGAATTGTTGAACTATAACTCCTGTCATCCCCACCAATGGCTGGGGATAATATTGTTGTCCAGCAGCTCTAGAGTCCACTGCACTGTGAAAGGATGTCTTAGGCTGCCCCCATCTTGTATGTGACATGAGTTAAACACAGAAAATAGTATAACTGTAATCATCTTGGTGTTTTTGTTTGGCAAGTGGGCTTATTAACAAAAGGCCCTCCTCATAAATGTACAGCAGAGTAACCTTATTAGCAGCAGTGTGACCCAGCACCAGTAGCCAAAAGTGGCAAAAAGAACAAAAACACACAGACCAATGTTATCTCTTCTTTAAGAGATTTTTCTTTATAGCAAAATAATATGGTTGCACTATTTACAAGAATAAGGTTTCCTTAACACAAATAAAATTCTTTATACTTCCTAGGCTGGGCTTTTTTCTCATGCAAATAAAAAGCTTCACTCTCACAGAACCTCTTCTCACACTAACCTTACACATGAGGTCTTCAACCTGGACCTTCTCTCACCAAAGTTTCTCATACACCAGGCCTGCTAACACTGAGGCCTTTCTCTCACTGAGGTATTCTCACACTGAGGGCTCTCTCAGACTGGTGCCTCTCCCACTGAGGCAAACTAACACTGAGGCCTTCTCACACTGAGGCCCTTCTGCTCCAATGACCTTTCATAGACTGAGGACAACTAAGCTACAGGCACACCTGCTTATGTTGAACTGCAGCTTTTGCTGACACATTGCATCCATTTATCCCTTTCAGCTTGATTCAGATTTTTGTAATTAAAAATATATAGTGAATTTTTAATATTTCTGACAGTTTTGCAGACATATTAGTGCCCTTGCACACACAGTTGTACAGTGTAGACCTTTGCATAACATCTGTATCCATTTAACATTGTGTAGGTGGCATTTATTTATTTATTTATTTATTTATTTACAGTATTTATATTCCGCCTTTCTCACCCTGCGGGGGACTCAGGGCGGATTACAGTGTACACATATATGGCAAACATTCAATGCCAATTTGACATACAACGTAAACAGACATACACAGAGGCTATTTAACTTTTTCTGGCTTCCAGGGAAGCTGTTGCTTTCATCGTCCATCTGTGACACTGATGAAGTACTTCCGCATTCCCCGCATGCTGGAGTCTTTTTTATGGCCTCATAAATTAGTTAATTTAGCCTCCCCACACAAGGTGGTACCTAATTTTCCTACTTGACAGATGCAACTGTCTTTCGGGTTGCAAAGGTCGACAACAGGCTACACAATTGGTTGGAAGCCCACTCCAACCCGGGCTGGCTTCGAACTCATGACCATTCTATAAGTGTGTCTGTTAAACAAGTTGCTATTTATTCTTAAATAGTGCAAACCTATTGCTGCTTTCATCATTCACTGGGCCAGAAAAGCCATTAGACATACATTGTTAATCAACAGGACAGTGAGAAAGCAGTCTGCAGATGCAATTTGTTGCACAATATCAGTATTGAGAAAGCAAGCAATGAACTGCATCTGCTACTTAGCTACATGAGTGTAGAAGGATGTAGGATATTTGTCTATATGTGTTAATTATTACTATTGCTACCACTAAATATTTTTCTACAGAGCTGAAACTTTTCTAGGAACAGTAAATGATACAAAAGGGTATTTCCTGACTAGGGAAATGTACCTGTGCCTTTATGTTCCTTCCCTCTGCATTCAGCTCACTTGTCCTTCTTCCTGCAGGTTCCCAGATGGCTTTGAGAAGTTCTCGCCTCCCATCTTGCAGCTGGATGAAGTGGACTTTTACTATGAGCCTGATCACTTCATTTTCCGTGGCCTCTCAGTCTCTGCTGACCTTGACTCCCGCATCTGTGTGGTAAGAAGGGAGAGTTTATTTTTTTATTTGACATTTTCAGGGCGGAAAGAATAAAAATAAACAGAATGATAAAGGTTTTCTGTGAATTATTATTCTACAGAAGTTGTTTTGCTTTCTTTTTTCGTATCAGGAGTGACTTGAGAAACTTGAGAGAGAATTGGCCATCTGAAAGAGGTTATTTAAAAAGTGCAAATATTAACAAGCGCTTGGGAGTTAAAATAGAATAGAAAATTCTCACCAAGCTTCTAGTATTGTGATCCTCCTGCATATAGGAAGGCTTTGCCTTTGTGTCTGTAGCTGAACGGGATCCTCAACTGTTCCCAGATACATACACCACAGATTGAGGGGAGCGGGGCACAGGAATGTCTATATTTACTTGTATCGCACATTCTTCTAAGCACAGAAGCCAAGGTAGCTTACACCATGAATTAAAACAAGAGCTAAAAACTAGCCACCTGTTGTATTAAAAACAATTAAATCTGCTATAAGATAAGATCAGTTCTCAAGGGAATAAAACATCCAGCACTGAAATACCTTTCCATCACTGCCACATGGGCCAAGGACTTTGCAATGAAAAGGGCTCTGCCTTTAAGTGGAAGGTGAATTGAGAACCTGACTTAGCCTGCAATGGAACTACAAAATCTGTTATCTCAGAACAGCCATAAAAGGGCCCTCTGCCAGGTCCTCGTCAGATATCTGATGAAATGCATGTGGTGCAACATTTTCTTCTACTTAACCTGAGCTTGCATTATGCAGAACAGAAAAATGTACATTGCAAAAAGTATATAATCTAACCCCACACTATATATTGTTTTCTCTCCAAACTTGCAAACACAGGAACAAGGCTCTGAAGTCTATTGATATACTGTTTCATATGTTCTTTTTCCTTTCTCTAGGTCGGGGAAAATGGAGCTGGGAAGTCTACTATGCTGAAGATCCTGATGGGAGAACTGGCACCCGTACAGGGAATTAGGCATGCCCACAGGTAGCTTCAACAGGAATAAGACTCTAGTGATGTATGGATTAAAAGTTTGATTGGAACAATTCTAGAGATGTTAAAGATTTTTTTTCTAAATTACATAATCAAGTTCTTAGTCATTGTGGTTGTGAATCTACACTATAAAATTAATGCAGTTTGACTCCACTTGACTGTCATAGCTCAATGCTATGGAATCATAGGAGAATGTAGTTTTACAAGGTCTTTTGCCTTCACTGCCAGAATGCTGGTGCTACACCAAACAAAAACTCCTAGGCTTCCATGATGGTAGTTGAAGTGGGGCTAAATTCCTCAATGTAGATGCACTCTAGTTTTAACTACCATATATACTCAAGTATAAGCCAAGGCTGAAAAAGCTCCCCTCTGCTTATACTCAAGTCAAAATTATTTATTATTTTACTCTGTTGTTGCTATTATTATTATTATTACATTTATTATTTTACTCTATTATTATTCATATTACATTTACATTATTTACTCTATTATTATTACATTTTTCTCTATCATTATATTATTTTACCCCGTTGTTACTACATTTCCATTATTTTCTATTTATTATTATATTTATTATTTTACTCAATTATTTTTATTACATTAGTTATTTTATGGTATTTTTATTACATTTCCATTATTTTACTCTATTATTATTATTATGTTTAATACTTTACTCTATTTACGTATTATTGCATTTATTTATTCTATGATTTATTACATTTATTATTTCATTTTTTATTAGTGTTATTATTACATTTCCCTTATTTTACTCTATTATTATTACATTTATTATTTTACTCTCTTTATTATTATTGGAAGGCTATGTAAGCACCTTTACATTGAAGAAAGTTAGAATAATGTTTTAATCAGAATTGGACAGTCATATCCATATTTACAGTTTTATGTAAATATTCAAAAACATTGAACTGATGCCTCAATTAAGCTAATTGTATTGGTATCTATTTTTATTTTGAAATTTACCAGTAGCTGCTGCATTTCCCACCTTCGGCTTATACTTGAGTCAATACCTTTTCCCAGTTTTTTGTGTTAAATTTAGTGCCTCGGCTTATATTCGGACCGGCTTATACTCGAGTATATACGGTAGATTGGTTGGGACAAGAGAGAGGGATTTTTCAGTGGTGATCTCATCTATATTGAACTCACATCTGAGTTCATTTTTTCCATTTTAGAAGGGTGGGATTTACCTAAGAATAGTCTACCTTTCCCACCTCTCCCAATTAGAGAAGGGTGTTCTTCTTCCCATTTGGCATTTTCAGCTGGGGGAGGTTGTAATTTGAAAATATATCAGCCACCCAGTGTTTCCCCCCCCCCCCTCTTGTTTGACAGGAATCTGAAGATTGGCTATTTTAGTCAGCACCATGTGGATCAGCTCGATTTGGACATCAGTGCCACAGAATTATTAGCAAAGAAATTCCCAGGTGAGCTTTGGTATTCTTGCGGAGCTAGTGTGGACTGCAGGATGAAAATTGACCTAAGTTCAATAGACACAAAAAGGAAAAAGTATATCTTACTGCACTTCAGTTACCTTGTCTCTACCGAACCCTATAATATATTGAAATGGCTCATCCTGTATATGTGGACCCCAGTCCTTTTATGAGCAGAGGCCTTGAAAGTATTCAAGAAGAAATGAAAGTGCATCTTTCTGCATAGCAGCAAATTTGCTTTTCCTGCTTTTCTGGAGCTGAAGTCAGGCACACAACCATCTGAGGCTGCAAAATCCAATCTCTGACTTACTTGCCACCCACATCCTAATAGCCAAGCTCTTTCCTCGCTCTTACTCTAGTTTGTGCATGACAGTATCCCTAAATGGTTCCTTCATGCTTTGTTGGAATCCTGCTCTATCTTTTTTAATCTCATATTGAGGTCAATTTGCCACTAGGACAAGATGTGTTGTGCTTGTGTGTGATCAGGATGCAAATGAGTGTGATAGGTTCAAATGACAGGAAAGGAGATTCCACCTGAACATTAGGAAGAACTTTCTGACCTTGTACCAGTTCTCACATAGATCATGGGAGTCTGTGTATTTTAGTTTGGTGCTCCAAATGTTCTCCCATTCTGATATACGTATATTATGGCCGATGTTTTGTACCTCACCATGCATTCTTTTATTTATTCTTTTTCCGTTGACCAAGCGAGTAATATTTTGTAAATTCTAGAAATTAGTTTGTTTTTAGAGAACTGGTACAAGATGATGTACCACTGGTACATAACTCCAAGCAAATTATCCAAGTGCTATAAGAAAATGCCATTCCCAGATGGGTTCCTTTTTCCACCTCTGGTGGTCATGTAAAAAGGCAATTAAATTTTGGAAAATGATACTCATTACAATAGAAAAGATTATTGTCCAACCCATAGAACCGAAACCGGAATAGTTCTTACTAGGAATTGTTGATTTCACCATAGATAAAAATAAGGAAAAAATATTCAGCTACTTGACTACGGCTGCGAGAATCAAATATGCTAAAAAGTGGAAAGAGAAAGACACACCAAGTATTGAAGACTGGGTAATAAAAGTTAAAGAAATTATGAATATGGACTGTCTTACACACAAACTTCGAAACAAACAAGGGAAAATAAAAGAGGAGACTGATTGGACCACGGTCACAATCTTCATAGACGAAAGAATCAGATAGGAAAGAGTAAAAATACGGGGACAGAAAACAACAAAAATGATAAGGAAAAATATCATCAACCAACGGGAGAGAATATGAAGACTACAAATGCCCTCTATCCACCAATCTTGTACCTCTTTTTTTTTCTTTTTCTCTCCCTCCTCTTCACTCCTTTTCAACTCACCACCAAGCCACATCCCTTTCCCCTCTCCCTTACAGTCCCCCCTGTTCTCCCCCCCCCCCCAGTTTGTTTTCTTCTTCTCCTCTCCTTTTTCCTTTTAAGTGCATTATTATCAAAACTGTTTTATTTAATATACACACACACACACACACATATATACAGGAAGAACTTCCTGACCATAAGAGCTATTCAGCAGTGGAACTCTCTGCCTCGGAGTACAGTATAAGCTTTTTCCTTGGAGGCTTTTAAACAGGCTGGATGACCATCTGTCAGGGGTGCTTTTATTGTTTTTTTCCAGCACGGTGGGGGTTAGACTAGATGGCCCATGTCGTCTTTTCCAAGTCTATGATTTTATGGTCTTTGATAGAAAATTGGCAGCCAATCTTTGTTTGTAGCCCCCAAACTCCCAAAATTGACCCCCTGCACTTGGCAGAGTACGATTGCAATGCTTTAAGCAAAGTGAGCGCCATACATTTCATGAGCTTGTCATCTTCTTTCCAGGGAAGACAGAGGAAGAGTACCGTCATCAACTGGGCTGCTATGGAGTCTCTGGAGAGCTAGCCGTCCGTCCTGTTGCCAGCCTGTCTGGAGGCCAAAAGAGCAGAGTAGCTTTTGCCCAGATGACCATGCCATGGTAATTCTCATGTTTCCTTCGGTGCTGTGATTTGGCAGTAGTTAATGAAGAAGGAAATGCATTCCTCTGCTTTTCAACTCACTGCTCCGTCTATGAGGCTGTTGTGCAGTCACAAAATAGCAGTGTTCGAAGAAGGAAGATTCAGTAAGCAGTCATGTCCTAGATCAAACCAAAGGTCACACAAACAGCCATTTTTACATGGTTAGTTGGGTTTTTTTGGGGGGGGGGGGTTAGTTTGTGTTGGAAATAGCAACAGACATGTGATTGTACTGATCATGTTCACACTCAAGATGCCATTTTGTTATTAGTATGATTTTGGACTTTCATAAGATGTATACTTAAAGACTTTAGACAATTAACTATTAATTAAGAATGATACACAGTGTTCTCAACACAGAAAAACAACATCCTACCTATAAATGTGCCTGTATGTTGAATTAATACAAGATGTTTATGAGTAAACAAGATATGTTAGCTTTTTAAAGAAGACAGTTTTTTGTCCCTGAGTGTATATTTTAAAATAAGAGGTTTTAAGGGAAAGTATATATTTGGGCAACTGCAATTTCAACTTCAAAAAAAATCTCTAAACTATATTTTTGTGCAGTGGCATGTTTTTGTCCATGGCAGTTCAAAGACATGGTTTATCAGTTTAACAGCTGAGTTACCTGTGTGCCATTACACGAATGCCACTAGTCAAGGTCATGCCTTGACTAGTGGATTTCAAAAGGTGGTCTCCAGGTGTTCAATGGGATTCACATTTGCCAATTGGATATGACATAATTTTACTTTTCATGATTATGAAAAAGTTATGATTGCCATTTTTCCCCTAACATTTAGTTAGGGGTTTTTTTGCCCTCAATAACTCTAAACTTCCTCTCCTGCCTCCTTTTTAGAGAACCATAGGATTGGAAGTCCACCTCTTGCCATGCAGGCACACTGCCAAAGTACTCCCAAAATTCTGGCCAAAATGGTATGATAGATGCCTTTGCAGCATGCCTTCAGGAGCAAATATTCACCTTAGAAATAGGTTAGAATGAGACCGTGCCCTCTTAACATCAACGGATTCCCCTTTCTCAAATAGTTGGAGAAACAATGAACTTCAGGGGTGCTCTGTTAATGATTCCTGTATTGGAAAGTGATAGGATCTGGTAAATAAAAATCTTTTACTCCTCCTGCTATGTGCCACAAGACTTGAAATACTGAAAATGTGGGAAAAGTTAGAGAGTCTGACAATAAAGAATTGGCTAAGCAAATGTTATCGATTAAATAAGATAATATTTACATTAAGATTATGAAAAGGTGAATTGAAGAAAGATCTATATTTGATAAAACTTAAAAAACATTTATTAGTTTCAAGTGTAAAAGCAACGGCGAATTTAAACCACCAAACATGTTTATTTATTAAACCTCCTGTTTATTTAAACCACCAAAATGTTACCTGCTGTTTAACTGTTTGAGAACATTCTCACTGTCACATACTTTTAGAATAAAGGAATTTTAAAATAAATAAATAATAATGGGGCTTGATGAACCCTTTGGCCATAAAACACCAAAATCAGAAGCAGAATCAGAGAATCATAGAGCTGGAAGGGACCACAAGAATATCCAGTCCAACACCATTCAGCTACAGTAAAAAACACAGTCAGAGCACTCTCAACAGATGGCCAGGCATTTGGTCTATCCTTTTCTCTAGACCAGGGGTTCTCAAACTAAGACCCGGGGACCAGATATGGCCCTCCAAGGTCATTTACCCGGCCCTCGCTAAGAGTCAACCTAAGTCTGTAACAATTTGAAAGCACACAACAATAACAACAACAATCCTATCTCATCAGCCAAAAGCAGGCTCACACTTTCCATTGAAATACTAATAAATTTATATTTGTTAAAATTGTTCTTCATTTTAATTATTGTATTGTTTTTAAGTGGTTTTTGCACTACAAATAAGATATGTGCAGTGTGCATTGGAATTCATTTTTTTTTTCAAATTATAATCTGGCCCTCCAACAGTTTAAGGGACTGTGACTTGGCCCTCTGTTTAAAAAGTTTGAGAACCCCTGCTCTAGACTCATATGTGAGTTAAGTGTTGTGCTTAGCAGTTTGCAGTAGATTCTGGGCTCATTTGCAGTCACACTTCTGCATTAAGTAGTCTGGTGGCCAGTAAAAGCCCTGCATTAAAACTTCTGGGCAGCCTCATCCATTCCTGGGCATGTTCATGCTGGAAGCCTGCCATTAGGTGGAAGGATGAGTATTTTAAGCTTGCTTTGAGACTTTTCCTAGCCACTGCCAGTATAATTGAACCTCCTTTTCCTTCCAGCCCTAACTTCTACATCCTGGATGAACCAACGAACCACCTTGACATGGAAACCATTGAGTCCCTGGCAAAGGCACTCAATGCTTTCCGGGTAAGTCTTTCCTGCTATGAGCAGTGGTGATGTTCAGTGAAAACTTTTATTATGGTTGTGGTCAAAGGTGGTTTTTGAAGGAACTTGCAACAATTCAGATTCTGTTGCTGCATGTCAACTTCTGGTTTTGAAGAGGAAATATGTTGAACAATACAAGGAAACCTTCAATCTGTTTTAAAGGTCCATTCCGTCCTAGAGGTTTCAGAGAGAGAGATCATACTTTGTGCTAGTAACATGGCATTTGGGGGAGAATGGAGGGGGTAAGGGTCACCCTTTGGAGGTCTCTCTTTATCCAGAAGAAGTAAATGTTTGTGTCTTCAGGTTGGAGTTTCCTTCGTCTAAGCCAAAATAGACTTGGTTCACAGATCTTAATGGTGGCAAAAAGGGAATTTGGGAGTTACAATTGGAAACAAAGTATTTTTCCCTAAAACTTAAAACACAAAGCTATAATAACATTCTTAAGCATTGCACAAACAACCAAATTCCGCTCTTTAAGTTTACTGTTTAATAAACATAAGAAAAGTCAAAAGAAACAATGCTGCTCCCCATTCTTCAACCAGTCATAGCACTCACCAGATTAACAGATTGTAAATTAATTTTAATGACGACCCGGACTGGTCCTGGAATATGATCTGGCTTATGTGATTTTAATTGTTGTTTTAATGTTACATTTTAATTGGATGATTTTAATGTTTTTGTTTATTCATTTATGTATGTATACCTTCGGCATTGAATTCTTGCCTTTGTAAGTCTGCCTTGAGTCCCTTCGGGGTTGAGAAAGGTGGCACGCAAGTATGGTAAATAAATAAGTTGGCATTGCTGTGAAGTAGCTTTTAAATGCCAGAATGAAAATGTCTTCAGTAATCATCAAATTTCCAGACCTCAATTAGTAGAGATAGGATTAGGCTGAGGGATTCCTCCCCTCACATTCCTATGCATGTTTCCCAAAAGAGCTTTGTCTTTACTCTACCTCCCAGCCACTGTCTCCTCCCCCTTTGATGATGTAGCAATGGAATTCTGTGAGGGAACTTCCTTTTTAAAGGTATTGTTACTCACCATGCAGTCTCCACCATTTTCCATTCTCCTCTTCACTTCACTTCACTTTATTTCTTAATTAGTCGCTCTCCACCAAGGTGCTCCGAGCGACTTACAATCTAAAATAGCATTTACACAATATAAAAACATTCAACATAAAAACATTCAACAGTGACTATTTGGCAAATTAGATCTGATTACTTAAATGCACAACCAAACAGCCTGGGTGGATCGAGGTGACCACTGATGGAGAAAAGGAATGAAGCGGTCCCTAAGATATAAAGGTCCTTGGCCATTTTGAGCTCTAAATGTCAGGATCAGTATCTTGTAAGAGATCTGATGTTCTATTTGTATCAGTATAATATGGGATCTTATAGATGATCCTGCTAGCAGCCTGGCCGCTGCATTTTGGACCATCCAAATCTTCTGGGTTGTTGACTTCAGAAGGCCAGCATATAAGACGTTGCAATAGTCCAACCTCATGGTGACTGTTACATGGATTACTGTTGCCAATGCTTCTACCGAAAGGTAGGATGCCAATTTCCTTGCCTGGCGAAGATGAAAAAAGGCCTGCTTACTTATGGCAGTGATCTGGGCCTCCCATCGTCAGCGATGAGTCCAACACAACCCCAAGGCTTTTCTTTCTACCTATGAGGGTGCACATTTTGCCTCTCTTTAGGCAAAATGTAGCTGCATGGATTTTTTTTTACTCTTTTACCTCTTTAGAAGATGAGACTTAGTAAGCTAGTGAGCTCTAGGACCTTTTCTATGAAGAATGTATTTTACTTCAATAAATATTTTTGAACCTAAAGTTCTGTCTCTGCAATCCGGATCTTTCTAAGATATAGAAGGCTATCCCAACTCATCACATGTACGTTCCTGCTGGTTATGAAGTTTACTTCTGGTACTCTGCTATATTTATGGTGGAATCACCCCAACTGAGGATTATTTTTGAGCCTAACATCTGATTCCCCATGCAAAGGCAAGTCTCCAGTAAGGAAGAGGGCTACTGCTTATGGCAGCAAGAGACCAAAAGAACCAGAGCTCTGGAGTAGCATCAAAGCATTAAAAAGGTGGCAGGAGGGATACAGAGATGCCCCATGTGATTCTAAGATTCCCTCCCTTGGTCTAAGACATTTGTAATACGAGTTAAGGAACGAGGGGTCCCTTATCGCATGTGTGACAGGGGGGAACCTTCCTTTTCAATCCCACCGCTGCCACCACTGTAAAGGGGGTTAAGAGATCAGGGTCTCTTATAGCTCCTGTTTGACAGGAATATGCGAGCGTGTTACAAGTGATGAGAGAGAAAGGTGTGTGTATATGGTAGGTTTGCTGCCACCACCCCAAATCACTGTTTGAGGAATTGTCTGGTAGTTGTAGCTGAGGTAAAAAGTCCTTATACACCGGTTCCTCTTTTTTTGGCTCCCTTTCTCTTCTGACTGGACTGCAGAGATGTAGAGGCTTACTGTATCTGGCTTTATATGACAAAACAAGGCTGAGGCAGATTAAAAGTAAACTAGAGAACAGGTTTATTGAAATGTTTGAAACAGACAGCTCATTACTGAGTGGTACATATGCGTAGTTGGTTTCTGAGGCATAGACTTATAAAACAAATGATTGCTTAAGAAAGAGTAACTTTTCTTTGACGTGAGTTACTTTCCTCACACTATTCTATAACAAGTAACAGTGTGTTTCTCAGACCAGCCGCCCTGACTGTCTGCGAGAGTAACTAGGTTCCTTCTAGACTACTCTGCACTGTAGGGAAATAAACCCACTTGTATTCTCTCCTAATACAAGTCAACAAGCCTTCCTTTGACCGCCCTGGCCAAACTACACTGTAGCACTTGCCCTTTATTATTCCCTGACAGTCTAATTTCTCACTCACTCAGAAACTCTCTTCTCCCTGCCTGAAAATCCTAATCCTATCTCTTTCAGATCAAATCCCTCTTCTCCTTCTTAGATCAAAACCATCTCTCTCTAAGATCAAATCATTCTTCTCCCACTCTGACAGAAAGTACAGCCTTTTTACACACTCCTTCAACTCCTCCCGTAGGGGTTTGAGCCAATCAGGAGTTAGCTGACTCCTCCCCTTGCCTCTCTGCCTTACCAAAATGTCAGCTATCCTGAGCACCCTCCCAACATGGAGGCCTGCTCACTGACGAAGCAAAGGTATGATTTCACTACAACATTCTTCCTCCATCTTGTTCCAGGGCGGTTTGATCCTCGTTTCTCATGATGAACGTTTCATCCGGTTGGTGTGCCAAGGGCTGTGGGTCTGCGGAGAAGGTACAGTGAAACGTATCGAAGGTGGCTTTGATGAGTACAGAGACATCCTTCAAGAACAGTTCCGGAAAGAGGGATTTCTATAAAGCAGATGCCCGGCGGTGTGCATGAGCTGGTTTGGGGCGGAAGCTGCTGCCCGGCAGCTCTCATCCTTCCTGATGATGCAGCAGGGATTCCACCTCCATCATCGTATGAACATCAGCTGTCCAGTCTCCTGTTGGGTCAAAGCTTCCATCCCCCTGAAACCAACTCCTACCTGCTGGGGAATGCCGAGGGGAAGAGGAAGGAGAACCTTGCTGCTGTGGGATGTGTGCCAAGTCTCTGCTGGGCAGGGACCAAAAGACAGCCAAGAGAAAGGTGGGCGTGTTCAGTGCTGCTTTAGTGAAGGAGGGCAGGAGGGGAGAGGGATCTGCTGTCAGGCAGTCCTTCCTCTCCTTCCGCCTGTCTGTAAGGTTGAACCCCTGCTGCACTTGTGCTCAGTGAGCATCGGAAGGTTTGGGGGTGTAAGCGCTGCTAAATGTTGCACATTTGAATAGCTTTTCCAGGAAGTGGGCTGGGACTCCAGGCTCACCTTTGTAACGGTCGGTCGGGATGAGGGGCTTTCCTTCTCTCCTTCCACCCTGTGAAGAGTCTCAGCTCCTTCATTTAACTGTCAGACACACAAGCCAGAGCCTCTTACGAAGCACTTCTGGTTTTCATAGCTTGGCCTTAACATTTCTCTTTCTTTTTCTACTCAGAAGGTGATGCCTTTGCGTGCTAAAAGGGATCCCTCTTTCCCTTCACACTTAGAAGGGAGGGGTAGCTCGGATCCTTATGGTGGAAGTGGAAGAAATGCAAGATTATTTCCACTCTGCCAGAAGGTGGCAATCTTGATCTTTCTGCGGTTGGGCTTCTGCCTTAAGGGTGCCACATACCCACACCAGTCTCTGGCCTTCCAATGGAGGCCTGAACTCCATGCAGGACTGAGGTCTCTCCCAGCTAACACACCATGTCTTGGTAATTGAAATGGTTTTATCTTGAAGGTAAACTCTGTGTTCATCAGCATTGAGGTTGCTCTGTAAATAAAACGGGCTTTCTCTGGCTTTGGACTTCATCTTCTTTTTCATTATGTGTACCTTTACTTCAGCAGATTACCAAGAAATGGAATAACAACAACAACAATACTTTATTTATACCCCACCACCATCTCCCCAAGGGACTCGAAGTGGCTTACATGAGGCCAAGCCCAACAACACATCAATAAAAACAAAATGCAGTAAACAAAACAATAAATATAAATCACATATAAACAATAACCAATTAACAGTAACATACAAGAATTTAAAAACCTATGGCGGGGCCAAATGTAATAGTTTAAAATTTAACAATAAACACTGGCATGAACAAGGTAGGATATATCTGGTATAGGGTTTTAAAAGAAATGAGGGAGCACGGTCCATCCTAAACCAATAGAAAAGTGCATTGTGAGGATATATCGCTGGGAATAGAGTTGTGTTCACAAAGTGCACTACAAAAAATAGCCATAGCAAATATCTTTGTTATGGGCAGGATTGTTTTTCTTAGGACTTACCCTTAGCAATATGGGCTGGGCTTTAGCACAGCTGGTTAATCACCAGCAGCAATAGATCTTACCAATCGAAAGGTTGCAAGTTTGACGCCCGAGTTGGAGTGAGCACCTGACCTTCAACCCAGTTCACTGTCCACCTAAGCAGTTTGAAAACAGCTGTGATCTAAGAGTAGAGAAATTAGGCACTGCTTAAGCGGAGAGATATTTTACAGCACCATAAAGGAATTATCAGAAAAATGCAAACAATCAAAGGAAGGAGGAAGTCTGTGATCAAGTCTCTTCCTCATATAAGATGGAGCAACAGCACTTCCTGTGGCCAGAATCAAGCACAACCTCCAGGATGCCAAAATTAGGAAAAAATCCCAACATAATACCTCTATAGTTGTCTGTACTGTTTTTTTAACGGCATTGAATGTTTGCCGTGTACATATTCTGCCTGTTTAATGGCATTGAATGTTTGCTCTGTACATGTCCCCTTTGGGAAGAAAAGAATATAAATACTGTAAATAGATCGATAGATACATACATAGATAGATAGATACCCACTTATTGCTGTGACCTGGCTTCCAGGAATGAGAAAAACCTCCACATAACAGGTGTGAAATGAGAAAATAATCCAGATGAATATCTGTAGGTCTATTTATTTATTTACTACATTTATATCCCTACATATCTATAAATATAAAATGCTCTGCATAATGAGTACTTTAAAAACAAAAGAACCAATGAAAAAAATCACCCCAAATTTGGCAACAAAACGTCTCACAATACAAGGAGTGTCCATCACTCAAAAAATTATGATTTTGTCATTTGGGAGTTGTAGTTGCTGGGATTTATAGTTCACCTACAATCAAAGAGCATTCTGAACTCCACCAATGATGGAATTGAACCAAACTTGGCACACAGAACCCCCATGACCAACAGAAAATACTGGAAAGGTTTGGTGGGCATTGACCTTGAGTTTGGGAGTTGTAGTTCACCTACATCCAGAGAGCGCTGTGGACTCAAAAAATGATGGATCTGGACCAAACTTGTCACAAGCACTCAATATGCCCAAATATGAACACAGATGGAGTTTGGGGAAAATAGACCTTTACATTTGGGAGTTGTAGTCACTGACAAAGAAATAGTAAGAAATACTGTTTACCCACAAGCCTAAAGAAATTACATATATTAGAAACCATCACGTTCTCATTACTTTATTTTCCAGATCAACAGACTGGGGCACAGCAACACATGGCAGGGGACAGCTAGTATATATATGTAGGGATAGTGCTTAGTGTTTCTCAGTGGAGTCAGGGGATAATGTAGAACATATTTAGCTTTTCTCCTTATACAGGTGTCTTACAAGCCTTTAAAATAATATAGTTTTGTAAAACCTGCAATGATTTTGATGTATGAAGTTGTGTCCAAGTCATTCCCAGCTTGTGGTTGACCTGAAGGTGACACAGTTTTCTTGGCAAGATTGTTCAGAGAAGAGTTACCTTTATTTAGAGTATTTGTGCCCTGCTTTTCAGTCACAAATGCTCTCGAAATGGTTACATTGCCAGTTCCCTGCCTCAGGCTAATAGTCTAAAGACACAACAAAGGAAAAGGGAATGGCAGTGGGGGAGGGAAGGGGATTAAGTCCAGCTGATACTCCTGGTTTGGTTCTTCCCTCCCTTTGAGGCCAGGGGAGGATGGAGAGAAGGTTTTGCCAGCCTCTGAGATGTCTACACACATCTGTATAATATTTCATATCTTTGTACAAGCAACAATGAAACTTATTTTTAGTGTTTAATAACAGGCATGGGCAACCTTTGGCCCTCCAGGTGTTTTGGACTTCAACCGGCTGTTAGGAATTGTGGGAGTTGAAGTCCAAAACACCTGGAGGGCCAAAGTTTGCCCATGCCTGGTTTACAATAACCTTTAGTTTATGATCTTCTGTGTGGCTTAAATGTTTCATCCTCCACACCTTTTGAATTTCAATCCCCAGAATCTTTTACCATTGACCATGCATGCTAGGACTTCTGATAACAGAAATCGAAAAGGGAGCAGAGGTGAGGCAAATGTTGAAAACCACAAGCTTAGAACAAATTATGCTTTTTTTCCAAGACATACAATGGTTCCCTTGTCCCATTATTGCCTCCTGATGCACCCCACCCTTCGCCATTACTAAATATTCTAAATCAGGACTTATTAATAAATGAAAGCAAAATAATAAAATAAATAGAATCAGTTTAGAAGCTCCAGTCTATGGCATGAGTGGCAAAAGTGGAAAAGTCAATGCTATCTAAGTCCTCTCCCTTTTGATCATGAGGCTTCACTGGGGCTTTAAACCAGGATTATACATGGATTTATTCACTCCCTTCTAAAGCAGGAGGTGAAACTCCAGGTAAATTGGAGAAGAGAAGATGTGTAAGTCCATAAAAACCTGTAAACCCATTTTCCTGTGTCTTAGCACCACCTTTGCTGACCAGTTCCACTGTTGAAGACCAGTTCCACTGTTGAAGTTCCACTTCTTTCTCCCCTCTCTTCCCTTCCACCTTTCCTTCCTTCCTTCTCTTTTTCTTTCATTCTGGGGGATGTTTAGCTGGGATAGAGAGGGAACAAGAGAACCATGTTTTGGGATTTCAAAAGGTGTCCCACTGAGGAGGAGGGGGAAAACTGACTTGCTGCTGCTCTAGAGACAATGGCACAAGGGAGCAATGGTTTCAAATGGCAAGGAAAGAGATTTGACTGGAAAGATTAGGGCGGAAAAACTTTCTGAGAGTAAGAGTTGTTGGAGAGTGACATAGGCTGTCTCAGAGTATGATGGAGGCTTTTCCGCAGAGACTGTATATTGCAGCATTTCTCAACCTGGGGGTTGGGACCCCTGGGGGGGTCGCGAGGGGGCATCAGAGGGGTTGCCAAAGACCATCAGAAAACACTGTTTTCTGTTAGTATGGGGTTTTGTGTGCCAAATTTGGCCCAATTCTATCGTTGGTGGAGTTCAGAATACTCTTTGATTGTAGGTGAACTATAAATCCCAGTAACTACAACTCTCAAAGCTCAAGGTCTATTTTCCCCAAACTCCACCAGTGTTCACATTTGGACATATTGAGTACTTGTGCCAAGTTTGGTCCAGATCCACAATTGTTTGAGTCCACAGTGATTTCTGGATGTAGGTGAACTACAACTCCCAAACTCAAGGTCAATGCTCACCAAACCCTTCCAGCATTTCCTGTTGGTCATGGGAGTTCTGTGTGCCAAGTTTGGTTCAGTTCCATCATTGGTGGAGTTCAGGATGCTCTTTGATTGTAGGTGAACTATAAATCCCAGCAACTACAACTCCCAAATGACAAAATCAATCCCTCAATCTCACCAATATTCAAATTTGGGCATATCAGGTATTTCTGTCCAGTATGATCCAGTGAATGAAAATACATCCTGCATAACAGTAGCAAAATGACTGTTATGAAGTAGCAACAAAAATAATGTTATGGTTGGGGGTCACCTCAACATAAGGAACTTTATGAAGGAGTCACATCATTCGGAAGGTTGAGAACCACTGGTCTATCGGGAGTGCTTTGGTTGTGCCTTCCTGCATGGCAGGGGGGTTGGACTGGATGGCCCTTGGGGGTCTCTTCCAGCTCTAGGGTTATATATTGGGAGTAGGCAAGATGGGGTCTAATGGATACACTTTTTCTCTCCATCCACCATCTCATCCTGAGCAAGGCCAACCCTTTTGGGATCCAAATTTTTCTCATCCTTCCTTCACTTTCTGCCTCAGAAAGAGAAAACGAGGGGGAGGAAAGGGCAGGGAGGGGGCTTGGGGAGAACGCCCTCTCTCCCTGATATTATTCACACACACAAGATATAGCATCATGGATTTGAAAGGGACCCCTAAAGAAGGACAATTATATGTTGCATGCCTTTGCCTCCATTCTGCTTCCCAAGTGGGCCAGGCCATATCCAAACCCCTCCCAAGTCCACAGACGTCATCTGAAAACACCTGACGTCAGGGAGCCATCTCTGGGAATGGGAAGGCGTCCTTTCCTCTCTCTCGTTGCCTAAAAAGTCCCAGGTGTGGCTGGACCACTCCAGTCTTTGCTTTTACAAGTGGGCGAGCCCAAGTCAACCAAAGGGGTGGATGGAGAGGGTCGCTTCCGGTGCCGCCACTCCTCTCTACCGCGAACACCCCTCCCTTTATCCCCACCGATGGTCCCGCCTTTGCCTTCATTCTCTATTTTCCAAGTGGGCGAGACCATATTGAAAGGGAAGAGGAGGGGGGGAAAGGAGGGGAATCCGGGTACCCAATGATTGAGGGCTGAGTCTCCTTGGCCAGGGACGCCCCTCCGCCTTGGAAGTGGGCGCGCCTCCCGCCAAGCCCAGCCTGGGAGGCGGAGTCGAGGCTGAGGCGGGGAAGGAGGAGGAGGAGTTGCCGCTCGCTCTCTCGCTCGCTCGCTCGAGGACGGACGCCGGTTGAAGAGGGAGGGAAGGGAGAAGCAGGAGAAGGACCCCGAGGAGAAGGAGGAGAAGGATGATGAGCGGAGCAGTCTTCGACGAGGTGAGCTCAAGCACATCCATGACGGGGAAATGTTTCCCTCAGGTCGACATTTCTGTGGAAAGGCAAGGCCGCTAAGGGAGGGGGGAGGGGGAAGGGAGAGGAGGGGGGCTGTGTTTGGCGCGAGGGAAGCCCCGCCCCTTTCCTCTCCTCGAGCCTCTCGAGGGGGCGTGGCTTCGCAAGCCCACCGTCTCGCGCCCTTTTTTCCTTTTCTCCAAAGCCGGCTGGGACTTAGCGCGCATGCGTGGCAGCTCCTCCCTCCCTTTTTTTTTTCCCAGGCGGGAGTCGGAGATAAGAGTTGAGATAATAATAATAATAATAATCTATATAAATAAAAAATGTAATGTTCGTTTGTGGGATTTAACAGAACTCAAAAACCACTGGGGGAATTGACACCAAATTTGGACACAAGACACCTAACAACCCAATGTATGTCCTTCACTCAACAAAAAAATGATTTTGTCATTTGGGAGTTGTAGTTGCTGGGATTTATAGTTCACCTACAACCAGAAAGCATTCTGAATCCCACCAACGATGGAATTGAACCAAACTTGGCACACAGTTCTCCCACGACCAACAGAAAATACTGGAAGGGTTTGTTAGGCAGTGTCCTTTGGTTTTGGAGTTGTAGTTCACCTCCATCCAGAGGTCACTGTGGACTCAAACAATGATGGATCTGGACCAAACTGTACACAAATACTCAGTATGCTCAAATGTAAACACTGGTGGAGTTTGGGGAAAATAGAATCTTGACATTTAGGAGTTGTAGTTGCTGGGATATATAGTCCACCTACAATCACAGAGCATTCTGAACCCCACCAACGCTAGAATTGGGCTGAACTTCCCACACAGAACCCCCATGTGGGCCACAGCAACACGTGGCAGGGGACGGCTAGTTAAGACCATCATCAAGACCACTAAGATCATCTGGAGGGGCTCTGCTCTCGGTCCCTCCGCCTGCACAAGCACGACTGGTGGGGACGAGGGACAGGGCCTTCTCAATGGTGGCCCCTCGACTTTGGAACTCCCTGCCATTAGAGATCAGAACTGCCCCCTCCCTCATGACGTTCAGGAAACTAACAAAGACCTGGTTGTGGAACGCGGCATTTGACAACTGATTTAATTCTTTGCCCACATGAAAGGAGGATGATGAATGGGATTGTGATGGTGTCAGACGATTTGGCTCTTTTAACTGGGATGATAATGTTTTAATGTGTATGGTGCTGATATTTTAATCGTGTAATTAAGTGGCATTGTGTTGTTATTGTATATTTTTTGTATGTTAACACATGTTGTGAACCGGTCCGAATCCCTCTTTGAAGGCGAGAGGGTCGGTATATAAAACCTCGAAATAAATAATAAATAAATAAATATAAATCAAAATTTTGCTGGCCGATAGCTTGAAAGTCTTAGCTTTCTACCGACCCCATATTTCCCCCTGAACCGTTATGGCTTCATCTGTATCGATTTCTACATTGATAACAATGTGTACATTGGGTTGTTGTAATTTTTTGGACTGTATGGCAAATGTTTTAGAAGCATTCATAGAATCATAGAGTTGGAAGAGACCTCATGGGCCATCCAGTCCAACCCCATTCTGCCAAGAAGCAGGAATATTGCATTCAAAGCACCCCTGACAGATGGCCATCCAGCCTCTGTTTAAAAGCTTCCAAAGAAGGAGCCTCCACCACACTCCGGGGCAGAGAGTTCCACTGCTGAACGGCTCTCACAGTCAGGAAGTTCTTCCTCATGTTCACATGGAATCTCCTCTCTTGTATTTTGAAGCCATTGTTCCGCGTCCTAGTCTCCAAGGAAGCAGAAAACAAGCTTGCTCCCTCCTCCCTGTAGAATCAAAGAGTTGGAAGAGATCTCATGGGTCATCCAGTCCAACCCCCTGCCAAGAAGCAAGAATATTGCATTCAAAGCAACCCCGACAGATGGCCATCCAGCCTTTGTTTAAAAGCTTCCAAAGAAGGAGCCTCCACCACACTCCGGGGCAGAGAGTTCCACTGCTGAACGGCTCTCACAGTCAGGAAGTTCTTCCTCATGTTCAGATGGAATCTCCTCTCTTGTAGTTTGAAGCCATTGTTCCGCGTCCTAGTCTCCAGGGAAGCAGAAAACAAGCTTTCTCCCTCCTCTCTGTGGCTTCCTCTCACATATTTATACATGGCTATCATATCTCCTCTCAGCCTTCTCTTCTTCAGGCTAAACATGCCCAGCTCCTTAAGCCGCTCCTCATAGGGCTTGTTCTCCAGACCCTTGATCATTTTAGTCGCCCTCCTCTGGACACATTCCAGCTTGTCAATATCTCTCTTGAATTGTGGTGCCCAGAATTGGACACAATATTCCAGGTGTGGTCTAACCAAAGCGGAATAGAGAGGTAGCATGACTTTCCTGGATCTAGACACTATGCTCCTATTGATGCAGGCTAAAATCCCATTGGCTTTTCTTTTTTTTTTTTTGCCGCCACATCACATTGTTGGCTCATGTTTAACTTGTTGTCCACGAGGATTCCAAGATCTTTTTCACACGTACTACTCTTGAGCCAGGCATTGTCCCCCATTCTGACATTTTGCCTGCATCTGTGGCAAGGATCCTTGCCACAGATGCAGATGCAGGCAAAATGTCGGGAGAGAATGCTTCTAGAACATGGCCGTACACCCTGGAAAACTTACAACAGCCCAGTGATTCCGGCCATGAAAGCCTTCCACAATAAAATGTATGCATTTCTTCCCTTCCTTCCTCCAAGGGCTCCTGGGGTGAAAATGATTATTTATTTATCGTGTCGGAAGCGAGTTGAGGGTTCAGTTAAAATGAATTTTAAAAACACAAAGATTTTTTAAAAAATAACTTGGCATGATGCTCAATGTCCTTTGACCAGAAGCTGGCCATTCAGAGTGCCTCTGGCATCTCTGTGAGAAGGTCCTTCATTGTGCATGTAGCAGGGCTCAGGCTGCATTGTAGTAGATGGGTGTTTCTCAACCTGGGGTCGGGACCCCTGTGGGGGTCGCGAGGGGGTTTCAGAGGGATCTCCAAAGACGATTGGAAAAATATATTTCTGATGGTCTTAGGAACTCCTTTGGCATAGAAGGCTGAAGATCTCTCCGCTTGTCCTTCTCTTCTCCATACTCGCATGTTGTGGACTCCACTTTGTAGCTCCATTTCTTAAGGTTAGCTCTGCATCTTGTGGTGCCAGAGCGCAGCCTGAGAGAAGCCTCCCCGCAGGATCGTGACACATCTGGACATCCCCTGGGTAACATCTAGACAGCTGATTCTCTCACACCAGAAGCGACTTGCAGCATGCAACCAAACAAACAAACAAAGATGATAATGACTCCTGAGAGTCTCCCCCCCCCCCTTGAAACCCTTGCAGTGTCTGAATCTGTCTCTGTGAATGAGATTATGTTCAGTTTGAACTGAGGTTGACGATGGGGATCATGATCACACATATAAGAAATATGGGAATGTGGAGATTTTCCTGGCCTTCCTGTTGCTTTCTGAAAAGGCAACTGTCTCCTGAATGAAAGCGAAAGCAGCTTCCTTGGTCCCAAGCTTTTTACAGTTCTTTCAACTGGAATAAAGGTATTTTGTCAGAGGGCAAAAGAACATGAGGCCCTGCAGTTGTTGCTTTTAGATTGCACTTCCCTTGCCCCTCCTATTTGGCTTTATTGCCTGGAACTGATTAAAAATAAAGTCCTAAAAGAATAAGGTAAGTGAGGCATTTTTCAGAGTTTGACCATTAGCTCTGTATAAGCAATAAGCTTGCTTTCAGGCCAGTTGCCATTTGTTCTGCCACTCTTTCCTCAGGCCTGATCTTCTTATTATTATTAAACTTTATTTATACCCCTCCACCATCTCCCCTCAGGGACTCGGGGCGCCTAACATGAGGCCAAGCCCAAACGAATAACAGTAAACAAATAAAATACATACAGCAAATAATAATTTACATTAAAATCAAAATAGAAATTAAAATACAATAAAATAAAATAAAACAATAACATACAAACAATAAAAGGAGATAAACATAATGGAAGCCATCCACAAAAAAAGCGCACCTTGAGTCAAGAGGTGGACAAGAGGATCATATAACATAAAAATAGGATTAGGGATCTTGCAGGAATAGCTTCTGTGCACTCTTTACACTTGTAGTGATGATCTTGTGGGTGCTGAGGGAGAAAGGAAGGAATTGTGTTTTATCTGTGTTGTCAAAGGCTTCCATGGCTGGAATTACTGGGTTGCTGTGAGTTTTCCGAGTTGTATGGCGATGTTCCAGAAGCATTCCCTCCTGATGTTTTGCCCACATCTGTAACAGGCATCCTCAGAGGTTGAGGGGTCTGTTTATATACCTGTGGGTTTATATACCTGTGGAATTGATCACAATGCTATTCAGTGCTAATCAAAGTGCTTAATTGCAGCATTCACATTTGCCTTCAGCAGACAAGACTTCTTTCTCCCATTCTGGACATCATTCCCCAGATATATAAACCTCACTTGCCTAGTTCCCAACAGAACCCTCAACCTCTGAGGATGCCTGCCATAGATGCGGGCGAAACGCCAGGAGAGAATGCTTCTGAAACGTGGCCATACAGCCCGGAAAACTCACAGCAACAAGGTGTTTTATCTCTTGTTAAGTTTTATATAGCTTGAATAGCACTGGTTCCTTTTCCATGCAGGTGTTTGTGGGGGTCATGTGTGTCTTTCTTGTGGTGGTAAACAAGCCTCCTTTAAGGAGTCCATTCCTTGTGAAGAGAGGGAAGCCCTGGCCTATGATCCTTGGTTCTGAGTAGTTGCCATGGGATGCTTAGATAAGGGGGAGGATAGCAGTCCTGTGCCTTGTTATGACTGGAATTTGATCTGCTGCTGCTTCTCTTTGTCTGCAGCAAAACTGTGCCTTGTTTTCTATGCTGGGATAAACCATCCATCGGGAACTGCTTTGACATTTCCATGCTATTATCGAAAATGGAATAGCATTGTTATCATAATCAAGTAGCAAGAGAATTCCTTTCCTAGGAGATTAAACCAATTCACTTCCCTTAAGGGCCTTGAAGCAAATACGATGGCAAAATTGGTCTCTTTCTGTGACTGTTTCAGTAACTTCATGTATTGCTGGTTAGATTAAGTTTCAGTAACCATAACTTCACCTGTGTAGGCTTAAGGCAGGGGAGGGGAGAGCACTGTGCATTAGTGGGTGTGACACATTTTGTATATTGAGGGCTCTGAATTCAGTTTTTGACCAAGTGGTCCTTGGTAAAAAAAAGGTTGGGAACCACTAGAGTTGGGGAAGGCTCGTAAAAAATTGCTGTTAGATAAAAATGATAGCCCAACAGAACGATTCAATAAAAGACAGCTTCATGTGTTTCAACAGCATACTTTGTGTTTTGACTGGGAACGGTCCCATCCTAGGAGTTCTTGATAAAATTGCAAATGTTGGGTTTAGAACAGTGGTTCCCAACCTATGGTCCACAAGAACAAAAATATGGTTTGCAGCCTTTACTACTACACAGTTGCCTCAAAAACACACAAAAGGAGAGTGACTGGTCTCGCAAAACCCTCTTATTGTGCCGAGGCAACGGGGATGTCGGGAGGGGAGAGGCTGACTACCCACATCGGCTCTAGATGTGGGCAAGCAGATGGCATATATTCTGTATCAGAAACTAGAGCTGATGTGGTCTATCCAATGCAATTTTCTGAATCAACACCCCAAATAACCGAACTGAATCTAAAGTTGGTAAAAAAAAAAGGTTGGGAATTCCTGGTTTAGAAACAGTGAGAGCTGCTTTTGCAGGTGTGTAGGTGACAGTAGTCCTGGAGGCTGTCTTTTGCAAGTATTAGACTTTATTATGGTGGTTTAAAAGAACTGCTTCCAGCTCCAAATTGCCCTGCGATTAAATTATAAATAGCTGCCAGTTTAAAAAAAATTAGAAAACCAGGACAGTAAATAAAGAGCAACACTAAAAAAGCAAGGGACTTCCAGACAAGAATCAATCAGGGCCAGCTAATACCTCCAAACAAATGATCCTCCAGGGAGCAATCAGGCAGACTTTGAAGCTGCAAAGCCATTAAATGCAAATTGAGGCGGTCAATTGCAACATTCACATTTGCTTCAAGCAGACAATATTTCTTTCTTCCACCCTGGACATTTCACAGATATATAAGCCTCACTTGCCTACGTTGATGCAGTGATGTATTGATATTGATGTTTAATGATTTGTGATGCTATTGCTTTTAAATGCTTAATGATTTTGTATTGTGTATACCTAAATTGTTGTAAACCGCTCTGAGTCGCCTAAGGGCTGAGAAGAGCGGTATACAAATAAAGTAAATAAATAAATAACATAAATACTTTCCAACAGACCCCTTGACCTCTGAGGATGCCTGCCATAGATATGGGCAAAATGTCAGGAGAGAATGCTTCTGGAATATGGCCAAGCAGCCCAGAAAACTCACAGCAAGCCAAATTATAAATAATCTGTGTAATTTAATTACAACTCACATTCTAATCCGTACGTCTCTGTGTTTTTATAGCCACCACAGAAAAGACAACGAACTGTAGAAGATTTCAATCAGTTCTGCACCTTTGTGCTAGCCTATGCAGGCTACATCCCATATCCAAATGAGGTAAGATGACTTAAGAGTTCACCACTGATGGGGATGAATGTCTGTTCTGTTCTCGCTTTATGTTGTAGGTGCTGACGACCCCATTTCCTTCCAGTCTGAATGTTGTGAAATGCCCTAGAAGTCACTGTTATTTTTTCTTTCCTTTTCTAGAATGAGCCATGGCCCCATAGAGGTAACATGAGCCCCCAAAACAGCACAGGCAGCACCCAGGATGGTGACAGCTGGACCTCCTCCCAGTCCTGTGACTCCCAGGCCCTCTCTGATGATGGAGGAAGTAGGAACACCACATGCAAAGGATCCGGAGATCTATTCCTCAGCTACTCTGGTATTTCCAGTAGCTTCTGCACAAGCCGACCTCAACAAACAAAGAAAAGGAAGCCATCCACAAAAAAGCGCAGCTTGAGTCAAGAGGTGGACAAGAGGATCATGCAGATAGATTTTAAGGACCTGAAACAGGAAAAGACTGAACACACAGAGGAGGAGATTCATGGAAAAGTAGGAGAGCTTGAATCCAGTCTCCCAAGGGAAGCACTCCAGCCTAAATCTCTCCTGGAGCAATACATAAAGGAGAATAACTGGGCCCCCGAGGTTCAGGCAGCTGAGAAATCTGAGCAGCAGGACATATGCAAGGAAGAAAGAGTCGGTCCGTCCTGTTGGAACAGCATAGAGCAAGGCAGTGAGGAAGAACTCAGCCAAGATGGCTCCCACATTGATAGTAAGTGTGCAAATAATTAAAACTACAATGCCAGTGTTGGCCTGTTTAGCCCAAGAACTGTTTATTCTTATGCAGTAGCTCCCCTAAGATTGCCAGACAGCTTTGAACATGTGCATGAGGGAAGAGATATGAGTGATGTTCAGGTTTCATTCAATCTTAATCTCAAAGTGTCATGTAACACGGGAGTTCTAATAAGACTGACAATAATTGTTCATGAGGCTTGGATGGCACAGAGTGAATAGAACAGTCAGGTTCAGAATATGAACACCTATGTGGTTATTCCTATTTACATGGTCTTCTTTCTTTCTTTCTCTGAAGCATCATGTGAGGAGTTTACCGGACCTTCAGACACCAAAACAGATGGTAAGTAGAAATTCTATCCAGTCGTACTGCTATCTTCCAGTAAGATGTATTTTGCCTGTATTGAATTTCATGGGTGAGGCAACGTGCTAGAGCAGGTATGGGTAAACCCAGGCCGGATGTAGCCCCTTGGGCTCTTTCCTCAGGTGGTCCTCCCACTATCTTTCCTTCCTTCTTTCCTCCATCCCTCCCTCCCTCTTTCTCCCTTCCTCCTTCCTTCCCTTCTACCCTTTCATCCTTCCTTCTTTCCCTATTTCCTCCCTCCCTTCTCTTTCTCCTTCCTTCCTTTCTTCCTTCCTTCCTTTTTGTCTTTCCTACCTCCCTCTGTTTCCTTCCACCCTTCCTTCTCTTCTTCCCTTTCTTTTATCCTTCTCTCTTTCCTTCCTCCTTCACTACCTTCCTTCCCTCCCTCTTTCTTCCTTCCTACCCTTTAACACTTTTGTCCTTCTTTCTTTCTCTTTCACTCCTTTCCTCTTCTCTTTCCTTCCTGCATCCCTTCTTTCCTTCTCTCCCTCTTTCTCCCTTCCTCTTTCCTTCCCTTCTACCCTTTCATCCTTCCTTCTTTCCCTTTTTCCTCACTCCTTCCCTCTCTCTTTCTCCTTCCTTCTCTTCCTCCCTTTCTTTTTTCCTTCTCTCTTTCCTTCCTCCTTTCCTACCTTTCTTCTCTCCCTCTTCCTTCCTTCCTACACTTTTACACTTTAGTCCTTCCTTCTTTCCCTCTTTTTCCTACTTTCCTCTTTTTACATGCCTCCCTTCTCTTTTTCTTTCTTCCTTCCCTCCATTCCCTTCCACACTTCTTTCCTTCTCTTCCTTCTCTCTTTCCTTCCTCCTTCCATCCTCTTTCTCCTTCTCTCCTTCCTTCCCTTCTATCCTTTCATCCTTCTGTCTTTCCTCCCTCCTGCCCTCTCTCTTTTTCTCCTTCCTTTCTTCCTTCCTTTTGTTTTCCTCCCTCCCTCCATTCTCTTCAAGTCTTTGATCCTTCTCTTCCTTCTTTCCTTCTCTTTTTCCTTTCTCCTGGGGGATGTTTAGCTGGAAGAAGAGAAAGTAGAGAGGGAACATGAGAATCACGTTTCAAGATTTCAAAGGGTGTCCCATTGAGGAAGAGGGGGGAACAGACTTTCTGCTGCTCTAGAGACCAGGGCACAAGGGAGCAATGTTTTCAAATGGCAGAGAAAGTGATTCGACCAAAAATATTAGGAAGACCTTCCTGAGAGTAAGAGCTGTTGAAGAGTGGTATAGGCTGCCTCGGAGTGTGGTGGAGTATTCTTCTCTGGAGGACCTTCTGCAGAGGCTGTCTGTCAGGAGTGCTTTGATTGTGCCTTCTTGCATGGCAGGGGGTTGGACTGGATGGCCCTTGGGGGTCTTTTCTAGCTCTGGGATTCTAGATCAGGAGTAGGCAATACTAATGGATACACTTTTTCTCTTTCATCCACCATCTCTCTCTCATCCAGAATAGGAAACTCCAGCAATACGTCCCAGAAGCACTTTAGTAGAGATTTAAGATTGTCTGCACATTGCACTTACCCTATTTTCACCTGTCATACTCAGCACTTTTTAATCTGTACCCATTACATTTGGCCCGGCCCTAGTTTTATCTTGTTATGGTATATTGTCTTATTGTTTACTGTTATTGCTTAATGTTTTGATTTGCATGAAATGTTATGTGTATTGTTATGCTGTTGTTTTTATTGAGGCCTTGGCCTTTGTAAGCCGCATTGAGTCCTGCGGGAAATGTTAGCGGGGTACAAATAAAATTAATAATAATAATAATAATAATAATAATCTCATCCTGACAAAGGCCGACCCTTTTGGGATCCAAATGTTTCCCATCTTTCCTTTACTTTATGCTTCTGAAAGAGAAGAGGAAAGGGAGGAGGCTTGGGGAGACACACACACACACACACACCCCAGGCCTGCCCACCATGTGGCCCCCAAGTCAGAAAGTTTGCCCATGTCTGTACTAGACCAATAAGAATCCCATTTCTTACAAGAATTAGTACTTAAGGCTTTAATAATCAGTTACATGTAAAACAACTTAGGCTCTGTTTTCAACCCTGTGTTGCTTTCCTTTGCAGAGGATGATGCCTGGGATCTCATCACTTGCTTCTGCTTAAAGCCTTTTGCTGGGAGGCCTATGATAGAGTGCAACGAGTGTGCCACTTGGATCCACCTCTCATGCGCCAAAATACGTAAATCCAACGTGCCTGACATCTTCATCTGCCAGCGATGCCGAGACGCGAAGCAGGAGATTCGGCGCTCCAACAGAGCCCGCACCATCCCTCGCAAGCGCTTCTGCGACTGACTTTGGTACGGGGGGTGGGTGGGATCTCTTTAGACATGGACTGAATCCCTGTTGGCAAGACAATCAATATGCAGCCACTTCGCTAAGGGACAGGCAAGGTCCCCCTGCTTCTCCAGGTCAGTAATACACCTGTACATGTCTTATTTGAGACCGTGCGGGGGAGAGGGGCACATGATGTCCCCTTCTTGAAAGGCCCGTGAACTGTGCTGTTGGGATCTCAGGGTGTCCCTAGAGCAACAAATGCAAAGGCACCTGGCAGACCAAAGTTTTGCACTGGTTTGGTGGATTCCAGTGCATGATGCACTAAGTCGGCCAGCAGCCTTTTTGTCCTTGTGCAGATGTGAGTTGGTGCCTTTCCTCAGCAAACTAGTAGGAGTTGTCTCACACTGAGTCCTGTGTATGAGTAGCTGCTCAGACTCTAGTTTTGTGCCCTCAGTTCTTATTTTTATCCCAGTGCTGTACTTCTCTTTTGAAAAAGTTGAGCTTTAGGGACCCTTTTACAGAAGTAAAGCACCTGCTAAAGAGGGCAGTTGTTTTCATGGGGCAATTGACTTCAAATTGGTACTGTGGTCATTGTCCCTTATTCTTTTGATGAGCCTGTCTTATTGGCGACCTAGCTGTTCCAGGCCTTGGTCAGGCTAGTTACTAATGGGAGAGGAATGGCAATACTCATTTAATGTAAATATTTTGTATACAGACTCCTTAGAATATGTCCCAAGTGTTCCTGTTCCCCACACACCCAGGAATTGCAGTTGCACTAGTGTCTTATTTGAATGGAATGCAGGAGTTGACGAAAGAGACCAAAGCTGTTTAATGGTTAGAGGTGCTGGTAACTGCTTCAGAAGTGTTAGGATCTGAATATTTGGAGTCATAAGAAAACTAGAGGTATGGCAGTGAGCTGCGCTGAAGAAGCAGATTGGGTCCTGCTTTTGTTTTCAAGCTGCTTTCTCGTTGCTAAAGAGGTTTGCTAGTCGCCAGAGGTGATATTTGGGGATTGCTAAAGGAAAGCGACCTGTCTACTATGCAAAATTATTTGTTTTTGGGGATGCCATGCCAGCAAACTACTGCTTGTTTTGGAGAGAAGACGGGTCTACTTGCACTCCGCACCCAGTCCGCTGAACCTCTTCAATTTGACCCACGTGCCTTCTTTATCACACCTCTCTTGCACACACCACCACACCTTTGGCCATCCTTTTAACCATACCCCTGTTTTCATTGTATGAGGGATTTGCAGTGGCTTGAGATCCATCTCATCCTATTAAGGAGGACAGGCTGCTCTCTTGTCATGCTGTAGGAAGAATTTGGAAAGCTACACCATGATCCAATCGGAAGCCCCTTTCCCCTTGAAGCGTTTACACTTTTATAGTTAGTCACTTTCTATCATAAAGATGTATGTAGTATATTCTGGTCTTTGTCCTGTGCTGAGTGTCTGGAGTGATACGTATAGAATAAAAGTACTTTGAAACAGTTGTGCTTTTTTATTTTCATGCAAAGGTCATGAAGCCAATTGGGATTCAGTTATTACAGCTGAAAAGAGGACAAAATGTAGGCAGATAAAAGATTATCTATATAAATGAAAATGTAATGTTCGTTTGTGATACCATCAGAACTCAAAAACCACTGGGGGAATTGACACCAAATTTGGACGCAAGACACCTAACAACCCAATGTATGTCCTCCACTAAAAAAAAATTGATTTTTGTCATTTGGGAATTGTCATTGCTGGGATTTATAGTTCACCTATACAATCAAAGAGCATTCTGAACGCCACCAGCAATGAAATTGAACCAATCTTGGGACACAGGCCTCCCATGACCAACAGAAAACACTGAAATGGTTTGGTGGGCACTGACCTTGAGTTTGGAAATTGTAGTTCACCTATATCCAGACATCACTGCGGACTCAAACAATGATGGATCTGGACCAAACTTGGCACGAATATTCCATATGCCCAAATATGAACACAGATGGAGTTTGGGGAAATAGACCTTGGCATTTGGGAGTTGTAGTTACTGGGATTTATAGTTCACCTACAATCAAAGACCATTCTGAATGAACCCCATGAATGACAGAACTGGGGCAAACTTCCCACACAGAACCCTCATGACCAACAGAAAATACTTAAGACCATCCAGTCCAATTCCCTTCACCAGGGCAAGAAAACGTAATCAAAGCCCTGACAGACAGCCATCTAGCCATAGATATAGATATATATGATTCACACACACAGAGATAAAGTATTATAGATTTGAAAGAGACGCCTAACGATGGACAATTATATGTTGCATGTTCCAGAGTAGGCTAACCAGACAATCCCTACATCAACACTGTCAAAGAAACATCAAGAAATACTGTTTACCCACAAGCAGAAAGACATTACATATATTGGAAACCAGCACTTTCTAATTACTTTATTTTCTATATCACCAGACTGGGCCACAGCAACGCGTGGCAGGGGATCGCTAGTTATTATTATTTATTATTATTTATTTATTTATACTCCGCCACCATCTCTCCAAGGGACTCAGAGCGGCTTACATGAGGCCAAGCCCAACAACACATCAATAAACAAAAAGCAATAAACAAAAAAAAATACAGTACAATTAATATAAATCACATATAAACAATAACGAATAAACAGTAACACACAAGGATTTAAAAACCTATGGCCGGGCCAAATGTAATAGTTTAAAAATTAAAAAATAAACGCTGGGCATGAACAAGGTAGGATATATCTGGTATAGGGTTTTAAAAGATAAAGCCTAGCAAAGGCTGTTTCACTGAACTGCAGGAGGATGACATCTTTCTGCCTTCAACCATCACTTGCTTCAATCAGTTGAGATATAGGTTAACAATGCTGTTGGATGTAGCAAAGACCTTTATACACTAATTCCAAAAGTTTTCTTATATAGTTTCGGGGTGCGGTGTCATCTGTACGCAGATGATGTCCAACTCTGTCACTCCTTTCCACCTGCTACTAAGGAGGCTGTCGAGGTCCTGAACCGGTGCCTGGCCGCTGTAACTGTCTGGATGAGGGCGACAAATTGAAATTTAATCCAGACAAGACAGAGGTACTCCTGGTCAGTCGCAAGGCCGAACAGGGTATAGGGTTACAGCCTGTGCTGGACGGGGTCGCACTCCCCTTGAAGGCGCAGGTTCGCAGCTTGGGTGTGACCCTGGATTCATCTTTGAGCCTGGATCCCCAGGTTTCAGGGGTGACCAGGGGAGCATTTGCACAGCTTAGGCTCGTGCGCCAGCTGCGCCCGTACCTTGGGAAGTCTGACTTGGCCACGGTGGTACACGCTCTGGTCACATCCCGCCTTGACTACTGCAACGCTCTCTACGTGGGGCTGCCCTTGAAGATGGCCCGGAAGCTTCAGCTAGTCCAGCGCGCGGCAGCCATGTTACTAACGGGAGCGGGACGCAGGGAGCACACAACGCCCTTGTTGTCCCAGCTCCACTGGCTGCCGATCTGCTACCGGGCCCAATTTAAGGTGCTGGTGTTATCCTACAAAGCCCTAAACGGTTCCGGCCCAAAATACCTTTCGGACCGCATCTCGGCCTATGAGCCCACGAGGGCCTTGAGATCGTCTGGGGAGGCCCTTCTCTCGATCCCGCCTGCCTCACAGGCACGTCTGGCGGGGACGAGAGAAAGGGCCTTCTCGGTGGTGGCCCCCCGGCTGTGGAACACCCTCCCTGCTGACATCAGACAGGCGCCCTCCCTTATGGCTTTCCGTAAGAGCCTAAAGACCTGGCTATTCGAGAAGGCATTTAACTGAGTGCTATATCAGCTGGTAAGGACAATTGGAACGGAATATGGACTTGAGATTGGTTATGATTCTATGTTGTGACGATGCGGATTAGCTTAGTGTAAATTAGATTAGAGTGTATTATTGTGATGTTGATTTTTCTTGTGCTTTATTGTAAATTGTTTTTATATGTTGTACACCGCCGCGAGTCGCCCTAGGGCTGAGAGCGGCGGTCAACAAATGCAATAAATAAATAAATAAATATACATAATCTTTTTGAAATTACCAGAATACTGTTGAACACATTTTTTAGTGTATTTGATAACACCCCTTGCTTCAATTTTTAAAAAAATCAAGGATAACACTTACTTCGTAGAATTTATTGAAGTAAGTGTTATCCTTGATTTTTTTAAAAAATTGAAGCAAGAGGTGTTAGTTATCAAATACACTAAAAAATGTGTTCAACACTATTCTTGTCATTACTTCATAGAATTTATCAGGAGCCCCTGGTAGTGCAGAGGGTTAAACCGCTGTGCCAGCAGGACTGAAGACTCAGGTCGCAGGTTCGAATCCAGGGAGAGTGCGGATGAGCTCCCTCTGTCAGCTCCAGCTCTTCATGCGGGGACATGAGAGAAGCCTCCCACAAGGAATCCTGTTGGTAGGTGATTAGCTGGCCCTGATTCTCTGGAATTCCCATTCTGAGTGTTATTCTTTATTTACATGCAGTCATGCCGGCCACATGACCTTGGAGGTGTCTACGGACAACGCCGGCTCCTCGGCTTAGAAATTGAGATGAGCACCACACCCCAGAGTCAGACATGACTGGCCTTAATGTCAGGGGACTACCTTTACCTTTTTCTTTATTTACTGTCCTGATTTCAATTTTTTAATACTTTCAATAAAAGATTATACTAGCCAGGAAGCAGCCAAGCTTTTAAGCTGCAAGGCTATTCAGTGCTAGTCAAGGTGATCCATTGCAACAGTCACCCTTGCCTCCAACAGACAAGAGTTCTTTCTACCACCCTGGACATTCCTGATATATAAACCCCTTGCCTAGTCTCCTCACAACCTCTGAGGATGCCTGCCATAGATGTGGGTGAAATGTCAGGAGAGAATGCTTCTGGAACATGGCCATATGGCCCAGAAAACTCTCAGTAACCCAATAAGGTTGGCTTTTTTTGCACTGGATGGGATGCTGTAGCTTTTTTCTCTGATAAAGGAGTAGTCTGCTTCCAGTTTTGTTCCTGCTGCAATGTGGATTATAATAATTATAATTTGAATCCCATTCCCTTAGTAAGTCGAAAGGATTCCCCTCCTGCTTTATCTCAAAGGTCTGCTTTTAATTTCCCCCATGTCTCCCGGAGCATAGCCTCCGAGGAGACCTTCCTTTGCCATAGGGCCAATTAGCTTTAGCTTTGATGCTGGCATCCCTCTAAGGAACAGGAGAGCCGAAGGACGCTGTAGGATGTTTTGCCTTCAGGTACAGAAATGGCTCAACAAAAGCCTTAAAGAAAAACCAACCTGACCCAAACCTTGGAATTACATGTATTGAATTGTGACACAGCCCTTTATACATTCATCTTAATCGGCATTCATGACAAATGACAACACCCGAATGAGCAGCTTGGTGTTGGCAGAGATATGGCTCCCCATTGCAGCTTGGAAACAGGAAAGAATGTATAAACTATACTTTTGATGTACAAATGGAGGAGCCAGCGCGTTGTGTTAGTCTTGCGTATTGAATTAGGACTCTGGAAAGTCAGGTTTCAAATCCTCACTCGGTCTTGAAAACCCAGTGGGTGACAACAGGCCTGCCTAAGATGATCATGGCTATCTATGAAAAATAAAATGCCAAGGAATGATTAGACCAGGCCTGAGCAAATTTGGGGGCCAGATGCTAGCATTCCCTGCTAGGACTGGCTGCCTGGTGATGGAAGGAAGGAAGGAGACGGAGGAAGGAAAGAGAGAAGGGAAGGATAGAAGGAAACGGAGAGAGGAAAGAGAAAGAAGGAATGATAAAAGGGAAGGAAGGGTGGAATGGAAGGAGGAAGGAAGGAAGGAGGGAAGGAGAAGTAAAGACAAAAGGGAAATAAGGGAGGAAAGACAATGAAGGAAGGAAGGAGAAACGAAAGACAAAAAGGAAGAAAGGGTGGAAGGGAAGAATGGAAAAAGGAAGGCCAAATGGGTGGAAGAGAAATAAGGATGGAAGGAGAAAGGGAGTGAAGGGTGGAATGGAAGGAGGAAGGAAAAAGGAAGGAAAGACAAAAGGGAAAGAAGGAAGGAGAGAGGAAAGGCAAGGAAGGAAGGACAAAAAGGTGGAAAGGAAGGATGGAAGGAGAAAGGGAGGGAAGGGAGGAATGAAAGACAAAAGGGAAGAAAGGATGAAAGGGTGGAAGGGAAGGATGGAAAAAGGAAGGACAAAGGGTTGGAAGGGAAGGAAGGGAAGAGAGAAGGAAGGACAAAAGAGTGGAAGGGAATGAAGTGAGAAAGGGGAGGTAAGGTAAGAAGAAAGGAAAGAGAAAGGAAGGAAGGACAAAAGGGTGGAAGGGAACAAGGAAGAGGGAAAGAAGAAGGAAAGAGAAGAATAAGATGGTGAGATACAGGAGGGCCTGAGAAAAGAGCCCAAGGGGCCACATCCACCCCCAGGCCTGGGTTTACCCATACCTGGATTAGGCTATGGTAGCCACAAGATAGAGTTGATTTAAAATCACTTAAGTCCTTGATATCACATCTGCTGCACCTTCAGGATTCTCTATCTGATCCTTGCATAAATAAAACTCCTCCTCTTCCAAGCTCTTATATAAATGTCAGGCCACTGGACTTGGTGTTTTACCTACCTTAATCTTTTTAATTGCTTCAGATATCTCGTTTACACCGTAGGAGTATTCAGTTATCTTTACAAATCAGGTCAAGGGCACGTCCTGGTTTCTTATATATGCACTTCTTTTCAAATGAAATTTGTATAACGTTCAAATTCAACCACACTCTTGTTCCAACTCAAAAGAACTTGCAGGAGGTTGTTAAGAGATTTATGCTGATTTTTTTTCTTCAACCAGATTTTTTCTGTAATGCTTATTAGTTTTTATGCTTTCCGCTGATTTATTCTGAACAGGCATTAAAGCTATTTCCCCTATAATATCCTCAAATCATTTTTTAAAAATGACTTATATTGGCTATGTTTGATTTCCTTACTACAGAGAGCAATCTTGAACACATGTGTTTATTAGAAAAGCAGAAATCATTAACAAATCTACATTTGCTTTAGCTGCCTATAAGGCACCAGTAAACCAGTAGCAAAACAATTATTTTTTCATTGACCAAACTATTCTGTTCCATTACTTGGTTTGCATTACTCCTTCTTCCTAAACCTGGGGCTCAAGGCAATCTACAAGATTTTTAATAATGCCAAATTACTGCAATCTGTCCTGAAATTTGGAGCCTCCAGTAATGCCGAGAGTTAACCCGCTGAGCTGCTGAACTTGCTGACCAAAAGGTCAGCAGCTTGAATCCGGAGAGTGGGGTGAGCTCCTGCTGTTAGCCCCAGCTTCTGCCAACCTAGCAGTTTGAAAATATGCAAATGTGAGATCAATAGGTACCGCTTCGGCAGGAAGGTTAGCGGAGCCCCATGCAGTCATGCCAGCCACATGACCATGGAAGTGTCTATGGGCAATGCTGGCTCTTTGGCTTAGAAATGGAGATGAGCCCCCCCCCCCCCCCCGCAGTCAGACACAACTAGACTTAATGTCAGGGGAAACCTTTATCCTAAGATTTAGAGACAGAACAGGCTTGGATTTCAAAAAGCAAGGGCTTCTTACATTTTTTGAGTGACCCCCTTCCTACCCATTTGCAGTGATAAAAGGACAGTCAGGCCTGTTACTTTAAAACAGAGGGCTGAGGACCTCTTTCAGCCAAATTCAGTTTCAAAGTGTGTCCCAATAGTGGATGGAACCAAAGGCAAAAGAGGGCGGGATCTCAAATATCATCGAACCACAAATATCATTACAATGCTTTAGAGGGAGCTCCCAGTGGCGCAATGGGTTAAGCCCTTATGACGGCAGGACTGCTGACTGAAAGGTCAGCAGTTTGAATCCAGGGTGTGGGGTGAGCTTCCATTGGTCAGCTCCAGCTTCCCATGTGGGAATATGAGAAAAGACTCCCACAGGATGGTAAAACATCCAGGTGTCCCCTGGGCAACATTCCTTGCAGACAGCCAATTCTCTCACACCAGAAGCAACTTGCAGTTTCCCAAGTCGCTCCTGACACAAAAAAAAAAAGAAGTTTTAGAATGGGTCACACAAAAGCCAACATCATCTTAGTGACATGGAAGTGCAAATCTGCCTTATGCTCGTGTGTGGTTTTTGTTGCTGATAAGGAAAGTTCTGCACTTAGAACTTTTATTACACTGTGTTCAACCATGTAGGACTTCAGGCCGTATCTGTGAAAACATTGTGTTGTGAGGAATGGATTGTAAGAGTTAGAATGAGCAGCCCATTAATCCAATGTCAAAACTAGAATACGAAATTGCCTAAAGTAAATATTTTTATTGGGATATTTGCTTCATTTTGTACAACAGGAGCCATGGAAAAATACAACAGTCCTCCACAAGTTAACCTGTCAGCTCAGCTGCATCCCATTTCCAGAGCAACTCAAAACTAAGCTCTGGATCAAAAAACTGCAAATTCTTTAAATCTGGTTTGGTAAATATGAAAAAATGGATGCTTAGGCTTATTGAGCTTCAAAGGCAAGATGGCGGTTCTCCTGTACTCAAATGGGCGTGTATCACCCTCTTAGACAATATCAAAGCATCAGAAATAACTATTCAAATGTATACAATGTGAAAAAGGAATTATCTCACCCTATTCAGTATGCAATATCTACAGTTATATATCAAACATTTGTTCTTTTTTGGACAATAGCAAGAATTTTAAACTTGGGAGGAAACTTTTGCCACCAGATAAGAATACATCATACGTTTCCTTTTTTTAATTTTATTTTAATTTTATTTTTTTGGCAATAGCAAGAATTTTAAACTTGGGAGGAAACTTTTGCCACCAGATAAGAATACATCATATAATTGCTTTTTTTTCCCTTTGGCAATAGCAAGAATTTTAAATTTGGGAGGAAATTTTTGCCACCAGATAAGCAGAAAGGCAACTACAGAAACTTTTGCCTCGTCCAGACACAACAAGTGCAATGGACATATTCACCATGGACAAAGCATAAACCCAGTCACCAATTATCTAATGTAATTTCCTTGCAAATCCGATAGTCAAGCAAGTGAAAATGGTGGCAATACAGGAGGCTTTCTCGAACTATTTGCAAAGACATCTATTAAGGCACAAAAGGCGATCAGCTTTTCATACTGCTAGGTTAAGGTATCAAAGTTCAGTTTCAAGGCTGAAGGCTTCTCTTGTAAACAGAGAGGAGCTACAGATTCCTCAAAGCTTAGGAAAATTACATTTTGAACTACACTGCCCAGTATTTTTGGGAGTCACAATCCAAACAAATAACCATTTCCAAGCTCTGGGATCTCTCGGCAGCTTTACTCTTCTTTAGCCCATGCCGCAACACTTTTCTCCTCCTGCACATGAGGGATGACGGCCTCGGTGTAGAACTTCTCCAGTTTGGGAACCGTATTCTCCCAGAAAGCTGGATCGAAATCGACCGGGGCAATTGCAGTCTCCTTGTTGGTGTAAACCACAAGGTCTGCTTTGTCAAGGCCAGTGACTCCCATCTGGCACTGCACCTGGGTGTAATAGGGATGCGTCTTTTTCAGCGCGTAGGAATCCCCCTTCTTCTCCAGGCAGAAGGCTTTGTCCTTGCAGGCCTCCGTCACCGTCTTATCTCTGTGCTTGTAAGGGCACTTGACCTCCACAATCCCAATCTCCTTGCCGGTTTTGGCTTCCTTGGCAATCCCATCGGGGCTGGCTGCCAGCCAGGGCTTCTCTTTGTCGATGTAGAGGCCGCAGTCATCCACTTTCACGGCCAGGCGGCTCTCGCGGGACTTGAGGGCTTCGTAGGACTCGACGGCTTTCTTCTCGTTCCGGATCCCCCAAGACATGGCCGGAGTCTGAACCCGGGGGCCCGACCGCGTCACATCTTTCAGGTAAGACTGAGGCACCTCGGAGGTCCGTCCATTGGCAAACTTGCTGTTGGCGATTTTGGGAGCCACGGAGGCCGTGATGCGGTTCTCCCTCCACTGGTACCATTCTGGGTTGGTCCGCTGACCACGAGTCTCCCTCTCTATTTCAGCCACCTTCTCTGTAGGGAGCGGAGTTGGCAGGTGAACTGATTTGCCTTGAGTTTGAGCAGATTTGCCTTGGGATTTTGGAGCTGCCTGCGGAGTGCTACCAGCAGATTTGGCAGAAGACCTGGTTCCTCCAGCAGCCGTGGAGGTCTTGGCTCTTGTTGCACGGCCACTCCACCCATCTCCTTGCTCCCCATCGTATGTAGTTGTGGATCTTGTTTGGTCTGCTCCTCTGAGACTTGGGGTACACGCTTGCTTTCCCCCTTGTCTGACACCTTCGCTTTTGGCAGCTGAGGTGGCCTTAGCTCCCCGGTTTGCAGAACTTGATTTGGAGGAAGCAGAAGACGGAGGAGCAGATGGGGCTACTTTGGGCGCTGTGGCAGCAGGTCGTGGGGACGAGACATCAGCAGAAGCTTTCCTAGGCCTGCCCATGGCTTCTAAGGGAGGGATTCACAATCTGTGGGTTCAGAAAGTAAAAGAGGGTATAGATACAAACAGCTTGGAAATACACACCTTCTCAGAGGTTTTCTGTTCCTCAAGAGCAGTGGTTCTCAACCACCCTAATGCTGCGATCCCTTAATGCAGTTCCTAATGTTGTGGTGAACCCCAACCATAACATTATTTTTGTTGGTACTTCATAACTGTCATTTTGTTACTATTTTGAATTGTAATGTAAATATCTGATATGCAGGATGGATTTTCATTTACTGGACCAAATTTGGCACCAATATCCAATACGCCCAAATTTGAATACAGGTAGGGTTAAAGCCATGGTATTCCCTGTAGTCACCTACGGATGTGAGAGCTGGACCTTATTTATTTATTTACAGTTCTTATATTCCGCCCTTCTCACCCCGCAGGGGACTCAGGGCGGATTACAATAAACACATATATGGCAAACATTCAATGCCAGTTTGACAAACAACATTTAACAGACAAAGGCTATTTAACTTTTTTTCTGGCCGCCAGGGGAGCTGCTGCTTTTCATCGTCCATCAACGACACCGATGAAGTTCTTCCGCATTCCACATTCCCCGGAGTCTTCTTTCTTTATGGCCTCATAAATTAGTTAAATTTAGCCTCCCACACAAGGTGGTACCTTATTTTCCTACTTGACAGATGCAACTGTCTTTCGGGTTGCAAAGGTCGACAACGGGCTACACAATGGCTGGACACCCACTCCAGCCCGGGCTGGCTTCGAACTCATGACCTTTTGGTCAGAGTGATCTTAATGCAGCTGACACTCAGCCAGCTGCGCCACAATCCCGGTACCTTAGGGAAGGCTGAGCAAAGGAAGATAGATGCTTTTGAACTGTGGTGTTCGAGGAAAGTTCTGAGAGTGCCTTGGACTGTGAGAAGATCCAACCAGTCCATCCTCCAGGAAATAAAGCCCGACTGCTCATTGGAGGGAAGGAGACTAGAGACAAAGTTGAAGTACTTTGGCAACATCATGAGGAGACAGCAAACCCTGGAGAAGACAATTATGCTGGGGAAAGTGGAAGGCAAAAGGAAGAGGGGCCGACCAAGGGCAAGATGGATGGATGGCATCCTTGAAGTGACTGGACTGACCTTGAAGGAGCTGGGGGTGGTGACGGCCGACAGGGAGCTCTGGCGTGGGCTGGTCCATGAGGTCACGAAGAGTCGGAGACAACTGAACGAATGAACAACAACAGGGTTAGGGGAAGATTGATTTTGCCATTTGGAAGTTGTAGCTGCTGGGATTTATAGTTCTCCTCCAACCAAACTCCACCAACGATGGAAATGAACCAAACATGGCACACAGACCTCTCATAACCAACAGAAAATACTAGAAAGGTTTGTTGGGCTTTGACCTTGCGTTTTGGAGTTGAAGTTCACCTACATCTAGAGAGCACTGAGGACTCAAACAATGATGGCTCTGGATCAAACTTAGCATGAATACTCAATTATGCCCAAATGTGAACACTGGTGGAGTTTGGGGAAAATAGACTTGGCATTTGGGAGTTGTAGATCCTGGGATTTATAGTTCACCTACAATCAAAGAGCATTGTGAACAGCACCAGTGATAAAACTGGACCAAACTTCCGACACAGAACCCCCATGACCAACAGAAAATACTGTGTTTTCTGATCGTCTTTGGCGACCCTTTTGACACACTCTTGTGACCCCTGCAGAGGTCCCGACCCCCCAGGTTGAGAAACCCTGCTCAAGAGGGTCATCGCCATTTATTGGCCTGCATACAAGATGTCCCACACTTCCATTTACATTTTGATATCCAGTAGACCAGCGTTTCTCAATCTAGGGGTTGGGACCTTGGGGGGGTTGCGTGGGGGTGTCAGAGGGGTCACCAAAGATCATCAGAAAACATAGTATTTTTTGTTGGACATGAGGGTTCTGTGTGGGAAGTATGGCCCAATTTTATCATTGGTGGGGTTCGGAATGCTCTGATTGTAGGTGAACTATAAATCCCAGCAACTACAACTCCCAAATGTCAAGGTCTGTTTACCTCAAATTCCACCAGTGTTTACATTTGGGCATATTGAGTATCTGTGCCAAATTTGGTCCAGATCCATCATGTTGTATTAACATTACAATTCATAACAGTAGCAGAATTACAGTTATGAAGTAGCAATGAAAATAATTGTATGGTTGGGGGTCACCACAACATGAAGAACTATAAGGGGTCGTGGCATTAGGAAGGTTGAGAAACACTCCACATTTGCAGGTTTGACTTTTGAGGATTCTATTTAAATGCTTTCTTTTGGAATATCTAGCTCCACCAGTGTGATTTCCTCTGAAAGGTGACAACACTGGAAGATTTAGGCCCCTTCTACACTGCCATATAATCCTGATTATCAAGACAGATTATCCACATTACCTGCTTTGAACTGGATTATATGATTATAGTCCGGGTCGAAGGAGATAATCTGGATTTTATATGGCAGTGTAGAAGGGGCCTTAGAGATTTCCGAGGTAGTTCACTTAGAAAGTCCTAGAAATTCTCTCAGGAGATATATACATACTCACACTCACACACACACACACATATACACTAGCCGTCCCCTGCCACTCATTGCTGTGTCCCAGTCTGTGTATATGTGTTTTGTGTGTGTGTATATATTTGTGTCTATGTGTATATATGTGGTTATGTGAATGCATTGTAATATATTTTTATTTTATTTTTTGGCCTTTTAAGTCTCTTACGTTGTGTTTTCCAGTATTTTTATGTGTGATGGTCCCTTGTTGGCCTGATAGGTGTATTGTGTCCAAATTTGGTGTCAATTCGTCCAGTGGTTTTTGAGTTATGTTAATCCCACAAACGAACATTACATTTTCATTTATATAGATACTAGCCATCCCCTGCCACACATTTCTGTGTATATGTGTTTTGTGTGTGTATATATGTGTTTTGCGCATGTGTTGTAATATATTTTTTCGCTTTTTAAAGTCTCTTCTCCTGTGTTTTTCAGTGTTTTTATGAGTGATTGTCACTCATTGGCCTAATAGGTGTATTGTGTCCAAATTTGGCATCAAATTTGGTGGGAACTATACATCCCAGCAACCACAACTCCCAAATGTCAAAATCAATTTTTTGAGTGAAGGACATACATTGGGTTGTTAGGTGCCTTGTGTCCAAATTTGGTGTCAATTCGTCCAGTGGTTTTTGAGTTCTGTTAATCCCACAAACTAACATTACATTTTTATTTATATAGATTACACGTACACACATATGTATATGTATATCAGGACTTTTAAAAAGGGGTGCTACACTGCTGCAAACTGTAGTGTTAACGATGAACTTTCATGCTGTGTTTTAAATACCAGTTGAGCATCTCCTGAGATCCTGAAATTCAAAATACTCAAATCCAAAACTGTCCAGATGAGTAGCTGAGACAGAAGCATTTTTGCATCTCTGATTAAATGCGAACTTTATTTCCTGTGCAAAATTATTTAAGACTAGCCGTCCCCTGCCACGCATTTCTGTGGCCCAGTCTGTGTATATGTGTTTTGTGCATATATGTGTGTGTGTGTTTGTGTGTATATGTGGTTTTGCACATGCTTTGTAATGGTTTTTTTTTTTTTGGTTTTTGGCTTTTCTAGTCTCTTCTGTTGTGTTTTTCTGTGTTTTTATGAGTGATGATCACTCATTGGTGTATTGCATCCAAATTTGGTGTCAATTCGTCCAGTGGTTTTTGAGTTATGCTAATCTGACAAACGAACATTACATTTTTATTTATATAGATGTGGCACATAACCTTCAGGCAATGTGTTTAAAATGTATATAAAACAAATGAATTTCATGTAAGCCTCAGGTCCCATGTCCTAGTACAGCGTTTCTCAACCTGGGAGTTGAGACCCCCGCGGGGGGGGGGGGGTCGTGTGGGGGTGTCAGAGGGATCACCAAAGACAGTCAGAAGACAATACTTTCTGTTTTTCATAGGGGGTTCTGTGTGGGACGTTTGGCCCAATTCAGAGTGCTCTTTGATTGTAGGTAAACTATAAATCTCAGCAACTACAACTCCCAAATGTCAAGGTCTATTTTCCCCAAATTCCACCAGTGTTCACATTTGGGCATATTGAGTATTCATGCCACGTTTGATCCAGATCTATCATTGTTTGAGTCTACAGTGATCTCTGGATGTAGGTGAACTACAACTCCCAAACTCAAGGTCAATGCCCATCAAACCCTTCCAGTAATTTCTGTTGGTCATGGGAGTTCTGTGTGCCAAGTTTGGTTCCATTCCATCGTTGGTGGAGTTCAGAATGCTCTTTTATTGTAGGTGAACTAGAAATCCCAGCAGTTACAACTCCCAAATGACAAAATCAATTCCCAACCCTACTAGTATTCAAATTTGGGCATATCGTGTATTTGTGCCAAATTTGGTCCAGTGAATGAAAATAGACCTGCATATGAGATATTTGCATGACGATCCATACCAGTAGCAAAATTCCAGTTATGAAGTAGCAACGAAAGTAATGTTATGGTTGGGGGTCACCACAACATGAGGAACTGTATGAAGGGGTTGCGGCATTAGGAAGGTTGAGAACCACTGTCCTAGTATTTTATCATCAGAAAAAAGGCAAACTACAGAACACTTCTGGCCCCGAGCATTTTGAATATGGGATGCTCAAACTGTACAAGCCCATCGCTTCAACAGGTGTCCGGCATAAAGGTATCCATTGTTAATCCAGATTGCCTCTTAATTAAGGGAAATTGGGGGATTTGCTAACATAAAGAGGGCCTTTGCTCTTTAAACAATATCCCTTGCAGGCATAACAGAAATCACAACCATTCTGGCTCTTGTCTTGAGCAAGCAGGTGAGCACTACTCAGAACTTACGTCACAAAAGAGTGGAAATTAGCCATTGATGGGGACACAGTTAGTCATTGTGGGGGATTTTGAAGCATCTCCTTTATTGTATTGTCGAAGGCTTTCCTGACGTTTCGCCTGCATCTATGGCAAGCATCCTCAGAGGTAGTGAGGTCAGAGGTAGTGAGACCTCACTACCTCTGAGGATGCTTGCCATAGATGCAGGCGAAATGTCAGGAGAAAAATTGCCTCCAGAACATGGCCATATAGCCCGGAAAAACCTACAACAACCCATCTCCTTTATTTATTTATCATGTCAGGAGTAAACCAAACAGTTGTATTGCATTTTTAACAAACAATTGTTTGTTGCCTGAAGGGAGGCAACAAAGGTCCTTCTATACAAGGCTAGAGAATATGGAAAGAAGGGAGAAACAAGGGCCAATCACACTTTTGAGAAGTGTACATCAAGTGCCATTTTACTTACTGCTTCAGTAACAGTTCTTTGCAAATCCTTCTTCGAACCAAAGGCCTTTATTCGATTTTTTTTCTCTTCTTAAATGTCTTTTTTTTCCCCTGTAAAAAACAAAAACAGAAAAAAATAAAGAAAAAGAAATCCTCCCTATTGTCAACTGTGTTTATGTTTGGCTTGGAGAAAAGACTGAAAAGTGACATGATGGCCACATTATGATGGCTACAAGTTGAACATCTCTTATCTGGAAATAATAATAATAATAATAATAATAATAATAATAATAATTCCATTGCAGATTGATTAAGGCTTCTGATAACATGTTGTCGAAAGCTTTCACAGCCGGAATCACCTGGTTGCTGTGAGTTTTCCAGGCTGTACGGCCATGTTCCAGAAGTATTCTCTCCTGACGTTTTGCCCACATCTATGACAGGCATCCTCAGAGGTGGTGAGGTCTGTTGGAAATTAGGCAAGTGGGGTTTGTATGCCTGTGGAATAAGGTCAAGGTAGGAGAAAGAACCCCTGGAGGCGCAGTGGGTTAAACCCATGTGCTGGCAGGACTGAAGACCAACAGGTCGCAGGTTCGAATCCGGGGAGAGGCGGATGAGCTCCCTCTATCAGCTCCAGCTCCTCATGCGGGGACATGAGAGAAGCCTCCCACAAAGGATGATAAAAACATCAAAAATTATCCGGGAGTCCCCTGGGCAACATCCTTGCAGACGGCCAGTTCTCTCACACCAGAAGCGACTTGCAGTTTCTCAAGTCGCTCCTGACATGACAAAAAAAAAAGAGATAAAGAACTCTTGTCTGTTTGGGGCAAGTGTGAATGCTGCAATTGATCACCTTGATTAGCATTTAATAGCCTTGCAGCTTCAAGTCTTGGCTGCTCCCTGCCTGGGGGACTCCTTGGTTGGGAGGTGTTAACTAGTCCTGATTGTTTCTTGTCTGGAATTCCCATTTTTGAGTGTTGTTCTTTCCTTAATGTCCTGATTCTAGAGTATTTTAAAAATGGTAGCCAGATTTTATTCATTTTCAAGGTTGCAGGTTCGAATCCAGGGAGCAGGATGAGCTTCCGCTGTCAGCCCCAGCTTCTGCCAACCTAGCAGTTTGAAAACATGCAAATGTGAGTAAATAAATAGGTACCGCTCTGGTGGGAAGGTAACAGCGCTCCATGCAGTCATGCCGGCCACATGACCTTGGAGGTGTCTATGGACAACGCCGGCTCTTAGGCTCAGAAATGGAGATGTGCACCACCCCCCAGAGTTGGACATGACTGGACTTAATGTCAGGGGAAAACCTTTACCTATAATGAATTATAATCCATTCCATCTGATGTTTACAAACATAAATTCCTTGAACTGACTGACTGACTGTATACTTAACTATTACATCTGGCCCAGCCATAGGTTTTTAAATCTTTGTGTGTTACTGTCTATGTCTGAGTTATATTAATTGTATTGTTTATTTTGCTTATTCTCTGTTGTTTTTATTGATGTGGTGTTGGGCTTGGTCTCATGTAAGCCGCTCCGAGTCCCTTGGGGAGATGGTGGCGGGGTATAAATAAAGTTTTATTATTATTATTATCTAAATAAGGGAATCAAAGCATTACTCTACTTAAAACTAATGGATTATGGACACTTTTTTTAGTTATCCATGAAGACCTGACTGTCAGCAAGACCCACTGAAGACTAACGAGATCTTTGCCAAGTTGATTTAATTCTTCTTTTCGGTTTGCTGCGACTGGGAGGGGTTGGAGAAAAGAAAAGGGAAACGAAACTGATCTCAGTGCCTGGATTTTCAAGGGTGACTGACTACTAGCATTGCTGAGGAGACATGCCTGGACATAGCACTTTCCAAGCTGTCTTCGCACGGACCGAATTTCCATTTTGCAGTTCTTGAAGCTTACATAGCAGCTTGCCTAAGAAAACCCTATAAAATACAGGATGACAGACATAGGCAACACCATATTGGTCTGGAATACCAGTCTAAAAAGAAACCTTGTAGCACCAACATTCAAAAATATATTTCAAAGATGTAATCCTGTAAGTCTGCAATAAAAGAGATCTTGTAGCGCTTTAGGGAGTAACTGAGAGAATGAAGCTGGTAACATCATGCTACTAACTTTGTGCTGTTCATTAGGGTACATCTACACTGCAGAATTGATGCGGATTGACGCCACTTTAACTGCTAAAACTCAATACTACGGCTACATGGGAATTGTAGTTTTATAAGGTCTTCAGCCTTCCTCACCAAAAAGTCTGGGTATCTCATGAAAGTACAAGTCCCAGGATTCCAGAGTCATGGCTGCTAAAGTTGTATCAAACTGCATTAACTCTACAGTGTAGATACGCCTTTAAGCCTCTAAGGTGCTGTTAAAGTGGTGTCAAACTGCATTAATTCTACAGTGTAGATACACCTTTAGTCTCTAAGATGCTGTTAGAAATGGTGCCAAACTGCATTAACTCTACAGTGTAGAGTTACAGCTACAAACTCTGAGGGTTGGTGTTCATCTCCATTTCTAAGCCAATGAGTCGGCGTTGTCCGTAGACACCTCAAAGGTCATATGACCCGCATGACTGCATGAAGCGCCATTACTTTCCCACTGAAGCGGTACCTATTGATCTACTTACATTTGCATGTTTTCGAACTGCTAGGTTGGCAGAAGGTGGGGCTAACAGCGGGAGCTCACCCCCCACTCTCCGGATTCAAACCAGCAACCTTTCGGTTAGCAAGTTCAGCATCTCAGCGGTTTAACCCACTGCACCATTGTTGGGTGGCAAATCCTATTTAACTGAACCTCACAAATGGTATTTTAAATCAATAGCTAATTGACTTGGAACCACTTTGAGCCCCCTTTCAGGAGATAAAGCAGGGTATAAATAAATATATTATATTATAATTATTATATTTCCCCACTTAAAGTAATTATAATAATATTGTAAAATGCAGTTTTAAAGGGAGAATTACAATTTTGAACATGCTGAGTTGATTCTGGTAAGTGTAGTTAAGAACTCCAGGGGGGGAAAGTAACTTTTCCAAGCTTTTTTTTTTTTTTTTGCAGCTTTACAAGAAGACAATCTGGCAAAATTTGTTTTTATATAGCTTGGTGGACCAAATGTCATATAAGAGGGGTCCAATAGATCATGACTCCTTTTTTTGTTTTAATTTAGAACAACATATAGTATAGACAGGAAATAAAATCACATTTACGTTAAGTGTTAAATCACTTTTCTCAAAAGTTATTACAACATCAGAACCCTTTGTGACTTTTGGCCAACTTAGTACAGATATGTGCGTATATATAGGTAGATATGTGTATACCTTGCAATATATACACATTCACATAGCTATATATATATGTGTGTGTGTGTGTGTATGCATAATATATATGTGTGTGTGTGTATATATATATATAGGTAGATATGTGTATACCTTGCAATATATACACATTCACACAGCCCTATATATTATATATATATGCATAATATATATATGTGTGTGTGTGTGTGTGTATATATATAGGTAGATATGTGTATACCTTGCAATATATACACATTCACATAGCCCATATATATGTGTGTGTGTATAGGTAGATATGTGTATATGTATGTATGTGTGTGTGTGTGTGTATATATATATATATATATAGAGAGAGAGAGAGAGAGAGGTAGATATGTGTATATCTTGCAATATATACATTCACATAGCCCATATATATATATATGGGTGTGTGTGTGTGTATAGGTAGATATTTGTATATCTTGCAATATATACATTCACATAGCCCATATATATATGTGTGTGTGTGTAGTTAGATATGTGTATATCTTGCAATATATACATTCACATAGCCCATATGTGTGTGTGTGTGTGTGTGTGTGTGTGTGTGTGTAGGTAGATATGTGTATATCTTGCAATATATACATTCACATAGCCCGTGTGTGTGTGTGTGTATGTGTGTATAGGTAGATATGTGTATATCTTGTAATATATACATTCACATAGCCCATATGTGTGTGTGTGTGTGTATAGGTAGATATGTGTATATCTTGCAATATATACATTCACATAGCCCGTGTGTGTGTGTATAGGTAGATATGTGTATATCTTGCAATATATACATTCACATAGCCCATATGTGTGTGTGTGTGTGTGTGTGTATACGTAGATACGTGTAGACCTTGCAATATATACATTCACATAATCCATATATGTGTGTGTGTGTGTGTGTGTATAGGTAGATAATGTGTATATCTTGCAATATATACATTCACATAGCCCATATATGTGTGTGTGTATACGTAGATACGTGTAGACCTTGCAATATATACATTCACATAGCCCATATATATGTGTGTGTGTGTGTGTGTATAGGTAGATATGTGTATATCTTGCAATATATACACATTCAATATATACACAATATATACACACATATACACAATATATACACACATATATAGAGAGAGGGATAGGAAAAAGAAACGAAAATACCTCTTCCTCCATTGCAATGATAAGGGCAAAACAACACTATACTCACTTAGAGGTCTGCTCCAACTTCGCCCCCGCAAAAAGAATGGTACCTCTCTCCCCTGCGCTCAGCGAAAGCAGAATGAAGCCCGCCTGTTCCATCCATGGGCGGGAATAGGGGTGGGCGGAGCAAGGATAAACCGCGCATGCGTCGAGCTTAAGGAAGCAAGAGACGCTTCCCTTTTCTTCCTTTCTCTCCGCCCCCTTTTTTCTACGTCAGAACTTGAGGGCGGGGTTTAGAGCAAGCGGGAAAGTCCCATTCATTTAAGAAATAGAAGGTTCTAACCAGGAGAGGGCGCTGTTGGGCCAACTATCCTATTAGGCAATGGCACAGACATAAGGGCTTATTTTTCCATTTTACCTGATTGCAGATTATAGAGATGTGCAATCCATTAAATAAAGTCATTACAAAATTGGGGGGTGTTGGCATTTCATTCCTAAAGTGTTTCCAAAGTAGAGTTAATTAAAAATTCGTTACTATAATGAGAGTAACAAAATTTCGTTACTCTTTCGTTACAGTGTTGTTGTTGTTCATTCGTTCAGTCATCTCCGACTCTTCGTGACCTCATGGACCAGCCCACGCCAGAGCTCCCTGTCTGCCGTCACCACCCCCAGCTCCTTCAAGGTCAGTCCAGTCACTTCAAGGATGCCATCCATCCATCTTGCCCTTGGTCGGCCCCTCTTCCTTTTGCCTTCCACTTTCCCCAGCATAATTGTCTTCTCTAGGCTTTCCTGTCTCCTCATGATGTGGCCAAAGTACTTCAACTTTGTCTCTAGTATCTTTCCCTCCAGTGAGCAGTCGGGCTTTATTTCCTGGAGGATGGACTGGTTGGATCTTCTCGCAGTCCAAGGCCCTCTCAGAACTTTCCTCCAACACCACAGCTCAAAAGCATCGATCTTCCTTCGCTCAGCCTTCCCTAAGGTCCAGCTCTCACATCCGTAGGTGACTACAGGGAATACCATGGCTTTGACTAGGCGGATCTTTGTTGCCAGTCTGATGTCTCTACTCTTTACTATTTTATCGAGACTGGACATTGCTCTCCTCCCAAGAAGTAAGCGTCTTCTGATTTCCTGGGCACAGTCTGCATCTGCAGTAATCTTTGCACCTAGAAATACAAAGTCTGTCACGGCCTCCACGGTTTCTCCCTCTATTTTCCAGTTGTCAATCATTCTTGTTGCCATAATCTTGGTTTTTTTTACGTTTAGCTGCAACCCGGCTTTTGCGCTTTCTTCTTTCACCTTGATTAGAAGGCTCCTCAGCTCCTCCTCGCTTTCGGCCATCAGAGTGGTGTCATCTGCATATCTGAGGTTGTTAATGTTTCTTCAGGAATTTTCACCCCAGCTTTGCATTCATCCAGCCCCGCACATCGCATGATGTGTTCTGCATACAAGTTAAAAAGGTTGGGTGAGAGGATGCAGCCTTGCCGTACGCCTTTCCCAATCTTGAACCAGTCTGTTGTTCCGTGGTCAGTTCTGACTGTTGCTACTTGGTCCTTGTACAGATTCCTCAGGAGAGAGACAACGTGGCTTGGGATGCCCATCCCACTAAGAACTTGCCACAATTTATTATGATCCACACAGTCAAAGGCTTTAGAATAGTCAATGAAGCAGAAGTAGATGTTTTTCTGAAACTCCCTGCCTTTCTCCATTATCCAGCGGATATTGGCAATCTGGTCTCTCGTTCCTCTACCTTTTCTAAACCCAGCTTGAACATCTGGCAACTCTCGCTCCATGTATTGCTGGAGTCTTCCTTGCAGGATCTTGAGCATTACCTTACTGGCATGAGAAATAAGGGCCACTGTACGGAAGTTTGAGCAGTCTTTCGCATTTCCCTTTTTTGGTATGGGGATATAAGTTGATTTTTTCCAGTCTGATGGCCATTCTTGTGTTTTCCATATTTGCTGGCATATGGCATGCACCACCTTGACAGCATCATCTTTTAAGATTTTAAACAGTTCAGCTGGGATCCCGTCATCTCCTGCTGCCTTGTTGTTAGCAATGCTTCTTAAGGCCCATTCAACTTCACTCCTCAGGATGTCTGGTTCTAATTCATTCACCACACCGTCAAAATATCCTCAATATTATTATCCTTCCTATACAGATCTTCTGTATAGTCTCGCCACCTTCTCTTGATCTCTTCAGCTTCTGTTAGGTCCCTGCCATCTTTGTTTCTTATCATACCAAATTTTGCCTGAAATTTACCTCCAATGTTTCTAATTTTCTGGAAGAGGTCTCTTGTCCTTCCTATTCTGTTGTCTTCTTCAGCTTCCATGCATTGCTTATTTAAAAATAGTTCCTTATCTCTTCTGGCTAACCTCTGGAATTGCGCATTTAACTGGGCATATCTCCCCTTATCCCTGTTTCCTTTTGCTTTCCTCCTTTCTTGGGATACTTCCAGTGTCTCAGCAGACAACCATTTTGCCTTCTTGGTTTTCTTTTTCTTTGGGACGTACTTTGTTGCCGCCTCCTGAACAATGTCTCGGACTTCTGTCCATAGTTCTTCTGGGACTCTGTTTACTAAATCTAGTCCTTCAAATCTGTTCTTCACTTCCACTGTATATTCGCTAGGAATGTTAGTGAGATCATATCTAACTGGTCTGTGTATTTTCCCTGATCTCTTTAGTTTTATTCTAAATTGGGCAATAAGAAGTTCGTGATCTGAGCTACAGTCAGCCCCAGGTCTTGTTTTCACCGACTGGATGGATGTCCGCCACCTTTGGCTGCAAAGGATGTAGTCAATCTGATTTCGGTGTTGACCGTCTGGTGAGGTCCATGTGTAAAGCCGTCTTTTAGGTTGTTGGAAGAGAGTATTCGTTATACACAGCGAGTTTTCCTGGCAAAATTCTATCAGCCTGCGTCCCGCTTCATTTTGTTCTCCCAGACCATGCTTGCCTGTGATCCCTGTTGTCATTTGACTTCCCACCATGGCATTCCAGTCTCCTGTAATGAAAATAATGTCTCTTTTTGGTGTATTATCCAGTAGGTCCTGCAGATCCTCATAGAACTGATCTACTTCTGCTTCTTCAGCAGCTGTGGTTGGGGCATATATTTGGATCACTGTAATGTTGAAAGGCTTTCCTTGCACTCGAATTGAGATCATTCTGTCATTTTTTGGGTTGTATCCAAGCACCGCTTTAGCGAATTTCTTATTAATTATGAAGGCTACTCCATTTCTTCGATGTTCCTCTTGTCCGCAGTAGTAGATCTGGTGGTCATCTGATGTGAAGTGGCCCATTCCAGTCCACTTCAGTTCGCTGACCCCCAGAATGTCTATCTTTAGTCTTGACATCTCGCCAATAACAACATCCAATTTGCCCTGGCTCATAGATCTTACATTCCAGGTTCCTATGGTGTGTTGATCTTTAGAGCATCGGGTTCGTCGTTCACCTCCAGTACCGTCGGCCGCTAGCCTTCCTTTCGGCTTTGAGCTAGCTGCGTCATCACATCTGGGGCTAGTTGAACTTATCCTCTGCTCCTCCCCAGTAGCATTTTGGCCATCTTCCGACCTGGGAGTCCCATCTTCCAATGGCATACCGACATATCTCTGGTTGTACTGGTCCATTTAGTTTTCTTGGCAAGGATACTGGAGTGGTTTGCCATTGCCTTCCCAGGGATCACGCTTGGTCTGACCTCTCTGCCACAACCGTCCCGTCTTGGGTGGCCCTTCACGGTTTCGCTCATGACATCATTGAGGTGCTCAAGCTCCAGCGCCCCGACAAGGCGGTGATCCTTTGCTGGAGTTCGTTACAGTAATTGTAAAAGTAATTGTAAAAGTGGTAAATGTGTTCTACCATTGTGGTGAGTTTCACCCCAATAGCTGCAAAAACGAGGGAGAAAAGAGCCCTTGAATTTTTCCCAATTATAGTAATTATGCACAATTCGTTACAGTAATTGTGCATAATTACTATAATTGGGAAAAATTCAAGGGCTCTTTTCTCCCTCGTTTTTGCAGCTATTGGGGTGAAACTCACCACAATGGTAGAACACATTTACCACTTTTAGCTCACCAAATTTCAGAGCATTTCGCTTATCCACAGATTTTTGGGGAATTTTTCAAAGTTTTTATAAACAACATTTTTTTTAAAATAATCTTTATTTGAGATTTTCAATTAAAAACAGTACGTAACAACAGCAGTAAGATGCAGACCAAGAAAAAGAAAATAATATAAAAGATTTATGTCAGAGAATTAAGAAAAAAGAAAAAGAAATTATGTATAGAAAATAAAAGTGACAGGAAGATAAATAGATATTGTGACTTCCTGGTATCTTCTAGAGGTCTTCTTACTTGTTCCTTTCTTCTTTCGTTCTTCCTCCTCTCCTTCCCCTTCTTATCTGCTTCTTTCCCTCCCTTTTTGTCATCTTTCTCTTTGTTTGTTTTTTTCACTTATTTTTTACTAAATCAAAATCTTCTCTCTCTTTTTGCTTTAAGTATGTAGAGTGGGTCATGGTGGCACTGTGTGCCAAGTTTCGTCTTGATCAGTCATTTGATGAGGGTCGATGTGGTCTCAGGAAGTGTGTGAAGGTACTGGAAGTCCCATCATCCATGGTCCATCCCCCTTCAAACCACAGCAGGATGTAGAGTGGATCATGGTAGCTCTGTGTGTCAAGTTTCATCTTGATCAGTCATTCAATGAGGGTCAACATGGTCTCAAGAAGTGAGTGAATATCCTGCAATTCCCATCATTCACGGTCCCAAGTCTTCCAGACCACACCAGGACGTAGAGTGAGTTATGCAGCTTCTGTGTGCAAAGTTCGATCTTGATCCGTCATTGGTGAGGGTCACAGTGCATTCAGGAAGTGGTGAAGGTACTGGAAGTCCCATCATCCATGGTCTATCCTCCTTCAAACCACAACAAGATGTAGAGTTGGCCATGGTGGGTCTGAGTGCCAAGCTTGGTCTTGATCAGTCATTCGATGAGGGTCGAAGTGGTCTCAGGAAGTATGTGAAAGTACTTCAAGTCCCATCATCCATGGCCCATCCTCCTTCAAACCACAACAGGATGTAGAGTGGGTCATGGTGGCTCTGTGTGCTAAGCTTGGTCTTGATCAGTCATTCGATGAGGGTCAAAGTGGTCTCAGAAAGTGACTGAAGGTACTGCAAGTTCCATCTTCCATGATAAATCC